GAGAGATGAACCTGGAGAATAGTCCCCTAAGCAAGCTGGTCCTGGGGCTCTGTTCACAAACACAAACAGACCCCACAGAGCCCCAGGACAGCAACACAATTAGACCCAACCAAATCATGAGAAAACAAAAAGATAATTACTTGACACACTGGGAATACAAATGTTTTAAACAGAGCAAACTAGAATGCTATTTGGCACTAAACAGAGAGTACACAGTGGCAGAATACCTGACCACTGAGACTGACACAGAATTAAGGAAAGCTTTGACTATGTACAGAGTCAGTAAGCCTTGCTATTGAGAAAGGCAGCCGTAGGCAGACCTGGCTCTCAAGAGAAGACAGGCTACGTACATATGCCCACAAAATGAGGTGGAAACTGAGACACACTTCCTAACTTCCTGCCAAATGTATGACCATATTAGAGACACATACTTCCCTCAGATTACATAGACCCACAAAGAATTTGAAAAAAAAATCCAATTTGGATAAACTCCCATATCTATTGGGTGAAATACCACAGTGTGCAATCACAGCAGCAATATTTGTGACCTGTTGCCACAAGAAAAGGGCAACCAGTGAAGAACAAACACCATTGTAAATACAACCCATATTTGGGGCAAAGCTCCCTGCCATCCAGGACCTCTATACCAGGCGGTGTCAGAGGAAGGCCCTCAAAATTGTCAAAGACTCCAGCCACCCTAGTCATAGACTGTTCTCTCTGCTACCGCACGGCAAGCGGTACCGGAGTGCCAAGTCTAGGTCCAAAAGACTTCTCAACAGCTTCTACCCCCAAGCCATAAGACTCCTGAACAGCTAATCATGGCTACCCGGACTATTTGCACTGCCCCCCCACCCCACCCTTTTTACGCTGCTGCTACTCTGTTAAGTATTTATGCATAGTCACTTTAACTCTACCCACATGTACATATTACCTCAACTACCTCAACTAGCCGGTGCCCCCGCACATTGACTATGCAACGGTACCCCCCTGTATATATAGCCTCCCTACTGTCACTTTATTTTACTGTATATATAGCCTCCCTACTGTCACTTTATTTTACTTCTGCTCTTTTTTTTCTCAACACTTTTTTTTGTTGTTGTTTTATTCTTACTTTTTTTGTTTAAAATAAATGCACTGTTGGTTAAGGGCTGTAAGTAAGCATTTCACTGTAATGTCTGCACCTGTTGTATTCGGCGCATGTGACCAATAAAATTTGATTTGATTTGATTTGATTTGATATTTATGTTTATTTATTTTCCAGTTTGTACTTTAACTATTTGCACATTGTTACAACACTGTATATAGACATAATATGACATTTGAAATGCCTTTATTATTTTGGAACTTTTGTGAGTGTAATGTTTACTGTTAATTTTTTATTGTTTATTTCACTTTTGTTTATTATCTATTTCACTTGATTTGGCAATGTAAACATATGTTTCCCATGCAAATAAAGCCCTTAAATTGAATTGAAATTGAATTGAGAGGGACAGAGAGAAACAGAGACAGAGAGACAGGTGGACAGAGAGAGAGACAGATAGAGAGAGAGAGAGAGAGAGAGAGAGAGAGAGAGAGAGAGAGAGAGAGAGAAATAGACAGAGAGAGAGACACAGAGACAGATAGACAGAGAGAGAGACAGAGAGAGAGAGAGACAGAGAGAGAGACAGAGAGAGAGACAGAGAGAGAGACAGAGAGAGAGAGAGACACACACAGAGACGGAGAGAGAGACAGAGAGACAGATAGAGGGCTTGGTCTTTACCTGGCATGCACTCCATGACAGGTGGTGGGCTGGGGGAGAGGGAGGTGAACTGGGTTGGGGATTCTTCCCCCTCACAGTCACACTTACAGGCTCGTCCTGTCCATGTCTCAGTCACCTCCTCCCCCTGAAACACAGAGAGAGAGGGATGGAACATTAGTCTCTCAGGCCAGGTCAGGACCGTTCTAAGGTCAGGGTTCTTTAACTCAGATCCTGGAGAGCTACTTGCTGCTGGGTTGGAACTAAATCCTGCACACCCATCGGCTCTACAGGACTGGAGTTGGAGAAGACCTCTGCCTTAGGTGGAGGACATCAATCAATTCACACATACATTAGATTATCAATATGTTTGATTATCAATCAGTATATTTGATTCCACCTACCTCCTGAGCGTGTACACTGAGTAGAACTGTTGAGGCAGAACCCCAGCGCAGCACAGAGACAGAACATTAGATGTAAAGACAGAAACACTTTCCAACCAAAACAAGTGGCTCGTATTCCATCCATGTACAGTCTGTCCATTCCACAGTCTGACTACTAGACCACAAATAATCCATCACATTATTCAATGAAGCACGTAGCCTGGTGAGGGATTTGAATATTGAGAAACTAGACACAATTGTTACAGTAAAACTATAACAATCCACCTAATTATAACAGAAATACCTAAAAAGTCACATTTGCTTCTTTCAGTATTCAGTCGAACACCAATCAACCAATATCTGAAAATATTTGAGAGTGGGATATTAAAGCTGTACAATCATTTCAACCCACCACACTCTAGAAGCCTATAGTCTGAGGTCATGCTTCGCTCAAACTCACCATCCAGGGAGACCAAGACACAATGAGCTAAAGACAAAGTCCAAGAAGAGACGAACATACCGTTAGACACAAGCAGGAGGGCCAACAGAATCCACTGTCCATGGGATTCCATCTTCATGCCTACACAGTGACAGGACCACACTGAAGCACTAAACTGGAGCCACTCTGACGGCACTAGGGCTGGATTATGGTAATCCACAGGACACTAATGGCCAGTAATACTCTTTATCTCCTCACAAAGCCCCTCCCACATCTGTTGAGGGCCAGTTGGGGAAATGCAATGAGGGTACAGTAATGCAATGTGTAATGGAACAGAGCGTGGTCTTAATGTCTAGTTCCCCTGAAGGGGGCCAGCTGCTACACCCAGTGACCCATATCATGGAGCAGAAGGTGTAGTCAAGGCATTTGGGGTTGTCTATTTTAGGAAATTCTTAATTCGCAGAATATGCAATGGGGAATAGTGTTTGTGTGTGTCAATGTAACAGCAACCCCCAGACTTTCTGGATAACGTTTAAATTATTTTCCAACCAGGAAGTAACATTTTTATTTAAAAATATAAAAGTAGGTTTTATAATTGGTCAGATGGGTTAACGTGTCAAAACGCTGGAACTAAACGTGACCCACCCAGGCAAGAACAGCACAGGTGCGCGTCATAGATAAATTGCCCAAGCCTGATTTCAATCTTCATAACACGGAATTGGGTGTCATAGGCCTATAAAAAGGTAATTGTAAACTTGAACATTTGATAAGACAATCCAAAGGGGAAACACAATGAAGGTCCTTGTCAGCAAAACAATGAAGAAACCCCGCCGAGAGCTGAAGAGAAAAACCAAGGCCTATTCTACCTTCATCTACAAGATCCAGAGAGAGGTTAGAAATAATGAGCCACATTTGGCATTACTGAAAGTCATTTGGTGTAAGTTAATGTCACAGGGCTCGCCAACCCGATTCCTGGCGAGCTACCCTTTTGTAGGTGTTCTATCCAACCTCTGTAACTAACCTGATTTTAAATGTGTCAACCAGCTAATTATTAGATTCGGGTGTGCTAGATTAGGGTGGAACGAAAACCTACATGACTGTTTGCTTTCCGTGAACAGTGTTGGAGAGCCCTGTACCATAAGGTTAATGTCCTAGGACGACTTCAACTGTCTTTATTTTAATTCAGGGTGACGGCATCCCCACCATAGACCGTTTTTTGATGAACGAGTCTACCTGCCCACGGAGGGTGTTGGTCCGTCTTGTCGGCTCCGAGGCCGCCCGCCTGTCACTGTTCAACAGGAGGAAAGTAATCACACAACTAGAGGTCCACACTGCGCTGGCACGGCTGAGACCGGGAAGAAAACATGCCAGGCAACCTGGCGCTTGAATGATTTTATAAACCCTTTGAATTTTATTTAATTCTTTTAAAGAAATGTAATAAAGATGTTTATTTTTTACTCATTGTGTTGTCATTCCAACAAATCAATGCACCATCAAATGTAAATATGTCGCAGTTCGCGCACCTGAGGCTTGTATAATTAACTGTTAAAGCGGTTTGGCTCACGCCTCTAATGTCAGTCCAATTACTTCGAGGGGCGGGGAAAGCCATGACTATACACCATAATGGATGCGTTTTGTCAGGGGAGCCGGGTGAGCAGATGTGCGCCAAACTCAGTCAACCATAGTCAAACTCCGGCGCGTGGGGAAAGCTGGACTCAAACGAACCTATATTCCCTTACCTTCCTCGCGGTGCGTGACGCCCACTCAACATACGCATGTTGAGGAAGCCGAAGCGTATGTGCGCGCAACAGATGCATGACTCAAATCTGGCGTAGACTCTGCAGCAGAACATATTTGTCAACTCAACCGGTGTCCAGAACGAACAGGTAGGTTCCAAGATGAGCTGGGTGGTCTTGGACTTGTAGTAGGTTAAGTTGTTTTATTGGCTATTCGTCACTAAATCAGCTGTTGCATCCTGTGTAGGGAATTTAATTAGTCTATTCACCTTTGCAGCTTTTATATGTGAACAGCAACAGGTGTTTGTCTCCATGCAGATCAATAGGCATATAACAGTGACGCATGCAGGGTTAATTAGTTTATACGACATGTTGGATAAACACCTTGCGGTTTAATTTAATAGGAGCACAATTGTGTGTATTTCGCCATTTGACGTTTTCTCACCAAAGAGCCGTCAGATGAGATGTTGCTGGGGTATTGTGACACAGGCTGAGAGCGAGGCGATGTTGGTTATTCATAGTAGATCCCAGGAGACTTTTCCATGCTATATCAAACATGATGTGTCTCCATGGCAACCCATTACTCATTTTAACCAATTCACATGTGAACATAAACAATTAGGCTTCAACTGGAGATTTTTCAGCAGGGACAGCTTCAATTACAGAAAGCTCTCTGGGAAGATCTCAATTGCATACACTATATATACAAAAGTATGTGGATTCGGCTGTTTCAGCCACATTTGTTACTAACAGGTGTATAAAATCAAGCACACCTCCATGCAATCTCCATAGACAAACATTGGTAGTAGAATGGCCTTACTGAAGAGCTCAGTGACTTTCAACATGGCACTGTCATAGGATGCCACAATTCCAACAAGTCAGTTCCTCAAATTTCTGCCCTGCTTAGAGCTGCCCTGGTCAACTGTAAGTGCTGTTATTGTGAAATGGAAACGTCTAGGAGTAACAACGGCTCAGCCGCAAAGCATTTCGCTACATCTGCAATAACATCTGCTAAACACGCATATGTGACCAATATCATTTGATTTGTGGTAGGCCACACAAGCTCACAGACCGGGACCGCCGAGTGCTGAAGCATGTCCTCTGTAGCTCAATTGGTAGAGCATGGCGCTTGTAACGCCAGGGTAATGGGTTCGATCCCCGGGACCACCCATAGGTAAAAATGTATGCACACATGACTGTTAGTCGCTTTGGATAAAAGCGTCTGCTAAATGGCATATTATTACTATTATTATTATTATTATTACAAAAATAGTCTGTCCTCGGTTGCAACACTCACTACTGAGTTCCAAACTGCCTCTGGAAGCAACATCAGCACAAGAAATGGGTTTCCATGGCCGAGCAACAAGCTTAAGATCACCATGCGCAATGCCAAGCGTCATCTGGAGTGGTGTAAAGCTTGCCGCCATTGGACTCTGGAGCAGTGGAAAGACGTTCTCTGGAGTGATGAATCATGCTTCACCATCTGGCAGTCCAACTGACAAATCTGGGTTTGACGGATGCCAGGGGAACGCTACCTACCCCAATGCATAGTGCCAACTGTAAAGTTTGGTGGAGGAGGAATAATGGTCTGGGACAGTTTTTCATGGTTTGGGCTAGGCCCTTAGTTCCAGTGAAGGGAAATCTTAACGCTACAGCATACAATTATATTCTAGACGATTCTGTGCTTCCAATTTTTTGGCTACAGTTTGGGGAAGGCCCTTTCCTGTTTCAGCATGACAATGCCCCAGTGCACAAAGCGAGGTCCATACAGAAATGGTTTATTGAGATCGGTTTGGAAGAACTTGACTGGCCTGCACAGAGCCCTGACCTCAACCTCATTGAACACCTTTGGGATGAATTGGAACGCCGACTGCGAGCCAGGCCTAATCGCCCAACATCAGTGCCCAACCTCACTAATGCTCTTGTGGCTGAATGGAAGCAAGTCCTCCGCAGCAATGTTCCAACATCTAGTGGAAAGCCTTCCCAGAAGAGTGGAGGCTGTTATAGCAGCAAAGTGGGGACCAACTCCATATTAATGCCCATGATTTTGGAATGAGATGTTGGACGAGCAGTTGTCCACACACTTTTGGTCATGTAGTGTACTTTTCACGTCCTCTCTCGTCTCCTTCTAATAACCCATTGGAGGAGAAGGTTAGATGGGAGGGACCGCTGGCTTTCTCATCCAATGGGTTTTGAGGAGCGAGGATGCAAGGAGTATGCAACTTTCCTCTGTCTGTCTCGTTCTCTTTCGCTCTTTCGCCCTCTGTCTGCCTGTCTGTGACTCTCTCCCTCTCTCTGTTTCCATTCACAGACATACTGCCTTGCCCCTAACATAATGGCCACAGACATACTGCCTTGGCCCTAACAGAATGGCCACAGACATACTGCCTTGGCCCTAACAGAATGGCCACAGACATACCGCCTTGGCCCTAACAGAATGGCCACAGACATACTGTTGGACCTATACAGAATGGTCACTGACAGCGTGCTTGGCCACTACGATATGGCCACGCATAGTGCTGCCTAAATGGCCACAGCATACTGCTGTGGCCCTGACGAATGGCCACGGCACTGTACTGCACTTGGCCCACTGGACGACTACTGCCTGGCCCTAACGAATGCACAGATTGCTGCCACCTTACACAGTGGCCACTGCTACTGCACTTGGCCCCTACTGATATGGCCACAACTATTACATGACAGTAACCCTGGGTCACTGACAGCTGTGACTACTGGCCACCTGTACTGACTACTGGCCACCTATACTGACTACTGGCCACCTGTACTGACTACTGGCCACCTGTACTGACTACTGGCCACCTGTACTGACTACTGGCCACCTGTACTGACTACTGGCCACCTGTACTGACTAGTGGCCACCTGTACTGACTACTGGCCACCTGTACTGACTACTGGCCACCTGTACTGACTACTGGCCACCTGTACTGACTAGTGGACACCTGTACTGACTACTGGCCACCTGTACTGACTAGTGGCCACCTGTACTGACTACTGGACACCTGTACTGACTACTGGACACCTGTACCGACTAGCACTATGGGATGTGGCACCTCCGTCACCATCGACAACCAGGCGAGGAGACTGACGACAGGTGAGACAGACTGGGGACAAGTGATGGTTTTGATTGTCTTCCCCCAGGTCTCATGTGGCCTGGTCCCAGATCTGTTTGGTTTGGCATGATGATAGTCATAGTAGAAAACCGTAGTTGACAAGACAGTATAAACAGATCTGGGACCTGACTACATCTCGTAGATAGATTGTGAATATACAGTTTGATCATAGAGCACTTTTGACATCTTTGAGAATTCAGTATGTTTATAAGCCGGCAGCGATAAATTAGAAATCTTGTAGTTTTCACTTCTAGTTGGATGTTGGTAAACCCTCTCTCTCCCTCTCTCATGCTCTCTCTCTCTCTCCTCTCTCTATCTCTCTCTCTCTCTCTATCTCTCTCTCTCTCTCTCTCTCTCTCTCTCTCTCTCTCTCTCTCTCTCTCTCTCTCTCTCTCTCTCTCTCTCTCTCTCTCTCTCTCTCTCTCTCTCTCTCTCCTCCCTGGTGTCTTGTTATTTCTACCTCTCTTCCTCTGAGCTGTCTCACTATAAATAATTGTATTTAATCACTCCTCACTACAGACAAGACGGCCAAGAACCCTCCCAGCCCTGCACTGAGTAAGAGCCCTCTTCTCACGTCACCCATATTACTGAATCCTATTGGTCAACCTTACTGTATCGTTGTGTCCTATTGGTCAATGCCCATGGTCATCCTGTGTGTCTGCCTGTATCTTTGTGTTTTTGGACTACCCTCATGGCTTCATTTGTTTTCAGTGCTGCTAACTACCAGCAGGGGGCTGTTATTAAACAGCAATGTTATTAAACACATCTTTTACCCATCTTCCATCTCCTCCTGTCAGCTATGAAGGCAGCCATCCTGATCCAGCGCTGGTACAGACGTTACATAGCCAGGTTAGAGATGAGACAACGATACACCTGGAACATCTTCCAGTCTATAGAGTATGCTGGGGAGCAGGACCAGCTACAGGTAATGGGGACGGAACAGAGGTCCGAGGCCTTGGCTTTAGCCCAGCAGGCCAACACAGTCTGTTAGTACTTGGCCATATGAATACAACTGACTATGTTTGAATCTTCCTCAGCTCTCCAGTTTCTTCAATTTCATGCTGGACAACTTCACTCAACTCAATGGGAATGGCCCAGGTAACTAACATTTTCTTCTGTTTTCAGGAATATTGTTGGACTGTCAGTTCCTGTCACAAAAAAATGAAATGCCCGTAATTATTTATAGACTGAACCAAAACCATCCCGATCCATTAATAGCCTATGCCTAAAACCTATTATGGTGAAGATGTTGCTTAGCAACCGCATCCGCATGCTATTCGGTTTCTCTGCTGTAGTAATGTGGAATATTGTGTTCCTGTGACTGCTGCTGCTGTCACAGCTGTGGCCTGCCTGTGCACGCACAGACCAACACGTTGCTGCAGATAATTAGCCAGCCAGGCCCTTTAGTGGTGAAGACAACAGGCTACGATGCTCAGACCATCTTGCCTATTTTTACGATTGTGCTTTTAATTATACATACATCACAGGAGGCTGCTGAGGGGGGGGACAGCTCATAATAATGGCTGGAACGGAGCAAATGGAATGGCATCAAACACTTGGAAACCATGTGTTTGATGTATTTGATACCATTCCACTGATTCCGCTCCAGTCATTACCACGAGCCCATCCTCCCCAATTAAGGTGCCACCAACCTCCTGTGACATCCAGTATATGTGATCTCTGTGGGTTTGATCAGAGTAAATATGATAAACTGACTGGTTGTTGACAGACGTGCTCTGAAGAGGGAAGCGACCACTCCATAGATAGGGTCTGAGAGAGGTGTGGCTGAAGAGGGAAGCGACCACTCCATAGATAGGGTCTGAGAGAGGTGTGGCTGAAGAGGGAAGCGACCACTCCATAGATAGGGTCTGAGAGAGGTGTGGCTGAAGAGGGAAGCGACCACTCCATAGATAGGGTCTGAGAGAGGTGTGGCTGAAGAGGGAAGCGACCACTCCATAGATAGGGTCTGAGAGAGGTGTGGCTGAAGAGGGAAGCGACCACTCCATAGATAGGGTCTGAGAGAGGTGTGGCTGAAGAGGGAAGCGACCACTCCATAGATAGGGTCTGAGAGAGGTGTGGCTGAAGAGGGAAGCGACCACTCCATAGATAGGGTCTGAGAGAGGTGTGGCTGAAGAGGGAAGCGACCACTCCATAGATAGGGTCTGAGAGAGGTGTGGCTGAAGAGGGAAGCGACCACTCCATAGATAGGGTCTGAGAGAGGTGTGGCTGAAGAGGGAAGCGACCACTCCATAGATAGGGTCTGAGAGAGGTGTGGCTGCTGTCATCTTCAACAACAACATCTGATTATGATGTCCTGCCTGTTTGTCTCCAGAAAGGAGTGGTGATGGCTGAACATTAACCTACTGTAGTGGGCTATTCAAGAGGAGTAAACAGAGATGCCCTGAACATTAACCTACTGTAGTGGGCTATTCAAGAGGAGTAAACAGAGATGCCCTGAACATGGATATGTGTTTGACATCCAGTGTTTTAGTGTGTTAATAAAAAAGTTATATTTTATTTGATTCTATTCAATTTGATTCTACTCTATTTAGGGTTGCAAAATTCCGGTGACCTACCTAAAATTCCCAGGTTTTCCAGAAATTCAGGTTGGAAGATTCCAGGAATCAGGAGGCAGTAAGCAGGAATTCCGGAAGCCTCCAACCAGGATTTCTGGAAAACCTGGGAATTTTGGGAATGTTGACGGAATTTTGAAACCCTAACTCTATTTTATTAAACCTGTGTTCCATCCTCCAGTTTGATTCTATTAAACCTGTGTGTTCCATCCTCCAGTTGGATTCTGTTGTATTAAACTTGTGTGTTCCATCCTCCAGTTTGATTCTGTTCTATTAAACCTGTGTGTTCCATCCTCCAGTTTGATTCTGTTCTATTAAACCTGTGTGTTCCATCCTCCAGTTTGATTCTGTTCTATTAAACTTGTGTGTTCCATCCTCCAGTTTGATTCTGTTCTATTAAACTTGTGTGTTCCATCCTCCAGTTTGATTCTGTTCTATTAAACTTGTGTGTTCCATCCTCCATGTTGTCAGATCTGATCTCCCACCTGCTTGACCCAGTGGTTGACCCGTGGTCAGACAGAGAAAGACAGACCAAGTATGAACAGATCACCGTTCCTGAGTCCTACAGCGGTCCTCACCTCACCTTCCCCCTCACCGTCTCTCACACCAACGCCCTGCTCTCTGCATTCAAAGAACAACAGGTACCGTACGATTCAATTCAAACTTTATTGTTCCCACTGTGTGCTACAGGACCTGTATTCTTAAAGCATTTCAGAGTAGTCGTGCTGATCTGGGATCAGGTCCTCCCTGTTCATGTAATCTTACTCATTATGATCTAAAAGGCCAAACTGATCCTGGATCAGGACTCCTACTCTGAGACTTTATGAATACGGGCCCAGGGAGTACAGGAGCTGGTCTGGACAGTAAGGCAGCTTAATGAATAATAACAAACCAACAACCCATTGCCATACCTGATGGTTACCTGTCATCATTTCAGCCTCTCCATGGCAGATACATGCTGCAGCTGTTACACGAGACTAAGAAGCTCCTGAAACAGATGCCAAACGTCATTCACCTGTCCACACCCTACGCCAAGGAGATCACAATATGTGGTAGGTTGTTGATAGTGCATATTAAATACTTTTTTATTGATTGGATTGATATAGCGCTTTTCCAGATGATCACAGCACTTTACACTGTATAAGGGAAACTAATCCACCACTCCAATATTGTTTTCAGTACTGCTAACTATGTTGTCCAATATTTGACCATGTATTGTCTTGTACTTGTTGGTTAATTTCATTTAAAGGCCTTTAGTTTTTTTGGGGGAACGTGAGTATCCAGATGGCAAGTTGACTATCTAGTACACAACACTGACTATCTAGTACACAACACTGACTATCTAGTACACACCACTGACTATCTAGTACACAACACTGACTATCTAGTACACAACACTGACTATCTAGTACACACCACTGACTATCTAGTACACACCACTGACTATCTAGTACACACCACTGACTATCTAGTACACACCACTGACTATCTAGCACACAACACTGACTATCTAGTACACACCACTGACTATCTAGTACACAACACTGACTATCTAGTACACACCACTGACTATCTAGTACACAACACTGACTATCTAGCACACAACACTGACTATCTAGTACACAACACTGACTATCTAGTACACACCACTGACTATCTAGTACACAACACTGACTATCTAGTACACAACACTGACTATCTAGTACACAACACTGACTATCTAGTACACACCACTGACTATCTAGTACACAACACTGACTATCTAGTACACACCACTGCTCCCGGTTGTTTATTTACATAATGAAAATACTTCATTTCACCTCAATGGCCTCCTTCCCTGTAGTCAGAGACGCATCTCATCAAACTCAAGAATGCTTGAGACAAATGTTAAACACACACAGAACATGAATGATTAATTCAATATAGGAGAGCATGTTAATTAACTCTTGATTAACTCAGTTAACCAATTAACCCAGTCATTTTGGTTTCATATGCCATAGATGGTCTAATCACGTTTCTAGGAGAAAAGGTCTACTACCTAATCTTCTAATGCTTCTAATTTCCTTCAGGAGATTTACATGGCCGACTAGATGACTTGCTGCTCATATTCTACAAGGTAAGGCTCTTGACATGATACTGTATATGTTATAGTGTATGTGTGACACTACATGAAGAGAAACAATGGCCTACTTTTTCCATAATAACTGTTCATTATTCCATCTCTTCCAGAACGGCCTCCCCTCGGCAGAGACGCCGTACGTGTTCAACGGAGACTTTGTGGACCGAGGGAAGAAGTCTGTGGAGGTCATCATCCTGCTGTTTGCCTACCTGCTTCTGTACCCAGACCACATGACCCTGAACAGAGGCAACCACGAGGACCACATCATGAACCTCCGGTAGGTACACAGACCACATGACCCTGAACAGAGGCAACCACGAGGACCACATCATGAACCTCCAGGAGGTACACACACACAGACCACATGACCCTGAACAGAGGCAACCACGAGGACCACATCAGGAACCTCCTGTAGGTACACACACACAGACCACATGACCCTGAACAGAGGCAACCACGAGGACCACATCAGGAACCTCCTGTAGGTACACACACACAGACCACATGACCCTGAACAGAGGCAACCACGAGGACCACATCAGGAACCTCCGGTAGTACACACACACAGACCACATGACCCTGAACAGAGGCAACCACGAGGACCACATCAGGAACCTCCTGTAGGTACACACACACAGACCACATGACCCTGAACAGAGGCAACCACGAGGACCACATCATGAACCTCCGGTAGGTACACACACACAGACCACATGACCCTGAACAGAGGCAACCACGAGGACCACATCAGGAACCTCGGGCGCAGATAGAATTTAAATGCTAACGTGTTTCTCTAATATCACATCGATTCAGACCTGTACGATGCTACAGACACAAAATCCGAAAACTTTATTTCAGTTTTTCTTATATGCAAGACTCAACAAATGTTGCTTGGAATTGTCCTTTGTTACACACAAGAACATGCATGACAAGCACAACATTGCAGTATATTAATGCTGCTCTGTTTTCTGTTTTTCAGATATGGATTCACTAAAGAAGTTATGCAGAAGTACAAGGTAAAGTCCCCTTCACGGTTCACACAGGACCTATGTAGTTGTACTTACTTCCATCTAGTGGCGGCTTCTTGTCATGACCACTCGGCAGACATGTAACCTCTCTCTCCTCTGCAGACATGTAACCTCTCTCTCTCTCTCTCTCTCTCTCTCTCTCTCTCTCTCTCTCTCTCTCTCTCTCTCTCTCTCTCTCTCTCTCTCTCTCTCTCTCTCTCTCTCTCTCTCTCTCTCTGCAGACATGTAACCTCTCTCTCTCCTCTGCAGACATGTAACCTCTCTCTCTCTCTCCTCTGCAGACATGTAACCTCTCTCTCTCTCCTCTGCAGACATGTAACCTCTCTCTCTCTCTCTCTCCTCTGCAGACATGTAACCTCTCTCTCTCTCTCCTCTGCAGACATGTAACCTCTATCTCTCGCTCTCCTCTGCAGACATGTAACCTCTCTCACTCTCCTTTACAGACATGTAACCTCTCTCTCCTCTGCAGAAATGTAACCTGTTTCTCTCTCTCCACTCTGCAGACATGTAACCTCTCTCGCTCTCCTTTACAGACATGTAACCTCTCTCTCCTCTGCAGACATGTAACCCCCTTCTCTTTATTCTGCAGACACATGGTAGGGACATCCTACTGCTGATCCAGGATGTGTTTAGCCTCCTCCCCATAGCAACAATCATCGACAACAAAGTGCTCATCGTCCATGGAGGAATATCAGACATGACGGACCTGGATTTCCTCAGCTCTATAGAGAGACACAAGGTGAGAACAGACTGTAAACCTACAGGTACTGTAGTGTCCTGTACTGTAGTGTCCTGTACTGTAGGGTCCTGTACTGTAGGGTCCTGTACTGTAGGGTCCTGTACTGTAGTGTCATGTACTGTAGGGTCCTGGACTGTAGTGTCCTGTACTGTAGGGTCCTGTACTGTAGTGTCCTGTACTGTAGGGTCCTGTACTGTAGTGTCCTGTACTGTAGGGTCCTGGACTGTAGGGTCCTGTACTATAGTGTCCTGTACTGTAGGGTCCTGTACTGTAGTGTCCTGTACTGTAGGGTCCTGTACTGTAGTGTCCTGTACTATAGGTCCTGTACAGTAGTGTACTGTACTGTAGTGTCCTGTACTGTAGTGTCCTGTACTGTAGTGTCCTGTACTGTAGGGTCCTGTACTGTAGGGTCCTGTACTGTAGGGTCCTGTACTGTAGTGTCCTGTACTGTAGTGTCCTGTACTGTAGGGTCCTGTAATGTAGGGTCCTGTACTGTAGGGTCCTGTACTGTAGTGTCCTGTACTGTAGTGTCATGTACTGTAGGGTCCTGTACTGTAGTGTCCTGTACTGTAGGGTCCTGTACTGTAGGGTCCTGTACTGTAGTGTCCTGTACTGTAGGGTCCTGTAATGTAGGGTCCTGTACTGTAGTGTCCTGTACTGTAGTGTCCTGTACTGTAGGGTCCTGTAATGTAGGGTCCTGTAATGTAGGGTCCTGTACTGTAGTGTCCTGTACTGTAGGGTCCTGTAATGTAGGGTCCTGTAATGTAGGGTCCTGTACTGTAGGGTCCTGTACTGTAGTGTCCTGTACTGTAGTGTCCTGTACTGTAGGGTCCTGTAATGTAGGGTCCTGTACTGTAGGGTCCTGTACTGTAGTGTCCTGTACTGTAGTGTCATGTACTGTAGGGTCCTGTACTGTAGTGTCCTGTACTGTAGGGTCCTGTACTGTAGGGTCCTGTACTGTAGTGTCCTGTACTGTAGTGTCCTGTACTGTAGTGTCCTGTACTGTAGGGTCCTGTACTGTAGTGTCCTGTACTGTAGTGTAGGGTCCTGTACTGTAGGGTCCTGTAATGTAGGGTCCTGTACTGTAGGGTCCTGTACTGTAGGGTCCTGTACTATAGGGTCCTGTACTGTAGTGTCTTGTACTGTAGTGTCCTGTACTGTAGGGTCCTGTACTGTAGTGTCCTGTACTGTAGGGTCCTGTACTGAAGTGTCCTGTACTATAGGTCCTGTACAGTAGTGTCCTGTACTGTAGTGTCCTGTACTGTAGTGTACTGTAGTGTCCTGTACTATAGGGTCCTGTACTGTAGGGTCCTGTACTGTAGTGTCCTGTACTGTAGTGTCCTGTACTGTAGGGTCCTGTACTGTAGTGTCCTGTACTGTAGTGTCCTGTACTATAGGGTCCTGTACTGTAGGGTCCTGTACTGTAGTGTCCTGTACTGTAGTGTCCTGTACTATAGGGCCCTGTACTGTACTGTAGTGTCCTGTACTGTAGGGTCCTGTACTATAGGGTCCTGTACTGTAGGGTCCTGTACTGTAGGGTCCTGTACTGTAGTGTCCTGTACTGTAGGGTCCTGTACTGTAGGGTCCTGTACTGTAGTGTACTGTAGTGTCCTGTACTGTAGGGTCCTGTACTGTAGGGTCCTGTACTGTAGGGTCCTGTACTGTAGTGTACTGTAGTGTCCTGTACTGTAGGGTCCTGTACTGTAGGGTCCTGTACTGTAGGGTCCTGTACTATAGTGTCCTGTACTATAGGGTCCTGTACTGTAGGGTCCTGTACTGTAGGGTCCTGTACTGTAGTGTCCTGTACTGTAGGGTCCTGTACTGTAGTGTCCTGTACTGTAGTGTCCTGTACTGTAGGGTCCTGTACTGTAGTGTCCTGTACTGTAGTGTCCTGTACTGTAGGGTCCTGTACTGTAGTGTCCTGTACTGTAGTGTAGGGTCCTGTACTGTAGGGTACTGTACTGTAGGGTCCTGTACTGTAGTGTCCTGTACTGTAGGGTCCTGTACTGTAGTGTCCTGTACTGTAGGGTCCTGTACTGTAGGGTCCTGTACTGTAGGGTCCTGTACTGTAGTGTAGTGTCCTGTACTGTAGTGTCCTGTACTGTAGCGTCCTGTACTATAGGGTCCTGTACTGTAGTGTCATGTACTGTAGGGTCCTGTACTGTAGGGTCCTGGAGTGTCCTGTACTGTAGGGTCCTGTACTGTAGGGTCCTGTACTGTAGGGTCCTGTACTGTAGGGTCCTGTACTGTAGGGTCCTGTACTGTAGTGTCCTGTACTGTAGGGTCCTGTACTGTAGGGTCCTGTACTGTAGGGTCCTGTACTGTAGTGTCCTGTACTGTAGGTGCCGGGCACATCTTCTACTGGCCCGGTCTGAAAAGTACTAACCAACAGGCTAGCAGGCTGGCTTAATTTCCAAACCTGACTGTAGTGAAAAAGAGTGACATTCAGTCAGTGGGGATTCAAGCTAACTGTACTCTCTTCTCTCTCTCCTCTTTTCCAGGTGAAATCTGCCCTGAGGCTTCCTAGGAGGAGTCTGAACTATCTGGAGGTGACTGGGAGCAGTAGGCAGGTCAGTTCCTGATACAGTAGGATGGAGGTGACTGGGAGCAGTAGGCAGGTCAGTTCCTGATACAGTAGGATGGAGGTGACTAGGAGCAGTAGACAGGTCAGTTCCTGATACAGTAGGATGACTAGGAGCAGTAGTCAGGTCAGTTCCTGATACAGTAGGATGACTAGGAGCAGTAGCCAGGTCAGTTCCTGATACAGTAGGATGACTAGGAGCAGTAGACAGGTCAGTTCCTGATACAGTAGGATGACTAGGAGCAGTAGACAGGTCAGTTCCTGATACAGTAGGATGACTAGGAGCAGTAGACAGGTCAGTTCCTGATACAGTAGGATGGAGGTGACTAGGAGCAGTAGACAGGTCAGTTCCTGATACAGTAGGATGACTAGGAGCAGTAGACAGGTCAGTTCCTGATACAGTAGGATGACTAGGAGCAGTAGACAGGTCAGTTCCTGATACAGTAGGATGACTAGGAGCAGTAGACAGGTCAGTTCCTGATACAGTAGGATGGAGGTGACTAGGAGCAGTAGACAGGTCAGTTCCTGATACAGTAGGATGACTAGGAGCAGTAGACAGGTCAGTTCCTGATACAGTAGGATGACTAGGAGCAGTAGACAGGTCAGTTCCTGATACAGTAGGATGGAGGTGACTAGGAGCAGTAGACAGGTCAGTTCCTGATACAGTAGGATGGAGGTGACTAGGAGCAGTAGACAGGTCAGTACCTGATACAGTAGGATGACTAGGAGCAGTAGACAGGTCAGTTCCTGATACAGTAGGATGACTAGGAGCAGTAGACAGGTCAGTTCCTGATACAGTAGGATGGAGGTGACTAGGAGCAGTAGACAGGTCAGTTCCTGATACAGTAGGATGACTAGGAGCAGTAGACAGGTCAGTTCCTGATACAGTAGGATGACTAGGAGCAGTAGACAGGTCAGTTCCTGATACAGTAGGATGACTAGGAGCAGTAGACAGGTCAGTTCCTGATACAGTAGGATGACTAGAAGCAGTAGACAGGTCAGTTCCTGATACAGTAGGATGGAGGTGACTAGGAGCAGTAGACAGGTCAGTTCCTGATACAGTAGGATGGAGGTGACTAGGAGCAGTAGACAGGTCAGTTCCTGATACAGTAGCATGGAGGTGACTGGGAGCAGTAGACAGGTCAGTTCCTGATACAGTAGGATGACTAGGAGCAGTAGACAGGTCAGTTCCTGATACAGTAGGATGGAGGTGACTAGGAGCAGTAGACAGGTCAGTTCCTGATACAGTAGGATGACTAGGAGCAGTAGACAGGTCAGTTCCTGATACAGTAGGATGGAGGTGACTAGGAGCAGTAGACAGGTCAGTTCCTGATACAGTAGGATGGAGGTGACTAGGAGCAGTAGACAGGTCAGTACCTGATACAGTAGGATGACTAGGAGCAGTAGACAGGTCAGTTCCTGATACAGTAGGATGACTAGGAGCAGTAGACAGGTCAGTTCCTGATACAGTAGGATGACTAGGAGCAGTAGACAGGTCAGTTCCTGATACAGTAGGATGGAGGTGACTAGGAGCAGTAGACAGGTCAGTTCCTGATACAGTAGGATGACTAGGAGCAGTAGACAGGTCAGTTCCTGATACAGTAGGATGGAGGTGACTAGGAGCAGTAGACAGGTCAGTTCCTGATACAGTAGGATGACTAGGAGCAGTAGACAGGTCAGTTCCTGATACAGTAGGATGACTAGGAGCAGTAGACAGGTCAGTTCCTGATACAGTAGCATGACTAGGAGCAGTAGACAGGTCAGTTCCTGATACAGTAGGATGGAGGTGACTAGGAGCAGTAGACAGGTCAGTTCCTGATACAGTAGGATGACTAGGAGCAGTAGACAGGTCAGTTCCTGATACAGTAGGATGACTAGGAGCAGTAGACAGGTCAGTTCCTGATACAGTAGGATGACTAGGAGCAGTAGACAGGTCAGTTCCTGATACGGTAAGATGGAGGTGACTAGGAGCAGTAGACAGGTCAGTTCCTGATACAGTAGCATGACTAGGAGCAGTAGACAGGTCAGTTCCTGATACAGTAGGATGACTAGGAGCAGTAGACAGGTCAGTTCCTGATACAGTAGCATGACTAGGAGCAGTAGACAGGTCAGTTCCTGATACAGTAGGATGACTAGGAGCAGTAGACAGGTCAGTTCCTGATACAGTAGGATGGAGGTGACTAGGAGCAGTAGACAGGTCAGTTCCTGATACAGTAGGATGACTAGGAGCAGTAGACAGGTCAGTTCCTGATGCAGTAGGATGGAGGTGACTAGGAGCAGTAGACAGGTCAGTTCCTGATACAGTAGGATGACTAGGAGCAGTAGACAGGTCAGTTCCTGATACAGTAGGATGACTAGGAGCAGTAGAAAGGTCAGTTCCTGATACAGTAGGATGACTAGGAGCAGTAGACAGGTCAGTTCCTGATACAGTAGGATGACTAGGAGCAGTAGACAGGTCAGTTCCTGATACAGTAGGATGACTAGGAGCAGTAGAAAGGTCAGTTCCTGATACAGTAGGATGACTAGGAGCAGTAGACAGCTCAGTTCCTGATACAGTAGGATGAATAGGAGCAGTAGACAGGTCAGTTCCTGATACAGCAGTATGACTAGGAGCAGTAGACAGGTCAGTTCCTGATACAGTAGGATGACTAGGAGCAGTAGACAGGTCAGTTCCTGATACAGTAGGATGGAGGTGACTAGGAGCAGTAGACAGGTCAGTTCCTGATACAGTAGGATGACTAGGAGCAGTAGACAGGTCAGTTCCTGATACAGTAGGATGGAGGTGACTAGGAGCAGTAGACAGGTCAGTTCCTGATACAGTAGGATGGAGGTGACTAGGAGCAGTAGACAGGTCAGTTCCTGATACAGTAGGATGGAGGTGACTAGGAGCAGTAGACAGGTCAGTTCCTGATACAGTAGGATGACTAGGAGCAGTAGACAGGTCAGTTCCTGATACAGTAGGATGACTAGGAGCAGTAGACAGGTCAGTTCCTGATACAGTAGGATGACTAGGAGCAGTAGACAGGTCAGTTCCTGATACAGTAGATTGACTAGGAGCAGTAGACAGGTCAGTTCCTGATACAGTAGGATGGAGGTGACTAGGAGCAGTAGACAGGTCAGTTCCTGATACAGTAGGATGACTAGGAGCAGTAGACAGCTCAGTTCCTGATACAGTAGGATGACTAGGAGCAGTAGACAGGTCAGTTCCTGATACAGTAGGATGACTAGGAGCAGTAGACAGGTCAGTTCCTGATACAGTAGGATGACTAGGAGCAGTAGACAGGTCAGTTCCTGATACAGTAGGATGACTAGGAGCAGTAGACAGGTCAGTTCCTGATACAGTAGGATGACTAGGAGCAGTAGACAGGTCAGTTCCTGATACAGTAGGATGGAGGTGACTAGGAGCAGTAGAAAGGTCAGTTCCTGATACAGTAGGATGACTAGGAGCAGTAGACAGGTCAGTTCCTGATACAGTAGGATGGAGGTGACTAGGAGCAGTAGACAGGTCAGTTCCTGATACAGTAGGATGACTAGGAGCAGCAGACAGGTCAGTTCCTGATACAGTAGGATGACTAGGAGCAGTAGACAGGTCAGTTCCTGATACAGTAGGATGGAGGTGACTAGGAGCAGTAGAAACGTCAGTTCCTGATACAGTAGGATGACTAGGAGCAGTAGACAGGTCAGTTCCTGATACAGTAGGATGGAGGTGACTAGGAGCAGTAGACAGGTCAGTTCCTGATACAGTAGGATGACTAGGAGCAGTAGACAGGTCAGTTCCTGATACAGTAGGATGGAGGTGACTAGGAGCAGTAGACAGGTCAGTTCCTGATACAGTAGGATGACTAGGAGCAGTAGACAGGTCAGTTCCTGATACAGTAGGATGACTAGGAGCAGTAGACAGGTCAGTTCCTGATACAGTAGGATGACTAGGAGCAGTAGACAGGTCAGTTCCTGATACAGTAGATTGACTAGGAGCAGTAGACAGGTCAGTTCCTGATACAGTAGGATGGAGGTGACTAGGAGCAGTAGACAGGTCAGTTCCTGATACAGTAGGATGACTAGGAGCAGTAGACAGCTCAGTTCCTGATACAGTAGGATGACTAGGAGCAGTAGACAGGTCAGTTCCTGATACAGTAGGATGACTAGGAGCAGTAGACAGGTCAGTTCCTGATACAGTAGTATGACTAGGAGCAGTAGACAGGTCAGTTCCTGATACAGTAGGATGACTAGGAGCAGTAGACAGGTCAGTTCCTGATACAGTAGGATGACTAGGAGCAGTAGACAGGTCAGTTCCTGATACAGTAGGATGGAGGTGACTAGGAGCAGTAGAAAGGTCAGTTCCTGATACAGTAGGATGACTAGGAGCAGTAGACAGGTCAGTTCCTGATACAGTAGGATGACTAGGAGCAGTAGACAGGTCAGTTCCTGATACAGTAGGATGACTAGGAGCAGTAGACAGGTCAGTTCCTGATACAGTAGGATGGAGGTGACTAGGAGCAGTAGAAACGTCAGTTCCTGATACAGTATCATGACTAGGAGCAGTAGACAGGTCAGTTCCTGATACAGTAGGATGGAGGTGACTAGGAGCAGTAGACAGGTCAGTTCCTGATACAGTAGGATGACTAGGAGCAGTAGACAGGTCAGTTCCTGATACAGTAGGATGGAGGTGACTAGGAGCAGTAGACAGGTCAGTTCCTGATACAGTAGGATGACTAGGAGCAGTAGACAGGTCAGTTCCTGATACAGTAGGATGACTAGGAGCAGTAGACAGGTCAGTTCCTGATACAGTAGGATGGAGGTGACTAGGAGCAGTAGGCAGGTCAGTTCCTGATACAGTAGGATGACTAGGAGCAGTAGACAGGTCAGTTCCTGATACAGTAGGATGACTAGGAGCAGTAGACAGGTCAGTTCCTGATACAGTAGGATGGAGGTGACTAGGAGCAGTAGACAGGTCAGTTCCTGATACAGTAGGATGGAGGTGACTAGGAGCAGTAGACAGGTCAGTTCCTGATACAGTAGGATGGAGGTGACTAGGAGCAGTAGACAGGTCAGTTCCTGATACAGTAGGATGGAGGTGACTAGGAGCAGTAGAAGGGTCAGTACCTGATACAGAGGATGTTCAGTATTACATTATGTTCTTGTTTTATTTTATATATGTGTGTTTTATTGACTATCAGCGGTAAAGCAAATTAACCCTCAGGGATAATAAAGATTCTCTACTCTACTCTACTCAGGGCCAATCAGAGAGCCCCGGATGTAGGTGCAGGGGTCAGGGCCAGCCAGAGAGTCCCCGGTGTAGGAGCAGGGGTCAGGGCCAGCCAGAGAGCCCCCGGTGTAGGAGCAGGGGTCAGGGCCAGCCAGAGAGCCCCCGGTGTAGGAGCAGGGGTCAGGACCATGGCAAGACCCCCAAGAAGAGATGTCACCTCACCAGACAGGGCAGCTGCTCCTCCTCGTCCTCGCTGTGCTCCCCCCGGAGGTCGTCCCGCCTCAGTCCGCGCCCCTGCCTTTCTCCCAGCATGCCGAGCCCCACCGACGCCCTCCAGGTGCTCTTCCTAACGATAATAATAACAACAATAATAATAATAACAATATTAATAATATTATTATTGTTAGGTGCCCTTCCTGGACTCCTTCACCGCCCTCCCCGTCCCTCAGCCGCCCAGGGAGGAGTTGGAGTGGAAACAGGTGAGAGCAGAGCGCCACCTTCAGGCTGGAGGCCAACGGTGGTGGTTGGGTGGTAGATCTGTTGAGTGGATCAAGAAGATAAAAAAATGACTAAATAGACTTGTACAATTTGGCTCCCAGCTCTTTTCTCTTCCTAGTAAAGTTGATACATAGTTTAAACATTGTCTAACAGGAAGTTCTCCTATGCACCAATCCTGCGTTACGGTAGTAGTGACCATTCTTTTTTTTTTTTATAATATGTTTATTATTTTCCAATAAAAATAAAGTAAAAGAGACAGCAATACAAACAATGACATTCATTGTACTGTTGGATGGGATGGCCAGTTTAGAGGACAAAACAAAAGTTAACTCACACATACACAAAATAAAACAAAATCCTATTAGGTGGTACGTGTATAAGAAGACAGCATATAGTCATTACAAGCAGTGTAGTTCAGCCAAAAATAAATATTGAGTGGAGTACAGCACAGAGTAGCAGCAGATCGTCAGCCCAGTTATGAAGCGGGACTAGACCATTTATCCAGTATCGGCTGCCATATTTTGTAAAACAATGGACTTCTATTGGAGGTGTTGTATCGAATCTTTTCCATATGGATTACATTCCCTAAATCCCGTAACCACATTTCAAAGGTAGGTACAGTCTCCAATTTCCAAAATTGCAATATGAGCCTTTTGGCTAATAGAGTACAAAGAGAGACAGCTTTCCCCTCCTGGTTGTAGTGACCATTCTTACTGTCTCATGCTGAAGGTAGTAGATTTGCTGTGGAGCGACCCGAAGAGCCAGCCAGGCTGCAGTCCCAACACCTTCAGAGGAGGAGGCAGGTACTTCGGGCCAGACGTGACCCACCGTCTGCTGGAGAGACACGGCATGAGTCTACTGATCAGATCACATGAGTGTAAACAGGAGGGCTACGAACTCTGCCACGACGGACAGGTAATCTGTTAGGCCTGGTTCAAATCTCCATTGAACATGGTTTTTAGTGTGTCTGGGAAACCAACCCCTGGCTAGTAGACAATAGGGCTATCTCTATAAGAGCTAAGTGTATTTAGTTTTTCTTTCAGGTGATCACCATTTTCTCTGCGTCTAACTACTATGAGGAGGGTAGTAACCGTGGAGCCTACATTAAGCTGGGCAGAGAGCTGCTCCCTCGCTTCTTCCAGTACCAGGTCAGCAGGATCACCAGGAAACTCACCCTGACTCAGAGGTAGGGGCTGGGGCTGGGGGTGGAGCTGGGTCTCACGGTTGCTACTGGTTTCTACACACAGAGGGTGACAATGAGTTGATAATCGTGTGTGGGTGTGTGTCTCTCCACAGGGTGAATGTGGCAGAGGGTTCGGCTGTAAGGGCTCTACAGGAGAAGCTGTTTGCCCACCGCTCAGAACTCATGGCTGCCTTTCAGCAGTATGACACAAGTAACAGTGGTAAGATATTTCTGCAATAACTTATACAATAACGTTACGTTATGGTAGTCCATCGTATCCCATGATGACTTCCACTTCTGATTTAACTGTGAATTCTTTGGTGGAGTCCAATCCGAGATCCAAAAACGTTATTGCAGGTGGGGTATGTGCAATCTGTGTTGGTGGGGGCAGCATGGTTGTATGTCTCAGTCTGTGTTGGAGGGGGCAGCATGGTTGTATGTCTCAGTCTGTGTTGGTGGGGGCAGCATGGTTGTATGTCTCAGTCTGTGTTGGCGGGGGCAGACATGGTTGTATGTCTCAGTCTGTGTTGGCGGGGGCAGCATGGTTGTATGTCTCAGTCTGTGTTGGTGGGGGCAGGCATGGTTGTATGTCTCAGTCTGTGTTGGCGGGGGCAGACATGGTTGTATGTCTCAGTCTGTGTTGGCGGGGGCAGCATGGTTGTATGTCTCAGTCTGTGTTGGCGGGGGCAGCATGGTTGTATGTCTCCTGAGCTGTTTTTGCTGTTTCTTTGTGCTCCTCTCCTCCTCCTCTGTACACCGCTCTGGCAGAGCTGCCGCCAGGTGGAATGGTCGGCAGCAGCGTCCTCCAGGTCTGTGGGTTTGATGTTGCACTTCTTCAGCAACGTTTTCAGCTGGTCCTTGTAGCACTTCATCTGCCCCCCTGCAGACCGCCTTGCCAAGCTGGCCATACAGGATCTTCCACGGCAAGCGATCCTGAGACATTCTAATGACATGCCCAAGCCAGCGCAGTTGGTGTTGGGTGACCATGGCCTCCATACTCTTGCAGATGGTCTTAGAAAGTATTTCTGTATGGGGAACACGGTCGCACCAGGTGATTCCCAGGATGCACTGCAGGCATCTTATGTGGAATCGCCCAGGCTTCCCAGCTGTAAAGGAGTGTGGTGATGCAGACGGCTTGATACACGGCGACTTCAGTGTGGAGGTGGAGATCCCTGTTTTGGAAGACCCTGCGTCTGAGTTTCCTGAAGGCAGCTGATGCTTGCTTGATCCTGTTTTGAATTTTGAGGTTGATGCTGCAGTCCTCCGAGAGGATGCTGCCCAGGTATTTGAATGAAGGGAATATCTCCAGTGATTTGTGTTCAATGGTGAAGACAGGCATGGTGGGTGGAGGGCTGGATCTCCATTGGCAGACCACCTCTGTCTTGGTGGTGTTGATAGACAGTTCCATCCTGCTATAGACCCTCACAGCTGCTACAAGGACGGACTGAAGGTCTTCTGGACTGTGGGCCACAAGAACACAGTCATCAGCATACTGCAGCTCAAGAACCCACTCCGTCAAAACCTTGGTGGTTGCTTGGAGCCTCCTGATGTTGAATAGGTTTCCATCCAGCCTGAAGTCCACCTCAACCCCAGCTGCTGTCCTCAAGCTCCTTGTGGAGAAGCTGGGTGACACATAGGAAGAAGATGTTAAAGAGCACAGGTGCCAGCTAACACCCCTGCCTCACACCGATGCTTACTCCAAAGGGCACTGACTCCTGCCCTCCTATGGCCACCCGAGCCATCATCCCATTATGGAACTGGAAAAGGATGTTGACTGATGTGTCTGGACAGCCACATTTGAGTAGAATGGTCCATAGTAGTTCCCTGCTCACAGTGTCGAAGGCCTCACACACACACACACACACACACACACACTGCCTGCCTGCTGTTAAAGAACACCCCAAACTCCTATGATATAGTAATGTTCTGAGATGTGTAGCCACCTGCCATAAAGACCACCTGGAACGTGCCCATCATTGTGTATCATTATGTGACTCTGTGCTTTGTGTCTGTTCCAGGCCGTGCCTCTGTTAGTGAGTTAGGCTGTCTGTTCCAGGCTGTACCTCTGTCAGTGAGTTTGTGTCTGTGGTGTGTGTGTCTCTTCCCACTATGTCCAGGCTGTATCTCTGTCAGTGAGTGGGCCCTGGTGGTGGAGTCAGTCCTGAGACTGGACCTGCCCTGGAGGACACTGCGCCCACGCCTGGCACGGCTCGCAACAGATGGCAGCGTCGACTACCAGTCCTGCTTCGAGGACATGGGCCCGGGACAACCCATACCCCAGGTCAGAACCAGGAAGAGACTGATTGATCCATTTTATTGATTTTTATTTTGCAACCAATAAAGCTGTTCAATAAAGCTGCTCCATTCACTCAAACTCTCTCTTTATGTCTTTTGTTCAGGTCACTCCAAACTTGGCTGAAACTCTTTACAGATATCGAACAGACCTTGAGATCATCTTCAACATCATGGACAAAGACCACTCCGGTACATGTTCCTCTGATGATGACTATTGCAGCTCATAAGCCTGCTAGCTCACATCATGCTACATGAACCATTAGCTCGTTAGAAAGAAAACCTTTAGTATTTCTTAGTTTCTCTCACTGTCTCCCCCCATCCAGGTCAGATCTCGGTCGAGGAGTTCCGTCAGACCTGGCGTCTGTTTAGCGCTCACCTGGGAGTGGATGTGGATGACCGGGCCATAGATGACCTGGCTAAGAGTATGGACTTCAACAAGGATGGCAGCATCGACTTCAACGAGTTCCTAGAGGCCTTCAGGGTGGTGCACAAACTGGATGTCAAGGACCATCAGCAGGGCTGAGAGAAAACTTGTTGTAGACCTGAAGACTCACATTAGCCACCCGTGCTAATGCCTTGGCTTTAGCTCAGTGAGCCAACACTGACAGCAGGGTTGAGAGAACTACAAAAACCAGCAGCTAGGCTGAGAGAACTACAAAGACCATCAGCATGCCTGAGAGAACTACAAAGACCATCAGCAGGGCTGAGAGAACTACAAAGACCAGCAGCTATGCTGAGAGAGAACTACAAAGACCAGCAGCTATGCTGAGAGAGAACTACAAAGACCAGCAGCTAGGCTGAGCGAGAACTACAAAGACCAGCAGCAGGGCTGAGTGAGAACTACAAAGACCAGCAACCATGCTGAGAGAGAACTACAAAGACCAGCAGCTAGGCAGAGAGAACTACAAAGACCCGAAGCAGGGCTGAGCGAGAACTACAAAGACCAGCAGCTATGCTGAGAGAGAACTACAAAGACCAGCAGCAGACTTGAGGGGAGCCATGCTCGCCTTGGCTTTAGCTCTGCAGGCTAAAACATTATTGTGGCATTCCAGAGACCCGGATGCAAACCCAGTCGGTCAACCATGCACTCAAAGTGTAGCACATGCAGTTGCATGAGTCAGGAATATTCTACATCTAGGAGATGTAGTCAGCCTGCTCCCTCTAGTGTAGAACATGTCTCAGAGGAGAACACACTACTCTCACCAGCTACTGATATGGAGACAGACCAACACAAATGTAAGGTTTCTACAGACAAAGCATACAAGGGCTTCCTGGGGCATGTCCTAACTCTGCTCTGCAGACAAACAGCACTTTACCCCATCTTTTCTAGGTCTGAGACATGGCTGTAACTCTGAGACCAGACTGCTACATCCTCTCTTCAGGGTTAAAGGTCCAATGCAGCCGTTTTTTTTATCCCATTGTTTAATCATTTCTAGGTAACAATTAAGTACATTACTGTGATTGTTTTCCTTAAAATGGTCAGAAAGAAACTAAAATAGCTTCTTAGCAAAGAGCTATTTCTCAAGCAAGAATTTAGCTATGACTGTCTGGGACAGGTATGGCATATCAAGAAGCTGATTAAACAGCATGATCATTACACAGGTGCACCTTGTGCTGGGGACAATAAAAGGCCACTCTAAAATGTGCAGTTCTGTCACACAACATAATGCCACAGATGTCTCAAGTTTTGAGGGAGTGTGCAATTGGCATGCTGACTGCAGGAATGTCCACCAGAGCTGTTTCCAGAGAATTTAATGTTCATTTCTCTACTATAACCTCCCTCCAACGTCGTTTTAGGGAATTTGGCAGTACGTCCAATCGGCCTCACAACCGCAGACCCTGTGTAACCACGCCAGCTCAGGACATCCACATCCGGCTTTTTCACCTGTGGGAGTGTCGGGGGGGGGTGTCGAGCAGTATTTCTGTCTGTAATAAAGCTGGAAAAAAAATATCTGATTGGCTGGGCCTGGCTCCCCAGTGGGTGGGCCTGGCTGCCAAGTGGGTGGGTCTATGCCCTCCAAGGCCCACCCATGGCTGCACCCCTGCCCAGTCATGTGAAATCCATAGATTAGGGCCTAATTAATTTATTTCAATGGACTGATTTCCTTATATGAACTGTAACTCAGTAAAATCAGTTGCATTTATATTTTTGTTCAGTGTGTGTGTATATATATATATATATATATATATATATATATATATATATATATATATATATACACACACACACATATACAGTCATGTGAAAAAGTAATAACCCTCCATTTATTATTTTTTTGCCATTCTGTTGTAGCTTTGCTTTTGAGTTTTGGATTAATGTCCTGTTGTAAGATCCATGTTCGGTTCAGCTTCAGCTTTTTGACAGATGGCCTCACATTCTCCTCAAGAATTCTCTGGTACAATATAGAATTCAAGGTTGACTCAATGATGGCAAGTTGGCCAGGCCCTGAGGCAGCAAAGCAGCCCCAAACCATAATGCCACCGCCTCAATGCTTTACGGTTGGTAGGAGGTACTTCTGTTCAAAGGCAGTGTTTCCTTTTCGCCAAACAACTCCACATTTGACTCATCTTTCCAGAGCACATTGTTCCAGTAGTTTTGGTCTTTACCCAGGTGTTGTCTGGCAAACGTCAGTCGTGTCTTGATATTCTTTGAGAGCAGAGGCTTCTTCCTTCCTGACCTCCCATGTAGGCCAAGTTTGTGCAGTCTCTTTCTGACAGTTGACTCATGCACTTCCACATTGATTGTGGCAACAGAGGCCTGTAGATCCCTTAATGTTACCCTGGGGTTCTTAGAGACTTCTATGGGCATCTTTCAGTCAGCTCTTGGGCTGAATTTGGTGGGACGACCTGTCCTAGGTAGATTGCCAGTGGTCTGGAATTTTCTCCATTTGTAGATGAGCCATCGGACAGTGGAATGATGTACTTCGAATTGCTTGGAAATGGATTTATAACCCCTCCCAGACTCATGGGCATCAATTTGGTTAAGACCAAACCAGACCAAGTTTATAATCTTTATGGAAGGCTGGACCCTCCTAAGTTTCTCTCTAACTGTAAGTCGCTCTGGATAAGAGCGTCTGCTAAATGACTAAAACGTAAATGTAAATGTAATGATTTTCTGTTATGATGCACCTGATTCTAATTTGAGCCATTTTACATGATGGTAAAGGTAGGGGTGTACTAACTTTTTCCACATAAGGAAAAGGCATTTCTGTTTATTTTAATCGCATAACATTTTCTACGTTGAATTGTTTTTGTGTGATTTGTTAAATTGAGTTTCCTTTATCAATGAATGTGGTGGGAATTTAGCTCGAATATCCATGTGTCCAAAGACCACTTTCCAGGGGGTGTACTTACTTTTTCACATGAATATATATATATATATATGAAAATCTCATTTGAATGCACTGGGCCTTTAAAATATATCTGTTTCTATAAAGCAGTGTGGAAACTCCAACCAACAGGTGAACCAGCAGGGTGAAGAAAGCATTGAGGGGAGTTCAGTGGAGTCTTTATTTTCTAGCTTCAGAGACTGTTACAGTATATAACCCTATGGTGAATACAGAACTAAGCTTTACCCATCTGACAATGTGTTTGTAATATAATGATTTTCAGCTGGACAGTTTTTAATTTGTTATACTTATTCTACGAAAAGAATTACTGGAAAAAATGCAATGAAATGTTTTATTTGAGTAAATACTTTTAAATCATATCTGGTATGTACCGCATGTGTTTCCATTTCAAAACCACACTTTATTAAAGGTCAAAGGTAGAATCATAAAACAAAAACAGAGAGAAGCCATACATTCTAAATGCATGCAGCAAAAACAATAGTAAATCTTGTTTTATTTTTATAAACGGGGAACAAGTGTGTCAAGTGAAAGACAAACAGTGCAGATAAAGACAAGGTAAAACATTGTGCAGGTGAAGTTGGAAACTCTGCGAGGGCTTATATGAAAACCACACCAAAATATGATCTATGGCAAGACCTGAAAATGGTTGTCTAGCAATGATCAACAACAAATTTGACAGAGCTTGAAGAATTTTGAAAATAATGGGCAAATGTTGCACAATCCAGGTGTGGAAAGCTCTTCGAGACTTACCCAGAAAGACTCACAGCTGGGACCCAGTAGTTCCGAAAGTGCCTAGCAACAAAACTCAATGTCCTTAAAAAATGTGTTTCATTTTTACTTTCATATTATCTGAAGTCGTCTTAACATTTGGAGTCATTAACTACCTGGTTGTCTCCGTAGCAGGAGCTTCATGATCCTCGGTGTTCCAGAGGACTCTGCAAGGGAAGGAAACCACAAGAACCAACGTGGAAGAAACTGTTCCAAGTGAATCATATAGGACCTCTGGAATGCCCTGGTCCGGCACCTCACTCTCAGTCATCATATCTACTGTTAGAATATGAATAAAGCCTCTAGTCTGAGCTCAACCTTGTCTGACCGTGTCCATCAGTAGTGGGTGGAAAATCTATTCTCTCTTTTATACCCATGAAAACACAGCTCCACTTTCACTCCATGTTGTAGTGATTGAGAAGTTTAAAGACACTGGAAATAGACTAGTGTCCTGTCCAGGGGCTGTACTGTACATCAAGCTGCCTCATGATAAAGGAACAGGAGATAGACTAGTGTCCTGTCCAGGGGGTGTACTGTACATCAAGCTGCCTCATGATACAGAAACAGGAGATAGACTAGTGTCCTGTCCAGGGGGTGTACTGTACATCAAGCTGCCTCATGATAAAGGAACAGGAGATAGACTAGTGTCCTGTCCAGGGGGTGTACTGTACATCAAGCTGCCTCATGATACAGAAACAGGAGATAGACTAGTGTCCTGTCCAGGGGGTGTACTGTACATCAAGCTGCCTCATGATACAGGAACAGGAGATAGACTAGTGTCCTGTCCAGGGGGTGTACTGTACATCAAGCTGCCTCATGATACAGAAACAGGAGATAGACTAGTGTCCTGTCCAGGGGGTGTACTGTACATCAAGCTGCCTCACTACAGAAACAGGAAATAGGCTCCTGCTCCAGTGGGGTTGCTGTTATACTGTATCATGTGATGTGTAGCTTTAAATGCTCTTTACCGGCTGTTTCCTTGACCGTTTCCTTACATGGTTACATTTGTATTCTGTGTGTGTGTGTGCATGTTTGTGCATGCATATAGACATGTGTGGGTGTGTATTGGAAGCCCCATAATTACAAAGCAATGTGTGAGCACTGTTAAACACACCTCGTACTTCTGACTGGCAGGCAGGCCAAATGGCAGGACCAGCCCCTCTCGGGAGGGTGGGAGGCATTCCACAGGTCTGGTGTTCAGGATCACACACACACACACACACACACACACACAGGACAACGCACACACACATTTACATTTTAGTCATTTAGCAGACGCTCTTATCCAGAGCGACTTACAGTTAGTGAGTGCATACATTTTTCATACTGGCCCCCCGTGGGAATCGAACCCACAACCCTGGCGTTGTAAGCGCCATGCTCTACCAACTGAGCTACAGGAGGCCTAGACAACACACACACAGGATCACAAACACACACAGGACAACACACACACAGGACAACACACTCACAGGACAACACACACACAGGACAACACACTCACGCAAACACACACACTAGAACTACAAGGTGCCAGAGGATCCCAGATACGCAGAAAGAGAGGGAAGATGAGAGAGAGAGAGGGAGAGGAAGGGAGAGGGAGAGAGAGGGAGAGGGAGGATGAGAGAGAGAGAGGGAGAGGAAGGGAGAGAGAGAGAAGAGTAGAGCACCTCAGTCGACTGCAGGGAAGACCATGGGGGCTCTGACGGGGCTTCTCTCTGCGCTAGTCGCTCTACTGTGGACCCTCCCTCCAGGTCAGTCAGTCTGTCTACCATGTCAATCTATTGGAGCTCTTGTTTCTGCTTGGTAAAAGTACTTTTGAGATCAAGGGGAACTCCTTGCATCAGGCTTGCTTTCTTTTGGTCTGCATTCCAGGGTCTTTGGGTGAGGAGGAATGCAGTGGTTTCAGACACCTGGAGAACGGTATAACATTCTTCCGCTACAGGGGGCTGTATGTGACGTTCACCTGTAACCCTGGCTACAAGATCCATGGTTATAGGACCAACAGCTGTGTGTCTGGACAATGGTCCAGGGAACCTCCTGTGTGTGTTGGTAAGTGACTTTGATTCATTTATTTCAAGTTACGCTATTCAATCTACATTTTATGGCCTTCTCCCTTTCTCTCTCTCTCTCCTTCTCCTTGTTTCTCTCTATCTCCTTCTCATCCTCTCTCTCTCCTCTCTCTCTCCTTCTCCTTCTCTCTCTCCTTCTCCTCCTTCTCTCTCTCTCCTTCTCCTTCTCTCTCTCTCCTTCTCCTCTCTCTCTCTCCTTCTCCTTGTCTCTCTCTCCTTCTCCTCTCTCTCTCTCCTTCTCCTTCTCTCTCTCTCTCCTTCTCCTTCTCCTCTCTCTCTCCTTCTCCTTCTCTCTCTCTCCTTCTCCTTCTCTCTCTCTCCTTGTCTATCTTCTCTTTCCAGCTTTTTCTCCTCTAATCTGTGTTGAATCTCCTGTTTGTGTATTCCAGGCTCTGGGTGTCCCAGCCCTGGGGATCTCACGCATGGGGTTACAAGTGTGACAGATGATGGGTCCTGGGTTCTCTTCAGCTGTGATGCCGGCTACAGGCTCTATGGACACTCACTGCTCTACTGCAAGGGCCAGAACTGGAACGGCACCAAGCCTGTCTGCAAGGGTGAGATATTTAACTTACTGACTTGGTCCTCTTTGCCCCCTTGGGGTGTCCACCGTGGCCCTCCACCTCACTCTTTTCAGTGTGAGGCCTGAGGGTGAGACTGCTGTAGATTACTATCAACATCGTATTATACAGTAGGCTACCCTCCTTCATGTGGACCAGTTATAAACATACCCTGTAATCTGATTTTTAACCTGCCTTAAACGAAGGCATCGATGGATGATGTCTCCTGATCTTGATCCTCCTCTCTGACTCTCCCTCCTAGAGTCTGACATGATGAGTTCAGGGAAGCAGAAGGAGCCAACGGTCCCGATGCCCGGGATCCAGAACCAGAACCTTGACGCTCCGTTCGCTCTGAAGAACCACCTACGGCTTCACTACAATACCATCGCTAACACTGCCTCCAAGGATGCCTTCCTCAAGCCCAACTTGCTGGCCAACGCACCACCCAAAGACCCCCACACCCACCTAAAAGACCCACACTCCATAGACTTCAGCCCCAAAGCTCACCTTGTGGAGGAGATTCTGAAAGACACCAGGGGTCTAACAGACAGAGAAGGGGCCCCTGAGAAGCCCACTAGACCACAGGCCTCCACATCATCCTCTACTACTACAGAGACCATTACTTCCACATCTGGCCTGCCGGTCTCTCCTGCTGAAGGGTATGGGCACCAAGGGACCTCCATAGCCCAGGCTGAGCAGGACGATTCATTACCCAGGAAGGAGGTGCCGACAGGGGCCACCCAGGTGGAGCCTGGCCAGGGCGTTACGGAGCCAGCAGATGTGAGCAGCACAGAAACACAGGAGCCTGGTCCTCAGAGACCCACTGAGACGAGCTCCACAAGCTTCATCAACTCTAGCAACACCACCAGCCACTGGGTCAATGGAACAGACATGGATGGTCATCACATCCAGGTGAAGGAGACCGCATCATTATCTCTTGATGATGATGATGATGGTGAAACTCTTCAACACAACGTGACCTCTCCGGATCTGGCATCAAACGAGTCCTCACAGTACAATGAAACCGACACAAGTGACCGTCATCACAGTCAGGCCAATGAGACATCATCATCACCACTGTCCGGTGATGATCGTGAAACGTCCCTACACAATGGGACTTCATCATATCTGGCTTCAAACAGGTCAGACCATCATCTTGTTAAGGGTGCCACAGGCACAGTGGACCTGCTCGGGCCTGTGACCATAACCAGGCGTCCGGTGTGCCCTTACCCTCCCCTGCCCGCTCATGGCACCTTCTACTTCCGTACGGTAGACAACCCTGGTCCGCAGGACTACAAACACTACATCCAGTACGCCTGCTATGCAGGGCACACACTGGCCCACGGGGATATCCACAGCTACTGTCTGCAGGGCGGACGGTGGAGTGGTGTCACACCTGTCTGCTTGGGTAAGTCACTGCACTATCATTCCCCAATGTATTGCCTCTACAGATTCTGTAGTACCGAATGGAAGGCCTACAGAAGGCCCTAGAAGCATTGTTCACAACCTATGTTGCCATGTTCACCTCATGGGCTGAGTCCTCTGTGTTTGGGAAGGTGAGAAGTAAAGGGTCCCTGTACTTAACCCTGTTAGTTGCTGTGTAGAGATGATGTGTGGAGATGTATGTGTAGAGATGTATGTGTAGAGATGTATGTGTAGAGATGTATGTGTAGAGATGTATGTGTGGAGATGTATGTGTGGAGATGTATGTGTAGAGATGTATGTGTAGAGATGTATGTGTGGAGATGTATGTGTAGAGATGTATGTGTGAGATGTTGTGTAGAGATGTATGTGTGAGATGATGTGTAGAGATGATGTGTAGAGTATGTGGAGTGTTGTGAGATGTGTATGTGTGAGATGTATGTGTGAGATGTATGTGTGGAGATGATGTGTGGAGATGTATGTGTAGGAGTAGGTAGTGTAGAGATGTTGTTGAGCTGTATGTGTAGAGTGTATGTTGAGTCGTATGTGTAGAGATGTCTGTGTAGCAGCTGTGTGTATTGGATGCATGTGTGAGATGATGTGTGAGTGATTGTGGATGTGTGTGGATGTGTGTGGATGTGTGTGGTGTTGTGGAGTGTGTGTGAGACTGATGTGTGAATGATGGTGTCAGATGCTGTGTGTGAGCTGTGTGGAGATGATGTGTGGAGATGATGGGTGTAGATGATGGGTGTAGATGATGGGTGTAGATGTATGTGGAGATGATGTGTGGAGATGTATGTGGAGATGATGTGTGGAGATGATGTGTGTTAGGAGAGAAACAGGTAACGAAGGGAGACGTGTGCAGCTTTCTCTGTTTTCTACATTATTACCTCAGTGACATCAGAAGATCTGTTACACGCGTTATCTCTCAGTAACTGACTAACTGAGTGACTGACTGGCAGACTGAGTGGAATCACCAGGAAGTCAGTGCTGTGCTTGGTAGACTCTGGCAGCCGGTCCCAATTCACTTATTTCCCCTTCCCTTCTCCTTGGAACTAACCCTTTGATGGGTAGGGAGTGAATTGGGACCAGCTGTGGTTGTTGGAAGACAGTCCTATTTTAAATTGATGGGGCTCAGTGAAGGTATAGTCATAATTCATAGGTGGCCAACCCTACTCCTGGAGAGCTACCCTCCTGCAGGGTCTTTATTCCAGCCCTACTATAACACACAAAGCCTGCACACCTGTTATAGTACTATACAGAATCACCTTCATTCACCAAGCGCATTTTACATGTACCAAAAATTTGACCTGGTGAAATGGTATCAGACAATAAACAGAATATACAGACAGGATATACAGACAGGATATACAGACAGGATATACAGACAGGATATACAGACAGGATATACAGACAGGATATCCAATACAGACATGAGCCACTGACTCCTCCATCTCTGGCCTCTAACCCTAGAGGTGACCCCCTGCTCCCTGAACAACGGAGGCTGTTCCCAGCTGTGTAGTGTGAACCAGGAACAGGCTCAGTGTCACTGCAGACCAGGCTTCACCCTGCTAGAGGACCACCGTACCTGTAGAGGTCAGTAAAACAATCAATCAATCAATCAAGGTGAGAGACGAAGTGACTCGGTTTGAACCCAGGGTCTCCTGTGCGCCCCAAGACAGTGTTCACCCACTGAGATAAAGCCGTAGCAAGTAACGCAAGTCCTCAAGGGACATGTTTCACTGAAACAACTGGTACAAGAGCTACTACACATTCACCAAGCTTTGTGGTAGAAATAGGTATTTCACTTTATGAGCCCAAAACCACTAGTCAGTGTTGTGTTTGTGCTCCTTGTTGGGGTGAGAGGTCAAATGTCTTGTTTGTGTTGCCTTGACTACCCAAGATGTCTTCCTCCACAGTGTCCGACTAGCCAAGATGTCTTCCTCCACAGCCTCTGACTAACCAAGATGTCTTCCTCCACAGCCTCTGACTAACCAAGATGTCTTCCTCCACAGCCTCTGACTAACCAAGATGTCTTCCTCCACAGCCTCTGACTAACCAAGAGGTCTTCCTCCACAGCCTCTGACTAACCAAGATGTCTTCCTCCACAGCCTCTGACTAACCAAGATGTCTTCCTCCACAGCCTCTGACTAACCAAGATGTCTTCCTCCACAGTCTCTGACTAACCAAGATGTCTTCCTCCACAGCCTCTGACTAACCAAGATGTCTTCCTCCACAGCCTCTGACTAACCAAGATGTCTTCCTCCACAGCCTCTGACTAACCAAGATGTCTTCCTCCACAGCCTCTGACTAACCAAGATGTCTTCCTCCACAGCCTCTGACTAGCCAAGATGTCTTCCTCCATAACCTCTGTATAAAGAACAGCTGTAGTGTCTAAAACAACAGGGTCTGCGATGTGATCATGATGCCCTCTAAATTCAATGATGTTTTTACAGCCTGAGAAGCTCCCATTTAGAGCTTGACATTCTTGACCCATAACATCTTTAACACTCTGATCACACGGCAGCACTGCAGAGGGACCAAGCTACAGCGTGGGGAAAGACCATGTTAATATGTTTCATGAGCTCTATTCCACGGTTCACCTACAAAGTAGTCTCTTGTGACAGCTGGACATTTGGTTCTGGGTGTCCAGTAAATAACCTGGGTCAAATGATCTACCTTAAAAAGCTTGAAATTGGCTTCTGTTAAAAAGTGTTTCTCTGTTGAGAAATACTTTCTCACAATTTCTATTTTCCCTCAACAGGTTATATACACGCTGGCAGTAACCCATCATTTGAGTCTCAGAATAAAGTACTACTATTATTCACTGTCTATAGACAGGTGGTTGAATAAACAGGTGGTTTTCTCCTGTAGTCAGACCTGACTATCATAATATCAATACATGCTATAATCAGTCTGACTCAGACAGGCATACCATACCATACCATACCATACCATACCATACCATACCATACCATACCATACCATACCATACCATACCATACCATACCATACCATACCATACCATACCATACCATACCATAGCATACCAGACCAGACCATACCATACCAGACCAGACCAGACCATACCATCCCATACCAGACCATACCATACCAGACCAGACCAGACCATACCATACCAGACCAGACCAGACCAGACCAGACCAGACCAGACCAGACCAGACCATACCATACCATACCATACCACACCACACCACACCACACCACACCAGACCAGACCAGACCATTCCACAGAGATAAATATTAATTTACACATTCCAATATTACAGCAGTGGTGTAAACACACACATCTATACACACAGCTACACACACAGCTACACACACAGCTACACACACAGCTACACACACATCTATACACACAGCTACACACACAGCTACACACACATCTATACACACAGCTACACACACAGCTACACACACATCTATACACACAGGTACACACACAGCTACACACACATCTATACACACAGCTACACACACAGCTACACACACATCTATACACACAGCTACACACACAGCTACACACACAGCTACACACACAGCTACACACACATCTACACACACAGCTACACACACACATCTACACACACATCTACACACACATCTATACACACAGCTACACACACATCTATACACACAGCTACACACACAGCTACACACACAGCTACACACACATCTATACACACAGCTACACACACATCTACACACACATCGATACACACAGCTACACACACATCTATACACACAGCTACACACACAGCTACACACACATCTATACACACATCTACACACACAGCTATACACACATCTACACACACATCTACACACACATCTATACACACAGCTACACACACAGCTACAGTTGAAGTCGGAAGTTTACATACACTTACGTTGGAGTCATTAAAACTCGTTTTTCAACCACTCCACACATTTCTTGTTAACAAACTATAGTTTTGGCAAGTCGGTCATTTTTCCAACAATTGTTTACAGACAGATTATTTCACTTATAATTCACTGTATCACAATTCCAGTGGGTCAGAAGTTTACATACACTGTGCCTTTCAACAGCTTGGAAAATTCCAGAAAATGATGTCATGGCTTTAGAAGCTTCTGATAGGCTAATTGACATCATTTGAGTCAATTGGAGGTGTACCTGTGGATATATTTCAAGGCCTACCTTCAAACTCAGTGCCTCTTTGCTTGCCATCTGTCACGATCGTCACATGATGAAGCAGACCAAGGCGCAGCGTGATAGGCATACATACTTTATTAGTGTACACACACGGACCAAAACAATAAACAAACGATACGTGAAGTCCTGGGTTAATAACACAAACCTTAACGGAACAAGATCCCACAATAAACATGTGCCAACAGGCTGCCTAAGTATGGTCCCCAATCAGAGACAACAAGCTACAGTTGCCTCTGATTGGGAACCACCCTGGCCAACATAGATATACACAAACTAGAACACAAACCTAGAAAACTAAACAATGAAACCTACACACCCTGGCTCAACATATAATAGTCCCCAGAGCCAGGGCGTGACAACATCATGGAAAATCAAAAGAAATCAGCCAAGACCTCAGAAATAAAATTGTAGACCTCCACAAGTCTGGTTCATCCTTGGGAGCAATTTCCAAACGTCTGAAGGTACCACGTTCATCTGTACAAACAATAGTGCGCAAGTATAAACACCATGGGACCACGCAGCCGTCATACCGCTCAGGAAGGAGACACGTTCTGTCTCCTAGAGATTAACGTACTTTGGTGCGAAAAGTGCAAATCAATCCCAGAACAACAGCAAAGGACCTTGTGAAGATGCTGAAGGAAACAGGTACAAAAGTATCTATATCCACAGTAAAACGAGTCCTATCTCGACATAACCTGAAAGGCCGCTCAGCAAGGAAGAAGCCACTGCTCCAAAACCGCCATAAAAAAGCCAGACTATGGTTTGCAACTGCACATGCGGACAAAGATCGTACTTTTTGGAGAAATGTCCTCTGGTCTGATTAAACAAAAATATAACTATTTGGCTATAATGACCATCGTTATGTTTGGAGGAAAAAGGGGGGACTTGCAAGCCGAAGAACACCATCCCAACGTGAAGCACGGGGGTGGCAGCATCATGCTGTGGGGGTGCTTTGCTGCAGGAGGGACTAGTGCACTTCACAAAATAGATGGCATCATGAGGAAGGAAAATTGTGGATATACTGAAGCAACATCTCAAGACATCAGTCAGGAAGTTAAAACTTGGTCGCAAATGGGTCTTCCAAATGGACAATTACCCCAAGCATACTTCCAAAGTTGTGGCAAAATGGCTTAAGGACAACAAAGTCAAGGTATTGGAGTGGTCATCACAAAGCCCTGACCTCAATCCTATAGAACATTTGTGGGCAGAACTGAAAAAGCATGTGCGAGCAAGGAGGCCTACAAACCTGCCTCAGTTTTACTAGCTCTGTTAGGAGGAATGGGCCAAAATTCACCCAACTTATTGTGGGAAGCTTGTGGAAGGCTACCCGAAACGTTTGACCCAAGTTAAACAATTTAAAGGCAATGCTACCAAATACTAATTGAGTGTATGTAAACTTCTGACCCATTGGGAATGTGATGAAAGAAATAAAAGCTGAAATAAATAATTCTCTCTACTATTATTCTGACATTTCACATTCTTAAAATAAAGTGGTGATCCTAACTGACCTAAGACAGGGAATTTTTACTAGGATTAAATGTCAGGAATTGTGAAGAACTGAGTTTAAATGTATTTGGCTAAGGTGTATGTAAACTTCCGACTTCAACTGTACACACACATCTACGCACACAGCTACACACAAAGCTATACACACATCTACGCACACAGCTACACGTGCTCTCCTGGGTAAGATCAGGAGCTCAACTAGCAGGTACAGTAGTTGATATATCTCCCTGAGTCGTTTTCCACACACTGCAGCTTCCTCTATAAATCAGATGTTTTTCTCTGAGTCTGTATTTCATGTATTCGAACAGGGCCAGACCGCTGAGGCCAGGGCTGCAGATCACATCAGTGGAACAGAACAGGTGGATGTTAGCTAATACACACTGTTGTTGTAACATAAGACTGAACACTGACACGATCAAAACAGCATCACACATCGCCTTTGTCAGACATGAAAGCCAACGGTGCATGGGTGGTCTCCATGGCAATGAGGTGTGCCAGAGCGAGAGAACATTAGAGAGAGACAGAGAGAAACAAAGAGAGAGAGAGAGAGAGAGAGAGCTGCTATACTCTTTCATCTCAGGGCCTTTGTGACATCAGCATCAGACAGGCCACTTTCCTAATTGTGTGTGTGTACGCACGTGTTTTTAAACAATACCTGTGTGTGTCCTCGGTGCAGATGTGGATGAGTGTGTGGAGGGCCAGCCGCAGCAGCGCTGCCAGCAGACCTGCGTCAACACCTTCGGCTCGTTCCGCTGCTCTTGCCCCAACGGACACATCCTGGCCGGGGACGGAAGGGTCTGTGTGGCTGAGTGTCCAGCAGGGTACAGGAAACAACCCTCAACCCCAAAACCTGGAGGAAACTCGTCCAGAAAGGCGTGTGTGGGTAGGAGACACTGGGGATGCATTAGGTTCAGTAGAAATGAAGAGAGAATGCCGCAACCTTTAGTGAGACTAGTGGAATATCTCTCTCTTAATTACCCTCGTGGAAATCTAATTAGCATAATCCAAAAATCCCTGTAAAAATATGTCAATTTAAACGAGATATCTCAATCCACCGCATCAGCCGATGTCGCACTTCCGCATCTGCGGTGAAAGAGCTAGAGCAGTGTTGGTCAGACCATGAGACATCCCGAAAATCGGTCTCTCACAATATAGTCTGTAATGGAAGGATGAGACTCTCACGAACATGATGGTGTCCTCCCTTTTGCTCTATGACCGCCACAAGCGTCTTGGGACTCGTCTTAAGTCGGTACAGCCGATCAGCCAACTTCTGTCTGTAGCATCCTAACGGTTTGGGCAACACACTAATATGACCCCTCTGTGGAAAGGTGAGACTCTCACGAACATGTACATTGCTCTAAGTACATTGCTCTAGGATGCCCACAGGCCTCACAAGACTCGTCTGAAGGGTCCCCGGTACCAGTTGAAAAAAAGGAATGGAAGTATATATGGAGACTGTTCAGTGCCAAAAATAAGGGGTTAAATACATGTTTAAAAGAACTACAAAAAACAAGTCAAATAACAAATGTTTCCCGAACCTACTTATATCGCTCAGATATAGGGCAGACACTTCAGAACAAACTAACTTTATATCGCTCAGATATAGGGCAGACACTTCAGAACAAACTAACTTTATATCGCTCAGATATAGGGCAGACACTTCAGAACAAACTAACTTTATATCGCTCAGATATAGGGCAGACACTTCAGAACAAACTCACTTTATATCGCTCAGATATAGGGCAGACACTTCAGAACAAACTAACTTTATATCGCTCAGATATAGGGCAGACACTTCAGAACAAACTAACTTTATATCGCTCAGATATAGGGCAGACACTTCAGAACAAACTAACTTTATATCGCTCAGATATAGGGCAGACACTTCAGAACAAACTAACTTTATATCACTCAGATATAGGGCAGACACTTCAGAACAAACTAACTTTATATCGCTCAGATATAGGGCAGACACTTCAGAACAAACTAACTTTATATCGCTCAGATATAGGGCAGACACTTCAGAACAAACTAACTTTATATCGCTCAGATATAGGGCAGACACTTCAGAACAAACTAACTTTATATCGCTCAGATATAGGGCAGACACTTCAGAACAAACTAACTTTATATCGCTCAGATATAGGGCAGACACTTCAGAACAAACTAACTTTATATCGCTCAGATATAGGGCAGACACTTCAGAACAAACTAACTTTATATCGCTCAGATATAGGGCAGACACTTCAGAACAAACTAACTATCTGTTTTTCCATTTAGTGAATCTGTTATTCAATGCGTTTGTATGAGCTAATTGTAGTAAGGCCAAATTAAAATGTAATTTTTTTATATATATCTTTGGTACTTCAAGGAGTCTTAAAATTCAAACTCACAAATAGCTAAAGGATCCTTGGTATGACCTTCTTAAAACAATTCCTCCCTCCGGCTTAGTCTGTAGAGGGTCTCTTTACCCACATGAACTATTCTCTCCTACATGAAACAATGTGTATGGCAATTAGGTGGTCTTCAACTTCTGGAATGACACTGATCCTTTACAGACATCAATGAATGTGAGGAGCCAGAGGTCGGTGTATCTGCACACAGGTGTCAGTGGAAGTGTGTCAACCTGCCTGGCTCCCACCGCTGTATCTGCCCCAGAGGTTACAAACTGTACTCAGACGGACACCACTGCAGAGGTGAGAGGAACACGCCCACTAATGCACACACATCCATACACACACACAAACACACACACACACACACACAGCAGACATAAATAGATCAAACTGAAGTCTTTGACAAATCTACGATCACAATCACTTCCAATGATATCTTTCTGACCAGCCCTTGCCCTCTGTTTTATCAACAGATATCAATGAATGTAGCCGTAAGAATGGTGGCTGCTCTCACCTCTGCCGGAACCATAAAGGAAGTTACCAGTGTTTCTGTCCTGCCTCTCAGCGCCTCTCCCCCTACAGTAGGAAGAAGTGTCAGCCAAGGAAAGAAATGCAGAGTAATGTGTAGCAGAGATAGGGTGGTGATAATTGTAATTTAAATCTAAATATAATGTATTCTATTGCTTCTACCGTGCCTCTGTTCGGCCCTTGAACAATGATTTCTACAATTTCATCTACATTTAGTCACTTCATTTTGCAGATTTTTTTAGTCAAATCATTATTGAGAACAGTATTAAAAAAAAAGCATTCAAATATTATTGTCATATTCAGAACATATCGGAAACATTGATTGAGGCTTCCACTGCGTTATACAGACATATTCAGTGAGGGAAAAAAGTATTTGATCCCCTGCTGATTTTGTACGTTTGCCCACTGACAAAGACATGATCAGTCTATCATTTTAATGGTAGGTTTATTTGAACAGTGAGAGACAGAATAACAACAAAAAAATCAAGAAAAACGCATGTCAAAAATGTTATAAATTGATTTGCATTTTAATGAGGGAAATAAGTATTTGACCCCTCTGCAAAACATGACTTAGTACTTGGTGGCAAAACCCTTGTTGGCAATCACAGAGGTCAGACGTTTCTTGTAGTTGGTCACCAGGTTTGCACACATCTCAGGAGGGATTTTGTTCCACTCCTCTTTGCAGATCTTCTCCAAGTCATTAAGGTTTCGAGGCTGATGTTTGGCAACTCGAACCTTCAGCTCCCTCCACAGATTTTCTATGGGATTAAGGTCTGGAGACTGGCTAGGCCACTCCAGGACCTTAATGTGCCTCATCTTGAGCCACTCCTTTGTTGCCTTGGCCGTGTGTTTTGGGTCATTGTCATGCTGGAATACCCCATCCACGACCCATTTTCAATTCCCTGGCTGAGGGAAGGAGGTTCTCACCCAAGATTTGACGGTACATGGCCCCGTCCATCGTCCCTTTGATGTGGTGAAGTTGTCCTGTCCCCTTAGCAGAAAAACACCCCCAAAGCATAATGTTTCCACCTCCATGTTTGACGGTGGGGATGGTGTTCTTGGGGTCATAGGCAGCATTCCTCCTCCTCCAAACACGGCGAGTTGAGTTGATGCCAAAGAGTTCGATTTTGGTCTCAACTGACCACAACAGTTTCACCCAGTTCTCCTATGAATCATTCAGAAGTTCATTGGCAAACTTCAGATGGCCGTGTATATGTGCTTTCTTGAGCAGGGGGACCTTGCGGGCGCTGCAGGATTTCAGTCCTTCACGGCGTAGGGTGTTACCAATTGTTTTCTTGGTGACTATGGTCCCAGCTGCCTTGAGATAATTGACAAGATCCTCCCGCGTAGTTCTGGGCTGATTCCTCACCGTTCTCATGATCATTGCAACTCCACGAGGTGAGATCTTGCATGGAGCCCCGGGCCGAGGGAGATTGACAGTTCTTTTGTGTTTCTTCCATTTGCGAATAATCGCACCAACTGTTGTCACCTTCTCCCCAAGCTGCTTGGCGATGGTCTTGTAGCCCATTCCAGCCTTGTGTAGGTCTACAATCTTGTCCCTGACATCATTGGAGAGCTCTTTGGTCTTGGCCATGGTGGAGAGTTTGGAATCTGATTGATTGATTGCTTCCGTGGACAAGTATATTTTATACAGGTAACAAGCTGACATTAGGAGCACTCCCTTTAACAGTGTGCTCCTAATCTCAGCTCGTTACCTGTATAAAATACACCTGGTAGCCAGAAATCTTTCTGATTGAGAGGGGGTCAAATACTTATTTCCCTCATTAAAATGCAAATCAATTTATAACATTTTTGACATGCGTTTTTCTGGATATTTTCTTATTTATTCTGTCTCTCACTGTTCAAATAAACCTACCATTAAAATTATAGACTGATCATTTCTTTGTCAGTGGGCAAACATACAAAATCAGCAGGGGATCAAATACTTTTTTTCCCTCACTGTAGCTGAAGAGAAACCAGAAGAACACATTATTAGTTTATGTATTTAATTGATGTTATTAGATTAACACAGCATTTCAATATATTATATTTCCCTCAAATGATTACATCTTGTTTTACAAGGTAATGCAAATTAATTAATAAAAACATAATGAAAACGTGGTGACTTTTATAATAGATTAGTAGAATTGATCCCCTCAAAATGTTCTCAACTTGGTCCAAATGTAAAAATGTTCTCAACTGCAGACTTCTAACATGGTCATTTCATGGCCATGTCCATAGGAATATCAAATATATTTTTTTTATTAAAGTGACAGTATTAATTGTACTGTAGTCTGTTATATAAACGGTCATACTACTGCTTTTATATATTATTCTATGTATCCACTATATTTATAGTCTCTATGGAAATGTACTCTTTAAAAAAAATAAAGTTAGACACAAAAACAGAACTGTTTCAGCCTCAGTTGTCCTTGTAGGAATATAAACCAATGGCAGAACAGATCCTCCCTTTGTTTATGGTCTATAAGCCTATCAGACCATCCGCCTGCTGTGATGCTAATGTCTAACACTAACACACAGTATTGTACATAATGTATACTGCGAAAAGGCTGAAATATGGCCGCCTCAAAATGGGATGAACCGTTGTTGGACTGATTCCACCGTGTTATATAGAATCACAATGTCATTATTTTACTTCACAGATAACCACACATTCACATTAGCAGCTATAAAAGGCATTGCTGACATGCTCCAGGTACATATGGATAAATGTATTTATGACACGTACAGTCGTGATGATGATGAGCAACACGTCAGATAACATGCGAGGTACATGGGACTTTACAGTGGGACTAAAGGTACAGTCAGCTGCTGTACTTCAACACTGGATAGCATAGTGACTTCTGGATATGTTCATTTACCAACGTTCTCACAAGACAGGGTGAGACACTGATACAATAGAGGGTTAGGAAAAATACAGTCATTATATTAGATGATGTTCTAAACAACTAGATCTGATTTGCACATATATATTAAATGTTAAAATTAAAATAATAAATAATTTTAGTACAGTGTGTAGTCCAACACTCAAAATAAAAAAAACTAATATTTAATTTCAAACCTGCTATATTATTGATTATATTCAATCAATTAGCTGCAATAAAATTCCTTTGAGTAGAGTGTGTGTGTGGTGAATACCTTAGTCATAGGTCATAGGTCAATCCCCATCCAACTTCCTACCTAAGTCTAGTTCTCCCCCTTCTCTGACCCCCCCCCCTTCTCTCTGAAGAGTGCACTCATTCACTCCCCTTCAAGAATTAAATCCAATGATTTTAAATCCTTGAATGGGAGTGAACAAGTGTACACTTGGGGAGAATCGGAATTAGGCAGTAGTGATTTTTCCCACACTATAATACATTACTCGACTAGTCTCTCTTGATAGCTGCCTGTGTGGCCACAGAGTGCTCTACAACAAGCCCAGTCTAATACTTCATTGCGTGAGACAGGTAGACTGTGGCAGGAAGTCATGTAGGTATGTAACCACAGCCCTGGAGAGGTACGTCATGGTACCGTAGCTGCCACTAGGGGCACTGTCATAGAACACGTTACATATCCCCGTGGCTGGATCCTTCTCCAGGAAGTACTCATTGGCTCCATGGGACCTCTGGAACATAGAGTACATGCGTGATAGATATATATATATATATTGATCATTTTGTCTAGTTATAGAATAGGTCTTACTCCAAACTGAGAAGTGGGTTACGTTATGATAGTCATATGGACGAGTCAGGCAGAGACACGTGACTATAGTTAACATGTTTACTCAAACGATAATATGGCAACAATACAGGTCATACATCCAGGTCCTTGAACTGGACCATTACAGAATTAACCCTTTATAGGACATTACTTTCTTGTGACCATCTCTGTGGCCTTGAAGTTAAGAGTTTCCACCCTGAGATTGGAAGCTTGGGGGTTCGATCCCCGGTCGAGTCATACCAAACACTTAACAAATGGGACTCAATGCATCGCTGCTTACAGATTCTCTAAGGCTCAGCGAAAGACTAGTGTCCTGTCCAGGGGGTGTACTTGTACATCAAGCTACAGAAACAGTAAATAGGCTCCTGGCTCAGACTTACCTGGTCCTGTAAGAAGAGGTCATTGGCCATGTGTACAATGCGGTCTATCAGGATGATTCCGCCGATGTTGTCCACATCCATGTCAGCCACCAGGGTGAGCACCATCACAGCCTCCACCAGCAGCTGTCTGTACTCTGGCTGGGGGACGTGGTTCAGAACAGACTCCACGTGCACTGCAAACTTGATCTCACCCTCTGTCATCTGCAGGCAGGGACACATTTACATTTGAGTCATTTAGCAGACGCTCTTATCCAGAGCGACTTACAGTTAGTGAGTGCATACATTTTTTCATACTGCCCCCCCCCCGTAGGAATCGAACCCACAACCCTAACCAACTGAGCTACACAACACAACGTCAGAGTCGGAACGGTACATTTATAGTGCCAGTGTCCCGGACACAGATTAAATCTAGAGAATCTCCATCAGTGGATTTATCTGTGCAAATCATAGGCAGAGTCTGAAAGGGCATCTTATTTCCTATTACTACAGGAAGCAACATTTGTTCTTAAGGTGAAACACAGTGGCCTTCTGGCCTGTAGGCAGAGAGATGGTCCTTGCCACCATGCTGCTCTTTGGGGGCCTAGGGGGGTTACTGCAAATTATAAATGTTGTTGTAAAAAGGGCTATATAAATACAATTTCATTGATCGAGATCGATCAATCTATTGATTTGACTACATCCCTCTCTGGTAGTGGAGGAAGGCAGCACGTATCCATCTATTGACAGGCCGTGACACTACATACCTCTCTGGTAGTGGAGGAAGGCAGCACGTATCCATCTATTGACAGGCCGTGGCACTTCTGCAGGATCTTCCACACCTTCTGGTAGAAGCCCATAGGGACCCTGTTGATGGCCCCATCCAGCCGTCTCCTCCTCAGCCACTGGCCCTGCTGCTCCTCCCACTGCAGGTGGCTGTCTGACTCCCAGGGGCCTACAGGGGACAGGATACCACTGGGGGTGGAGGGGCTGCTGCAACGCTACGGGGGGGGGGGGGAGATGTGTTCATATTTGTACACAGTACGCACACAGAGGTACAAACACACACACACACGACATAGACATGTGCACATACAGACACTGACTTCTACCAGACACAGTCTTATGTTTTCCTGTTTCTTTGAATCAAATACAGTACATGTTACCATGATGACACCAGCATGCTACAGGCCAGTACATGTTACTATGACGGCACCGGCATGCTACAGGCCAGTACATGTTACCATGACGACACCAGCATGCTACAGGCCAGTACATGTTACCATGACGGCACCAGCATGCTACAGGCCAGTACATGTTACCATGACGGCACCAGCATGCTACAGGCCAGTACATGTTACCATGATGGCACCAGCATGCTACAGGCCAGTACATGTTACTATGACGGCACCAGCATGCTACAGGCCAGTACATGTTACCATGACGACACCAGCATGCTGCAGGGCAGTACATGTTACCATGACGGCACCAGCATGCTACAGGCCAGTACATGTTACTATGACGGCACCAGCATGCTACAGGCCAGTACATGTTACCATGACAACACCAGCATGCTGCAGGGCAGTACATGTTACCATGACGGCACCAGCATGCTACAGGCCAGTACATGTTACTATGACGGCACCAGCATGCTACAGGCCAGTACATGTTACCATGACGACACCAGCATGCTGCAGGGCAGTACATGTTACCATGACGACACCAGCATGCTACAGGCCAGTACATGTTAGTGCAGCAAGCATAAGGCAATGTAACAAAGAAAGACAACCATTCAGAGTGAACCTCATCTGCATGGTTTAGTGAACATGGGATAATGAGGGAGACATGGTTGATGGTTTACCGTGGAACGGGGAGAGGTGACATTGCTGCTGATGGAATAACCACTGTTACAGATCTATAAAGGAACAACACGGAGAAGACGTCATATTTTCATCTATGGAGAGACCCAGGAGAGGATGAGGACGTGAAAGAATGTCAAACTCACACCTTGTAAATACAGTTTAGATTATGATAAAACATTAGACACAGTTGAAGATGTGGGCTAGGAAACAGGCAAACACGATCAGCAGCACAGCATGACGTAAGGCACTACTGACTGTATTCTAGTACAGCTGGTACGAATGGGCTTTCAGCTGGTGCTTTCATGTTATGTTATAATGGTTGCTTCCATATGGTCTAGATGTGGAGATTAGAGATGATGAGACAACATGCCTATTAACTCTAACAAACTCAACCCACGCTGATCGGACGAGACGAGCCATCCAACTGCAATCAGAACCAAGTCATACAACATTACAACATTATTACTACTATAGACAAAGAGCATTAGGTCGTCATATCGTCTAACTAATATCAAACATACAGAAAGAACATTAGGTCTTTACTAACATTTAGATTAAATTATAGAGCATTAGGTCTTTACTAACCTTTAGATTAAATTATAGAGCATTAGGTCTTTCCTAACCTTTAGATTAAATTATAGAGCATTAGGTCTTTACTAACCTTTAGATTAAATTATAGAGAATTAGGTCTTTACTAACCTTTAGATTAAATTATAGAGCATTAGGTCTTTACTAACCTTTAGATTAAATTATAGAGCATTAGGTCTTTACTAACATTTAGAATAAATTATAGAGCATTAGGTCTTTACTAACCTTTAGATTAAATTATAGAGCATTAGGTCTTTAACATTTAGATTAAATTATAGCGTATTAGGTCTTTACTAACCTTTAGATTAAATTATACAGCATTAGTTCTTTACTAACCTTTAGATTAAATTATAGAGCATTAGGTCTTTACTAACCTTTAGATTAAATTATAGCGCATTAGGTCTTTACTAACCTTTAGATTAAATTATAGAGCATTAGGTCTTTACTAACCTTTAGATTAAATTATAGAGCATTAGGTCTTTACTAACCTTTAGATTAAATTATAGAGCATTAGGTCTTTACTAACCTTTAGATTAAATTATAGAGCATTACAGTGAGGGAAAAATGTATTTGATCCCCTGCTTATTTTGTACGTTTGCCCACTGACAAAGACATGATCAGTCTATAATTTTAATGGTAGGTTAATTTGAACAGTGAGAGACAGAATAACAACAAAGAAATCCAGAAAAACGCATGTCAAAAATGTTATAAATTGATTTGCATTTTAATGAGGGAAATAAGTATTTGACCCCTCTGCAAAACATGACTTAGTACTTGGTGGCAAAACCCTTGTTGGCAATCACAGAGGTCAGACGTTTCTTGTAGTTGGCCACCAGGTTTGCACACATCTCAGGAGGGATTTTGTTCCACTCCTCTTTGCAGATCTTCTCCAAGTCATTAAGGTTTCGAGCCTGACGTTTGGCAACTCGAACCTTCAGCTACCTCCGCAGATTTTCTATGGGATTAAGGTCTGGAGACTGGCTAGGCCACTCCAGGACCTTAATGTGCTTCTTCTTGAGCCACTGCTTTGTTCCCTTGGCCATGTGTTTTGGGTCATTGTCATGCTGGAATACCCCATCCACGACCCATTTTCAATGCCCTGGCTGAGGGAAGGAGGTTCTCACCCAAGATTTGACGGTACATGGCCCCGTCCATTGTCCCTTTGATGCGGTGAAGTTGTCCTGTCCCCTTAGCAGAAAAACACCCTCAAAGCATAATGTTTCCACCTCCATGTTTGACGGTGGGGATGGTGTTCTTGGGGTCATAGGCAGCATTCCTCCTCCTCCAAACACGGCGAGTTGAGTTGATGGCAAAGAGCTCGATTTTGGTCTCATCTGACCACAACACTTTCACCCAGTTCTCCTCTGAATCATTCAGATGTTCATTGGCAAACTTCAGACGGGCCTGTATACAGTGGGGAAAAAAAGTATTTAGTCAGCCACCAATTGTGCAAGTTCTCCCACTTAAAAAGATGAGAGAGGCCTGTAATTTTCATCATAGGTACACGTCAACTATGACAGACAAATTGAGGAAAAAAAAATCCAGAAAATCCCATTGTAGGATTTTTAATGAATTTATTTGCAAATTATGGTGGAAAATAAGTATTTGGTCACCTACAAACAAGCAAGATTTCTGGCTCTCACAGACCTGTAACTTCTTCTTTCAGAGGCTCCTCTGTCCTCCACTCGTTACCTGTATTAATGGCACCTGTTTGAACTTGTTATCAGTATAAAATACACCTGTCCACAACCTCAAACAGTCACACTCCAAACTTCACAATGGCCAAGACCAAAGAGCTGTCAAAGGACACCAAAAACAAAATTGTAGACCTGCACCAGGCTGGGAAGACTGAATCTGCAATAGGTAAGCAGCTTGGTTTGAAGAAATCAACTGTGGGAGCAATTATTAGGAAATGGAAGACATACAAAACCACTGATAATCTCCCTCGATCTGGGGCTCCACGCAAGATCTCACCCCGTGGGGTCAAAATGATCACAAGAACGGTGAGCAAAAATCCCAGAACCACACGGGGGGACCTAGTGAATGACCTGCAGAGAGCTGGGACCAAAGTAACAAAGCCAACCATCAGTAACACACTACGCCGCCAGGGACTCAAATCCTGCAGTGCGAGACGTGTCCCCCTGCTTAAGCCAGTACATGTCCAGGCCCGTCTGAAGTGCATTTGGATGATCCAGAAGAGGATTGGTAGAATGTCATATGGTCAGATGAAACCAAAATATAACTTTTTGGTAAAAACTCAACTCGTCATGTTTGGAGGACAAAGAATGCTGAGTTGCATCCAAAGAACACCATACCTACTGTGAAGCATGGGGTTGGAAACATCATGCTTTGGGGCTGTTTTTCTGCAAAGGGACCAGGACGACTGATCCGTGTAAAGGAAAGAATGAATGGGGCCATGTATCGTGAGATTTTGAGTGAAACCCTCCTTCCATCAGCAAGGGCATTGAAGATGAAACGTGGCTGGGTCTTTCAGCATGACAATGATCCCAAACACACCGCCCGGGCAACGAAGGAGTGGCTTCGTAAGAAGCATTTCAAGGTCCTGGAGTGGCCTAGCCAGTCTCCAGATCTCAACCCCATAGAAAATCTTTGGAGGGAGTTGAAAGTCTGTGTTGCCCAGCGACAGCCCCAAAACATCACTGCTCTAGAGGAGATCTGCATGGAGGAATGGGCCAAAATACCAGCAACAGTGTGTGAAAACCTTGTGAAGACTTACAGAAAACGTTTGACCTGTGTCATTGCCAACAAAGGGTATATAACAAAGTATTGAGAAACTTTTGTTATTGATCAAATACTTATTTTCCACCATCATATGCCAATAAATTCATTAAAAATCCTACAATGTGATTTTCTGGAATTTTTTTCCTCATTTTGTCTGTCATAGTTGACGTGTACCTATGATGAAAATTACAGGCCTCTCTCATCTTTTTAAGTGGGAGAACTTGCACAATTGGTGGCTGACTAAATACTTTTTTTCCCCACTGTATGTGCTTTCTTGAGCAGGGGGACCTTGCGGGTGCTGCATGATTTCAGTCCTTCACGGCGTAGCGTGTTACCAATTGTTTTCTTGGTGACTATGGTCCCAGCTGCCTTGAGATCATTGACAAGATCCTCCCGTGTAGTTCTGGTCTGATTCCTCACCGTTCTCATGATCATTGCAACTCCACGAGGTGAGATCTTGCATGGAGCCCCAGGCCGAGGGAGATTGACAGTTCTTTTGTGTTTCTTCCATTTGCGAATAATCACACCAACTGTTGTCACCTTCTCACCAAGCTGCTTGGCGATGGTCTTGTAGCCCATTCCAGCCTTGTGTAGGTCTACAATCTTGTCCCTGACATCCTTGGAGAGCTCTTTGGTCTTGGCCATGGTGGAGAGTTTGGAATCTGATTGATTGCTTCTGTGGACGGTGTCTTTTATACAGGTAACAAGCTGAGATTAGGAGCACTCCCTTTAAGAGTGTACTCCTAATCTCAGCTCGTTACCTGTATAAAATACACCTGGTAGCCAGAAATCTTTCTGATTGAAATACTAATTTCCCTCATTAAAATGCTAATCAAGTTATAAAATTTTTGACATGCGTTTTTCTGGATGTTTTTGTTGTTATTCTGTCTCTCACTGTTCAAATAAACCTACCATTAAAATTATAGACTGATCATTTCTTTGTCAGTGGGCAAACGTACAAAATCAGCAGGGGATCAAATACTTTTTTCCCTCACTGTAGGTCTTTACTAACCTTTAGATTAAATTATAGAGCATTAGGTCATTACTAACCTTTACATTAAATTATAGAGCATTAGGTCTTTACTAACATTTAGATGAAATTATAGAGCATTAGGTCTTTACTAACCTTTAGATTAAATTATAGAGCATTAGGTCTTTACTAACCTTTAGATTAAATTATAGCGCATTAGGTCTTTACTAACCTTTAGATTAAATTATAGAGCATTAGGTCATTACTAACCTTTAGATTAAATTATACAGCATTAGGTCTTTACTGACCTTTAGATTAAATTATAGAGCATTAGGTCATTACTAACCTTTAGATTAAATTAGAGCATTAGGTCTTTACTAACATTTAGATTAAATTATAGAGCATTAGGTCTTTACTAACCTTTAGATTAAATTATAGAGCATTAGGTCTTTACTAACCTTTAGATTAAATTATAGAGCATTAGGTCTACTAACATTTAGATTAAATTATAGAGCATTAGGTCTTTACTAACCTTTAGATTAAATTAGAAGGCATTATGGTATTTACTAACCTTTAGATTAAATTTCTAGAGCATTAGGTCTTTACTAACCCTTTAGGATGAAATGATAGAGCATTAGGTCTTTACTAACTTTTAGATGAAATTATAGAGCATTAGGTCTTTACTAACATTTAGATGAAATGATAGAGCATTAGGTCTTTACTAACATTTAGATTAAATTATAGAGCATTATGTCTTTACTAACCTTTAGATTAAATTATAGAGCATTATGTCTTTACTAACCTTTAGATTAAATTATAGAGCATTAGGTCTTTACTAACCTTTATATTAAATTATAGAGCATTAGGTCTTTACTAACCTTTAGATTAAACTATAGAGCATTAGGTCTTTACTAACCTTTAAATTAAATTATAGAGCATTAGGTCTTTACTAACATTTAGATTAAATTATAGGTCAAAGGAAATCAGGGGTCTCCAACCTTTTCTAGCATGAGAGCTACTTTTAAATTATGAAACATGTTGCGAGCTACTCATACATATTTACCTAGCTTTCAAATAGGCACTCTTTTTGTTTTTTTTCCCAAATTCTGTTTTCTTGATTTTCTTGGGGGAATGTCTTTCTGTGTCTACCCAGAAGACAATTAACACGATCCGTAACTGGCTACACGAAGTGAATGACAAACCCGCACGCCACACAGACATACAGGGGCAATTTAGCTGGAAATGAATTGCCAGATCTTGTGTTCCGTTTGGCTTTAAGACAGTTGTGGCTAACCAGGGGTGGTAGAATGTCAATGTGGATTTGATTGGATAGTAGCCGGAAGCTTGAGTTGTCTAATACTTGTGAGTTTTGCTTATGACAGAACAGGTGAAAAATACAAGCTACTCATTGTTGGGCTGGCAGCTACTGGTAGCTTGTGATCGACCTGTTGGAGACCCCTGATGTAGATATTCTCCATGACATGCAATAGTCAGCTGACGTAACCCATACCCGTTTGATCTCAGTCTTCAGCTTGCGGATGCCGGTGCGCTCTGTCTTAGTGGCTCCAGTGTGACCCAGCTCATGGATGGAGACAGCCGGGCTGGTGGCTGAAGACTGCATGGGACGCACTGACAAAGGAGAGAGGAAGACCGAGACAGCACAACAATCCATTTGATTCAATAAAACAGTACAATACCAGTAACACCTGCAAAGAGGAATCAGAAAATGTATTAATACTGTAGAAACTACAAATGTTGGCTATGTAGGGGTAGGGGCTAGGGGTTGATTTGGGATTGGGAAAGACTCACTGCTCCTCTCCACCCCAAACTCCTTCCCACTGAGGATGTGGTGTAGCAGGTTCTTCATGTCTGACGGACTCAAGTTCATCAGGCTCTCAGAGGCCTCCTCCCCTGCAGAGGACAGAAAGAGAGACGCCTGCAACACTGAGTAAAGACTCTGGAAGGCCTGTAAAACTCCCCAGGCACTTCCACACTAAAGACCATACAGCTCAACACCCAAATACAGTGTAGTGTTACTACCAACCAGGTCTACCAACCAGGTCTACCAACCAGGTCTACCAACCAGGTCTACCAACCAGGTCTACTAACCAGGTCTACCAACCAGGTCTACCAACCAGGTCTACCAACCAGGTCTACCAACCAGATCTACTAACCATGTCTACTAACCAGATCTACTAACCAGGTCTACTAACCAGATCTACTAACCAGGTCTACCAACCAGGTCTACTAACCAGATCTACCAACCAGATCTACTAACCAGGTCTACTAACCAGGTCTACTAACCAGATCTACTAACCAGGTCTACCAACCAGGTCTACTAACCAGATCTACCAACCAGATCTACCAACCAGATCTACTAACCAGGTCTACTAACCAGGTCTACCTACCAGGTCTACTAACCAGGTCTACCTGAAAGAACTGCCAGAGCCCTATTCAAATGGTGAGTCTACTGAGGCCTTCAGAACACAGCTGATATATTCTAACCATTCTAAGAAGAGTTGTGTTGAGTACTGAACCCTACCTGAGTAGTGTAGAATGAACCCTACCTGAGCAGTGCAGACTGATCCCTACCTGAGCAGTGCAGACTGAACCCTACCTGAGCAGTGCAGACTGATCCCTACCTGAGCAGTGCAGACTGAACCCTACCTGAGCAGTGCAGACTGATCCCTACCTGAGCAGTGCAGAATGAACCCTACCTGAGCAGTGCAGACTGATCCCTACCTGAGCAGTGCAGACTGAACCCTACCTGAGCAGTGCAGACTGATCCCTACCTGAGCAGTGCAGACTGCGGGCCAACTCTGTAGCCATCACCTGCATGATGAGTCCGATTCGGAGACGCAGCATGTCCCCAAACAGAGCCGGCTGGGAGCGCACGTACATGGCAAGGTACACCATGATCTCCTGCAGCATCACAATACAGCAATCACTACTTTCCCTTCATCAGAGACTTATTACAAAACTGAGGAAAGTTTGCTTTTACATCTCAAGCTAGACTTGCTTCAGGCAGAGAATTTTGACGGAAATGGGCATCTTATATAATCACAGTTATAATTAGTTGTACCTGAGTGAGCACAGCGATGCTGATGTCCTGCCCACTGGCCTCATAGATCAGAGAGTTGAGCTCTTCTGGAGGAAGAGGAGCCGAGATGACCTTCTCCCTGGGTTCAGGTGGTAGCCCCACTGTCAGCTGCTTGTGGTGGGAGATGAGATCTGTACAGGCCTCAGCCAGCACCTCCACTCTCTTTCTCAGGATACCAGAGATGTATCTGATCAGACCCCACTCCTTGTTGGCCCCAGCCTGGACATACAGCTCCTCCAGGAGGCACCTCACACTGACCCCGCCCTGACCCCCCACGTCCACCATCCAGTCAGCACCTTTCAGGATGGAGAGGATTACATTTTCATTCAGTTCAATTCAACCTGAGGAGTCAATTCAATTCAACTTGAGGAGTCAATTCAGTGTAATTCAAACCTAAGCATGTAGAGAATTAAATTAAATTTGATTCAATTCAAAGATTCAATTCAATTCAACCCAACACGTCCATCACCTAATCCAGAGGTGGAAAAAATATGGCCCATTCGATCCGGCCCGCGGGAGGTTTGGGTAAAACAAAAAATGGGGTAAATTATTATTATTAATTATTTGTGTTTAAACACTACAGGCCACACGTGAACGCCTACAACTAGATAGAGAGTATGTAGAAATTATAATCGACCTATACGTTTTCAAATAACTGCCCTTTTTCTGGCCCGCAAATTGATTTTGACAAACAAATCGGTCCCCCAAAAAGATGTGCTGCCCGAATGGGCCCTGGAGCCAAAAGGTTTGTCCAACCCTGATCTAAATCAGAACCTTTCATGACACAGAGGATGTAGAGGATGTCTGCCTGGTCCTGCAGTGTGGGACACTCCTTCAACTGTCTCACCAGAGACCCAAAGTCTGTGTTACCCTGGGAGTCCCGCGGCAGGTGGAGGTCTGCAATACTGGGGGCCTGAGAGCAAGGATACAGAGACACACAGACACACACAAATACACACATGTATGCATGCACACACACTCATTAGATGATCCAAACACACAGATGCAGCAGAAAGACAGTGTTGGCGTTTGTTGTTGGCGTAGACCAACTGACCTTGGGCTGTTGTTGATGTGGTGTGTGGTGGTGTGGTTGGAGTGGTGTGTGCTGAGGCATGTGCAGTAGGTTGAGGGATTTACGGTGCTTGTTCATGATGGGAGTCATAGGAAGATACATGGAGGCCTCTGTAAGAAACAACACAACACTCACCATACAGTAGAAACCAACAGAGTACCATACAGTAGAAACCAACAGAGTACAATACAGTAGAAACCAACAGAGTACCATACAGTAGAAACCAACAGAGTACCATACAGTAGAAACCAACAGAGTACAATACAGTAGAAACCAACAGAGTACCATACAGTAGAAACCAACAGAGTACCTTACAGTAGAAACCAACAGAGTACCATACAGTAGAAACCAACAGAGTACCATACAGTGGAAACCAACAGAGTACCATACAGTAGAAACCAACAGAGTACCATACAGTAGAAACCAACAGAGTGCCATACAGTAGAAACCAACAGAGTACCATACAGTAGAAACCAACAGAGTACCATACAGTAGAAACCAACAGAGTACCAGACAGTAGAAACCAACAGAGTACCATACAGTGGAAACCAACAGAGTACCATACAGTAGAAACCAACAGAGTACCATACAGTGGAAACCAACAGAGTACCATACAGTAGAAACCAACAGAGTATCATACAGTAGAAACCAACAGAGTACCATACAGTAGAAACCAACAGAGTACCATACAGTAGAAACCAACAGAGTACCATACAGTGGAAACCAACAGAGTACCATACAGTAGAAACCAACAGAGTACCATACAGTGGAAACCAACAGAGTACCATACAGTAGAAACCAACAGAGTACCAACCATCCTCTGGATTTTATATACTGGACTTGACTTATTCCTTCCTCCTTCCTTTAAACTCTTATAGGAGCAAAGGGCTTCCTTAAGCCTAAACCTAACCCTAAACCTAACCCTAAGCCTAAACCTAAGCCTAAACCTAACCATAACCCTAAACCTAACCCTAAGCCTAAACCTAAGCATAACCCTAAACCTAAGCCTAAACCTAACCCTAACCCTAAACCTAACCCTAAACCTAACCCTAAACCTAACCCTAAACCTAACCCTAACCCTAAGCCTAAACCTAACACTTCATGAACAAAATAAACAGTACATGTGGATGGTGAGAACTTACTAGGCATGTTGAGGCCTTGGACCTGGGCCATGAAGGAGAGGATGTCTCTGGTGGTGTGTTCAGCACTAAACACGTGGTGCTGCCCCCTCTGGATGGGAGGCAGATGACATTTGGTGGCTGTGCTCTGCATTAGCTGGCTGAGGTAGTGGTCAAACATGCCCTTAGAGCTGCCTGAAAGGGGGGGGGGGGGGATTAAGGTAGACTCAGCAATATGATATTACATACATGCCGCAAGCACAAACATGCAAGCACAAATACAAACGCACACACACACACACACACACCAATGACCTATACAGACACACACACACACACACACACACACACACACACCATGGCTGACGTACCTGAGGGGACATAACCTTCCTCTTCATCTTCCCCATCTTCTTCCTCCTCCAGCAGGTCGTCATCAGTGTCTCCGTCGAGGAAGCTGAGCTCTGTGTGGAACGAGGTAGTCTGGAAGCTGGAGATGTTGGCCATCTGAACCCTGCAGAACACACAAGATGGAATGGAACCAAATAGGACATCACTGGAGCTTTTACAACCAGGGATGTAGTGACATAAAAAGAGGAGCCTGGCATTTCCTTCTCTAAACATCCAGAGAGCTCTCTTAAGATGAGTGCATTTAAAAATGGAAGAGAGTCAGTCTGACCTTGCCCCTCCAAAGTATCCATCCTGCAGCTTCCTCAGAGTGGACAGGATACACGGGTCGATGATCTCGCCATCATCCACTGGGGACAACAAGGGAACATGATTCAATCAATCAATCAACTTTGTTTGTCCCATACAGAATTGAGTTGCCCAGCAAGGGCCAGTTTCCCAGACACAGATTAAGCCTTGAATCTCCATTTAAATAAATGTTTAGTCCAGGGATAGACTTAATCAAAAGTCACACAAACAACACAGAGTGTTGCATGCTGTGTATGATGGGGAAGGGGAGGGTATTTACCCAGCATGCTGTGTGTGATGGGAAGGTGAGGGTATTTACCCAGCATGCTGTGTGTGATGGGAAGGTGAAGGTATTTACCCAGCATGCTGTGTGTGATGGGGAAGGTGAGGGTAGGGCGTCCGGTCATCCTCCAGGAGGAGGAGAGATAGGAAAGCTCCGTCCTCAGCATCTCCACTATCATCTGGTTGTCCAGAGCCAGGTAGAAGTGATGCTGGTCCAGGAACTAAAGGAGAGGAGAGACAGAGAGATGGTTGTCCAGAGCCAGGTAGAAGTGATGCTGGTCCAGGAACTAAATGAGAGGAGAGACAGAGAGATGGTTGTCCAGAGCCAGGTAGAAGTGATGCTGGTCCAGGAACTAAATGAGAGGAGAGACAGAGAGATGGTTGTCCAGAGCCAGGTAGAAGTGATGCTGGTCCAGGAACTAAATGAGAGGAGAGACAGAGAGATGGTTGTCCAGAGCCAGGTAGAAGTGATGCTGGTCCAGGAACTAAAGGAGAGGAGAGACAGAGAGATGGTTGTCCAGAGCCAGGTAGAAGTGATGCTGGTCCAGGAACTAAATGAGAGGAGAGACAGAGAGATGGTTGTCCGAGCCAGTGTAGAAGTGATGCTGGTCAGGAACTAAGGAAGGGAGAGACACACCTGATTCAGCTAAAGGAGAGGAGAGACAGAGAGAAGGATGGCCAACACTACTGCTCCTGCCCAAACACACCTGATTCAGCTAAAGGAGAGGAGAGACAGAGAGAGATGGCCAACATACTGCTCCAGCCCAAACACACCTGATTCAGCTAAAGGAGAGGAGAGACAGTGAGAGATGGCCAACACTACTGCTCCAGCCCAAACACACCTGATTCAGCTAAATGAGAGGAGAGACAGAGAGAGATGGCCAACACTACTGCTCCAGCCCAAACACACACTGATTCAGCTAAAGGAGAGGAGACAGAGAGAGATGGCCAACACTACTGCTCCAGCCCAAACACACCTGATTCAGCTAAAGGAGAGGAGAGACAGAGAGAGATGGCCAACACTACTGCTCCAGCCCAAACACACCTGATTCAGCTAAAGGAGAGGAGACAGAGAGAGATGGCCAACACTACTGCTCCTGCCCAAACACACCTGATTCAGCTAAAGGAGAGGAGAGACAGAGAGAGATGGCCAACACTACTGCTCCAGCCCAAACACACCTGATTCAGCTAAAGAAGAGGAGAGACAGAGAGAGATGGCCAACACTACTGCTCCTGCCCAAACACACCTGATTCAGCTAAAGAAGAGGAGAGACAGAGAGAGATGGCCAACACTACTGCTCCAGCCCAAACACACCTGATTCAGCTAAAGGAGAGGAGAGACAGTGAGAGATGGCCAACACTACTGCTCCTGCCCAAACACACCTGATTCAGCTAAAGGAGAGGAGACAGAGAGAGATGGCCAACACTACTGCTCCTGCCCAAACACACCTGATTCAGCTAAAGGAGAGGAGACAGAGAGAGATGGCCAACACTACTGCTCCAGCCCAAACACACCTGATTCAGCTAATCAAGGTCTTGATGAGCAGATCATTAGTAGAATCAGGGGCCGTATCCAAATATATATACACTGAGTGTACAAAACATTAAGGACACCTGCTCTTTCCATGACAGACTGACCAGGTGAAAGCTATTATTTTTTATTGATGTCACTTGTTAAATCCACTTCAATCAGTGTAGATGAAGGGGAGGAGACAGGTTAAAGAAGGATTTGTAAGCCTTGAGACAATTGAGACATGGATTGTGTATGTGTGCCATTCAGAGGGTGAATGGGCAAGAAAAAATATGTAATTGCCTTTGAACGGGGTATGGTAGTAGGTGCCAGGCGCACCGGTTTGTGTCAAAACCTGCAACGCTGCTGGGTTTTTCACACTCAACAGTTTCCCGTGTGTATCAAGAATGGTCCACCACCCAAAGGACATCCAGCCAACTTGACACAACTGTGGGAAGCATTGGAGTCAACATGGGCCAGCATCTCTGTGGAACGCTTTCAACACCTTGTAGAGTCCATGCCCCGACGAATTGAGGCTGTTCTGAGGGCAAAAGGGGGTGCAACTCAATATTATGAAGGTGTTTCTAATGTTTGGTATACTCAGTGTACATATATCAAATGTCCCACAGCTGGCGATGCCTCATCGCGATTGGTTATTCCCAATCATTTGCAACAATGTAAATGAGCGTCATCACTTCCTTTCCTTTGCGGTACCTCAAACTGTCGTGATTACCAGCTGAGATAAACTTTCATGAGTTGATTTTACTCCTGGCTCAGAGTTTGTCTGGGCATTGTCTTAACATCATCCTAAAACCTACTCTGAGCTGGGAGATTTCTAGTCTTAAAACAGGTTTTAACAGGATTCCTGCTTTGTGGATCCAGTCCTAGGTGTGCTAGATTAGGATATAACAAGAGCATTTCGGGAGATAGGACCTCTACTGTCATAAGGTGAGAACAAGGTATGTCACCTGAGGGGTGAACGTGTAGGTGCGGTTCCGGATCTGGTAGAATTTCGAGGTTCCCAGAACTCCAATGTGCCTATATGGTCTCCCGCTCAGATTCAACTTCTTGCAGCTTCCTGTGAAACAAGTCATTAGCTATGTAGTGCTTATGAAGGCTTTATGAATGCTCTATGAAGCCTTTCTAAGTAGTTGTAACTGTACCCAGTTTGACGTAGACGTGGCTGAGGATGCGAGCAGGCATGACCCTGATGGGATGGACCTCAGAGATGGTCTGGACCTCTATTCCATCATCCCTCAGCAACTCCTGGATCTCCTTCGACTCCGCTAACACACACACTGATAATACACACACACACACACACACACACACACACACACACGCACACACACACGCACATACACACACACGCACATACACACACACTCAAAAGAGAATGGAAAATATCATATACGCAACCCTGACCACAGAGCAAATGATCCTAACAAAGCAAGTTAATGAAATAAGGAGTCTATAACTTTATAATATTTCTACAGTTAAAGGATGTCAAATGTCTTCCCGCCTGCAAGAGAGGAAATTAGACATGCTGCAAACCTTGTACAACTACGTCCGGCTTGAACTGGGTGGAGAATCGCCTGTTGAGAGGGTCGATCTCTCCAGGGGCGAGGAATCCCTTGGAGGAACAGACAGAAAGAACAGTGAGGTCGGGAAGACTAAGGCACCAACCAACACCTCACTGTGGTAGATAGAGATAGGATCAATCTATTATAAGACGACAGCAGAATATTTTTACCTCAGCCAGCAGAGAGCTAACAATGTAGAGGGACTGTCCCCACATGTGAGGGCACTGGCCCACAGCCACTCTGTCCACAGAGTGAGGGTTCCCGTACTCTTCCTCCATCTGAGGGAAACACCACACATTTACTGTATTCCTCACTTAGTTGTATGGATGTTGTTCCTTATCAAGATTGAAAAGGTTAGCAAGTGTAAACTGTTACTTCTTCACAGCCCATATTGGCAGGAGTAAAGAGTCAAGTTGACGTGCCCCGAAGAAAGACGGATTTACAATTTACACATAAAGTTTTCAAAGGACCATGGAGATACCTTTTCAGGTGGGACGGCGTAGAGCTCAGGCATCAGGCGGATCCCGGGCTTCCCTCTGATCAGGACTTCTTCCAGAGCATCTCTGTACTCCTGCACCTGGAGCCAGGAACCAGGAAGGAACATGTTATACATACAGACACGTGGCCTGGGGTGGTCTAGCGGTCTGACAGATAGCTTGGTGACGTCACCCGCTCTGAGACCTAGAAGTAGTTGTTTCCTTTGCTCTGAATCGGCCACAGCTTTTGTGGAGTGACAGGTAACGATGCTTCATGGGTGACACATGTGGATGTGTTCAGAGGGTCCCAGGTTGGAGCCTAGGTTGGGGCAAGGAGAGAGACGGAACCAACACTGCTACACACACCTGTACTAGGTCTCCACTGAAGATGCCGTCCAGAATGAGGTAGGTCCAGAACACTGGCCATTCACATTCTATATTCTCAAACAGCTTGAGCTCAGCTGGGTCATAGTGGAGACGGGACGGGTCCTGAGACAGACAGACAGACAGACAGACATGGAAATATTTATTATCTAAAAGAACAAGGCTAAACGCATCATCATGATGATGTGGAAAGTGATACTTTGTGGACAAATGAAAAAAATACCAAAAGATTTTAAGTGGATTTTTCCTTTAAGTTATACTGTTTTATCTGTAACCACGTTTCCATCACGACAGCGGTGATGGAAACAGGACGTTTCGGTGTAATTTTATTAATGCAGAGAGATCATTTGTTTGTTTGACATGGTGGGATCTTTTTGTGTCAGTAAAATTAATTATGCAGGAAATGGCAGTGGAAACGCTTTTATGCGCAAATATTGATATAATAACCATCATATCGAAGTAAACTTGGAGTCACGCGATGATATGATGTGTGGTCCTCCCACTACGACTCGGGAAAGCATGCAGTTTATTCGGCTACAGATGAAATAAGTTATGATGAACTTCACAGGGGTGGTGAAAGATGCTCCTTTCCAATAAATATCGAGGGTCTTATTCTGGTGACATGATGATCGATGCTTGGCTGCCATTTGACAAATAACAATATTTTCACTCTTATCCATAATAATCTCATCATGTAGACTAGCCTACCCACACTCTATCTGCCAGCTGTTGGCTAGAGCGCAGATACAAGACCATTGGATGAAAATCTAGCTTATTTCACACAATAAGGAGAAAAACATAAAAACCTTTACAGTACCTCTCTTGGGCATCTGTATCCATCTCTGATGAAACGGCAGCAGCCATAGCGTCCCTGGGGGAGAGAATGTAGTCATTTAGAAACATCATTCTAGAGCACCATTAAGCCTAGCCCTGGACAAAAAGCACTTTTAAATGGAGGTTTCCCATGTACATCCTTTATAGTCCAGGACTAGGCTTCATCTGAGTCTGGGAATCAACTAGCCCCTAAAGTGTGTCTGTGGTCAAACCTAGACAGGCTCCTATCTACCTGTAGCTTGGAGATGATCTCACTGTGTCTGTGGTCAAACCTAGACAGGCTCCTATCTACCTGTATCTTGGAGATGATCTCACTGTGTCTGTGGTCAAACCTAGACAGGCTCCTATCTACCTGTAGCTTGGAGATGATCTCACTGTGTCTGTGGTCAAACCTAGACAGGCTCCTATCTACCTGTATCTTGGAGATGATCTCACTGTGTCTGTGGTCCAGCCGTGACAGGCTCCTATCTACCTGTAGCTTGGAGATGATCTCAATGTGTCTGTGGTCCAGCCTAGACAGGCTCCTATCTACCTGTATCTTTGAGATGATCTCACTGTGTCTGTGGTCAAACCTAGACAGGCTCCTATCTACCTGTATCTTGGAGATGATCTCACTGTGTCTGTGGTCCAACCGTGACAGGCTCCTATCTACCTGTATCTTAGAGATGATCTCACTGTGTCTGTGGTCAAACCTAGACAGGCTCCTATCTACCTGTAGCTTGGAGATGATCTCAGTCTTAGTGATGGTGACCAGGTCTGTGTCCTCCACAGCGAAGGCAGGGAAGGAGATGATAGACAGGAGACCAGCATCGATCTCTTTAGAGGTGGAGGCTCGGGGCAGCATGGAGCACAGGATAGCCTGGGGAGGTCAAATAGAAAGTGGTCAGTTTCTGACAGATGGCATCATTCTGACACCACCGCGTTGCCAGGAACCATCAGTCGTGCTATCTGACGTAAGACAATGGTTAGTTTCATACATATCATTTTAAGGTTGATATGATAACCTGATTAAACCAGTCTGGACACTGCCCTCACCAGGCTTGAGAAGATTAAACCAGACTGGACACTGCCCTCACCAGGCTTGAGAAGATTAAACCAGACTGGACACTGCCCTCACCAGGCTTGAGAAGATTAAACCAGACTGGACACTGCCCTCACCAGGCTTGAGAAGATTAAACCAGACTGGACACTGCCCTCACCAGGCTAGATAAGACAGGACATGTTTATCCCAGTACCTGGCAGTGCTCCACCTCGTCCGGCAAAACGTGAATGACAGATTTCGGTCCTCCGTGAGCCCCAAAGAGGTCCAGCTCATCAATGGCCTCCAACGCGGCCTGAACATAAAACACAACCACAATATGTTGTTGTTTTATGAGTTTAGATATAGCAGCTGTGTTGCGATAAGAGGAACGTAATGAGTCTAGATATGGTAGTTAAGATAGGATTGGAGGCATGAAAGGGAACCATGTATTATCATTGCTACATATAGGACAAGTATTACATCTAAAGCTTCATTACCTTGGCCATTCCCACAGAGCTGGCGTTCAGTTCTGGGATCCCCTGGTTGGTCTTGTCCCCTCGTTCCCACATCCCATAATCCTGCACAGAGAGAGACACACAGAGTTACCATGACAACCAGGTTGAAAATCGTACTATTGAAGACCTTAAATTTTGAACCTAAATATAATTTTATTTGACCTAATCCGATTAATATTGTATATTCTATACATTATATTTACACAAATAGTAATCAGTAGTACGTATGCAGTGTGTTTTAACTCCTCACATCTGTTCAGAAACGGTGCTATTCTCAGAAACGCTGAGAGGGAGATTCCTCTGGACTATCTGCTTATTCTGGTTAGTGAAGTCACTAACCAAGACACATTCTCCTGGATGGGAAACTTCAGTTGTTGACCAGTTGAACCATTTATTTTTAAGTACCATGTCAGCTCTCTGTTGACATCATGTTAATGCCATATTTGGCTAAGTAGTTTTCACCTGTTAGTTTATAATTATCTGTTGTAGCTGACTACACAGACCTTTGACCTGTTGGCGCTTTTAAGCTAAAAATATGTTGATGCTTTTAGGGTTAAGTGCTGATGTTCCCATGTTGACCAATGAAATGTATTGGTAGTTCTTGTACCGACCAATCAGAAAGTTAATGGTGTGGGAGTTTACAATATACAGTATAATCCATGTAAAACGTCTGTTTGGTAAGGTATTCATTGAAGCACGACCCTTCTGTAGTCTCCACTACCTCTACAGATATTCATATTTGATCTTCAGTATAGTATTGCTTCTCACTCCATTATGTTCAGACTTAGCTTATACTACTTGATGCTAAGTCGTATGCTAGTGAGGTTAGAAGAATAGAGCCTTGCTCAAACAGACCTTGAACACTACCTACCGCAACTTTATAAGCAGCCTCAATGTAGAAGACCAGGTTCTGGATAAAAGCCACTTCATCCAGGTTTGATACGAGACGAAGACCTGGAGACGACCAGACAGGGATAAAGAACGACGCCGGTTATACAGTCAAATGATTTCACAATGAGATGATCTGCCAGCCGCACACCACCCCCCTCCACACACACACACATCCTACCCCCCCCACCACACACACACCCTACATTTGACATTTTAGTCATTTAGCAGACGCTCTTATCCAGAGCGACTTACAGTTAGTGAGTGCATACATTTTTTCATACTACCCCCCCCCCCCCCACCACACACACACCCTCACAGTACAGTACCTGAGGCAGTCATCTGAGCCAAGATCAGTAGGTACAGAGAGGTGGCATCAACCTGCAGGTGTCCCCACTGATCGTCCCCCACCACGGTAGCACAGGTGGGGGTGTGGTACTTGGCGTGCAGGCAGTCCTTGGGGCTCTGGGTGTGTTTAAATTTCTCCACCTTGGTCACCTGTAGTCAGACACACACTGACATGTTCAGAGAGGCTATTCCACAGCCACACCAAGGCAGAAACACATGCAGAGATGCTCCCACAGTATAGTGCATTGTTGCCCCTATGACATGCACTAGTGATTGTGTTGTTACATGTAATTACACCAATAAATGAATCCATAGAGAGGTGAAGGTAGAAGGAAGTTGGCAGTAACCACGGTAACCTACCTGTCGCATCATACACTGGAGCAGCCCTTGCATCAGCTTGACAACACTCTGTAGAATAATAACAATATAGATATTTACCACACCTTACATGGATCAGTAACTCCTGCTTTCCCAAGTCTATCTATTCAGGACTCCAGGGAATGAAATGTGCCGATCTCTGCCTGTGGCCTACAACATAGATCATAGGACAACATGCATGGAAAACACTAACATATTTCTGTAAAGGAATGTCTTGTTTTGACACAGCGTGCCATGAGGTCGGGGCCATGCAGTCAAGGAATATTTAGACACCCTTTCCAGCACAGATCATACAGTACAGCATGCTGTGAGGTGGGAGCCAGCTAGTCACCTGCTCCAGTTCGTAGGCCTTGGCCTTGTCCTCATCCCGGTCAGCGTTCTTCCTGTAGGCCATCCCCAGACCCCACACCGCCAGGATGCTGTAGACATTGTCACGCACCCAGGCATCTGGCAGCTGGACACTGCAGGGCAACAGGCCTGTCACTGGGTTCTGGAGATACACACACACAGGTTAGACAGGCAGACAGAGACACACAAACACAGATATATATATACAGTACCAGTCAAAGGTTTGGACACACCTACTCATTCCAGGGTTTTTCTTTATTTTTACTATTTTCTACATTGTAGAATAATAGTGAAGACATCAGAACTATGAAATAACACATATAGAATAATTTAGTAACCAAAAAAGTGTTAAACAAAGCACCCCCACACCATAACACCTCCTCCGCCATGCTTTACAGTGGGAAATACACATGCATGATCATCTGTTCATCCACACCGCATCTCACAAAGACACGGCAGTTGGAACCAAACATCTCCAATTTGGACTCCAGACCAAAGGACAAATTACCACCGGTCTAATGTCCATTGCTCGTGTTTCTTGGCCCAAGCAAGTCTCTTCTTCTTATTGGTGTCCTTTAGTAGTGGTTTCTTTGCAGCAATTCGACCATGAAGGCCTGATTCACGCAGTTTCCTCTGAACAGTTGATGTTGAGATGTGTCTGTTACTTGAACTCTGTGAAGCATTTATTTGACCTGCAATTTCTGAGGCTGGTAACTGTAATGAACTTATCCTCTGCAGCAGAGGTAATTCTGGGTCTTCCATTCCTGTGGCGGTCCTCATGAGAGCCAGTTTCATCATAGTGCTTGATGGTTTTTGCGACTGCACTTGAAGAAACGTTCAAAGTTCTTGAAATGTTCCATATTGACTGACCTTCATGTCTTAAAGTAATGATGGACTGTCGTTTCTCTTTGCTTATTTGAGCTGTTCTTGCCATAATATGGACTTGGTCTTTTACCAAATATGGCTATCTTCTGTATACTACCCTACCTTGTCACAACCCAACTGATTGGCTCAAACGCATTAAGAAGGAAAGAAATTCCACAAATTAACTTTTAAGAAGGCACACCTGTTAATTGAAATGGATTCCAGGTGACTACCTCATGAAGCTGGTTGAGAGAATGCCAAGAGTGTGCAAAGATGTCATCAAGGCAAAGAGTGGCTATTTGAAGAATCTCAAATATAAAATATATTTTGATTTGTTTAACACTTTTTTGGTTACTACATGATTCCATGTGTGTTATTTCATAGTTTTGATGTCTTCACTATTATTCTACAACATAAAAAATAGTAAAAATAAAGAAAAACCCTTGAAGGAGTAGGTGTGTCCAAACTTTTGACTGGTAGTATATATATATATATATACAGTGGGGGAAAAAAGTATTTAGTCAGCCACCAATTGTGCAAGTTCTCCCACTTAAAAAGATGAGAGAGGCCTGTAATTTTCATCATAGGTACACGTCAACTATGACAGACAAAATTATAAAAAAAATCCAGAAAATCACATTGTAGGATTTTTTATGAATTTATTTGCAAATTATGGTGGAAAATAAGTATTTGGTCAATAACAAAAGTTTCTCAATACTTTGTTATATACCCTTTGTTGGCAGGCAATGACACAGGTCAAACGTTTTCTGTAAGTCTTCACAAGGTTTTCACACACTGTTGCTGGTATTTTGGCCCATTCCTCCATGCAGATCTCCTCTAGAGCGGTGATGATTTGGGGCTGTCGCTGGGCAACACGGACTTTCAACTCCTTCCAAAGATTTTCTATGGGGTTGAGATCTGGAGACTGGCTAGGCCACTCTAGGACCTTGAAATGCTTCTTACGAAGCCACTCCTTCGTTGCCCGGGCAGTGTGTTTGGGATCATTGTCATGCTGAAAGACTCAGCCACGTTTCATCTTCAATGCCCTTGCTGATAGAAGGAGGTTTTCACTCAAAATCTCACGATACATGGCCCCATTCATTCTTTCCTTTACACGGATCAGTCGTCCTGGTCCCTTTGCAGAAAAACAGCCCCAAAGCATGATGTTTCCACCCCCATGCTTCACAGTAGGTATGGTGTTCTTTGGATGCAACTCAGCATTCTTTGTCCTCCAAACACGACGAGTTGAGTTTTTACCAAAAAGTTATATTTTGGTTTCATCTGACATTCTCCCAATCCTCTTCTGGATCATCCAAATGCACTCTAGCAAACTTCAGACGGGCCTGGACATGTACTGGCTTAAACAGGGGGACACGTCTGGCACTGCAGGATTTGAGTCCCTGGTGGCGTAGTGTGTTACTGATGGTAGGCTTTGTTACTTTGGTCCCAGCTCTCTGCAGGTCATTCACTAGGTCCCCCCGTGTGGTTCTGGGATTTTTGCTCACCGTTCTTGTGATCATTTTGACCCCACGGGGTGAGATCTTGCGTGGAGCCCCAGATCGAGGGAGATTATCAGTGGTCTTGTATGTCTTCCATTTCCTAATAATTGCTCCCACAGTTGATTTCTTCAAACCAAGCTGCTTACCTATTGCAGATTCAGTCTTCCCAGCCTGGTGCAGGTCTACAATTGTGTTTCTGGTGTCCTTTGACAGCTCTTTGGTCTTGGTGGAGTTTGGAGTGTGACTGTTTGAGGTTGTGGACAGGTGTCTTTTATACTGATAACAAGTTCAAACAGGTGCCATTAATACAGGTAACGAGTGGAGGACAGAGGAGCCTCTTAAAGAAGAAGTTACAGGTCTGTGAGAGCCAGACATCTTGCTTGTTTGTAGGTGACCAAATACTTATTTTCCACCATAATTTGCAAATAAATTCATTAAAAATCCTACAATGTGATTTTCTGGAGAAAAAAAAATCTCAATTTGTCTGTCATAGTTGACGTGTACCTATGATTAAAATTACAGGCCTCTCTCATCTTTTTAAGTGGGAGAACTTGCACAATTGGTGGCTGACTAAATACTTTTTTTCCCCCACTGTATATATATATGAGCGAGAGAGAGAGAGGAAAGAGTGTGTACTGAACTCAAGTAGAGTAGATAAGACAAATACTTTCTATGTTCTCTGCTATTTTAAGTTGACCTTTGTCCAAGCTTTTATTTATTTTAGGGAGGTCATGCCAGGACAGTTTGTGCATTCAAAAAAAATAATAGCTATTGACTCTTGGCTTTCTAAGGATAAGTAACGGACGTATAGCCTACTGTGTTTATTTTACTGCGGTATCAATATCATTAGACCTATTGTGCACGACTTCTTTCATTGCAAACGGCAACTGTATGAATGTTATTCGCATGACATAACGTGACATTATATCTGGCAGTGGTACGTTACATAATGAAACATACCTGGTGACATAGAATAGTCTCATGAACGAGCCTGGCGAATCCATCGAGCTTCACACCTGAGTTACTGCGGCTCCGCATGCTGGCGTCTCTATCTGTCAATATCAAATTATGACTAGTTAGAGCAGGATTATTTCTAGTAGGGTACAGTAGTCGTGACTCCTGACTGCCTGTGAAGCATCTGCAATAGTAAAAGTACTGCAGTATATGCTGTAATCAAATTACATTACTTTCTGCATAGAAAGTCACCTACCTTGAATCCATCAGTTGTTGTGCAATGCATAAATATCGCTGTTGGCCGTTTTGCAGTAACGTTAGCAGCTAACAATTCCACGTTCATTCACCGCATTTCACAAAAATCCTAGTTGCTCCAGCGCAGTAGAGGGAGTGTCAGAATATTACCGAATACGGAGGTGTTTTCAGCTCAACATCCACCATTCCTTCACATGTAACGTTAGACTACTGCCATTACTGCTCCTCTCGGTCTCTCAATTTGCCTCTCCTCTTCCTGATGTGGACAGAATGTCCGGTATACAGTTGCCATAAAGGGGGCGCTAGAGCAGCCAACATAGAGAAGATGAGTTGGTTATTACATCCCTAGATTTATGATTATATATTAATTATTGATAGAATCTGTGATTTTTAATTGAACATAACATATATCTAGATTTAAACCAACAAAGAATGGCAGATTTTGTGGGGGCTGTGCTTTCTCTTTTACTCATTTACTTTCTGTGGTCTTTGTATCACCTTGGCCTCATTCTGTTCAATCTAATATTTTCATATTTTCAGAATACTTTGATTGATGCCAGTGCGACCCCACCTTGACCATTTACATTCTGCGTGCATAGTAAACAAGGGACTGGGATAACGGAATTTTTAAGCCAATCAAAAATCCGGACAGTAGATGTGTCAACCAATCAAAATAGATCTAACTGCATCCCCCGCCTGAACGGCTTGCCCACTTCACAGGGTGGGACTGCACATTTCTAAAGAATATATTTGAATCAACAATTCATAGTGTATTTGAGTCAACAATCAAGCTAAAGGTAAGTTTTACCTCCTTATTTGTTTGGCTAGTCGTTGCAATTGCACATGTTGAAAGCAAAAGCGCACTACGCTTCTGATATTGTCCACAAAAAGCCATTGAAAAAGTAGCTAGCTGGACATCCTTCCTGTGCATGTTAGCTGCTAGTGTTAGCTAGCCAAAGATTCTTCCCCTGTCCATCTCTGAGCTAGCTTTACACTCCAATGTGCTGGATATACTGAGGGCCATAAGCTAGCTAACTAATGTACTGAGAGCAAAAACAACAACTAGGCTAGCTAGTTATATGACTAGGAAATTGTATTTGTTTTGATAGGCAAATCCTCAGTTGGCTAGATAGTTAGACAGAGAAGACCATATGAGGTCTTGACTATGGAGAAGACCTTTAACTAGCTATGGAAGCCAACTACCATTATGTTTTGCTACTTTACCTCCTTGCTCCAACATACACCCTCACCCTGCCTCTGTATTGATGACTTTACTAAACAGACTGGGTTCAAGTCTCCTGTGGGCCTTAAAACAGAATCATCCCAATGAGCTAAAGCCCACCAAACCACCCGTACTACACTTGTATTGATCCTTGTCTCCTCTCATATCTCCTCTCCCCATCCCACTCTCCTGTCCTCTCCTCTGTCCTTCTTTCATTCTCCGTCTCTCTTCTCCTCTCCTGTCCTCCTCTCATTCTCCGTTTCTCTCCTGTCCTCTCCTCTGTCTTTCTCTCATTCTCCGTCTCTCTCCTCCTCTCCTGTCCTCTCCTCTGTCCTTCTCATCTCCGTCTTTCTCCTCTCATTCTCCCTTTCCTCTGTCCTCATCTCTTCTCCTCCCTCCCACCAGATGCAGTTCATGCTGCTGTTCAGTCGGCAGGGGAAGCTGCGGCTGCAGAAGTGGTATGTTCCCCTGTCAGACAAGGAGAGGAAGAAGATCTCCAGGGACCTGGTCCAGACCATTCTAGCCCGCAAGCCCAAGATGTGCTCCTTCCTGGAATGGAGGGACCTCAAGATCGTCTACAAGAGGTCAGAGACAGACAGGGTTAATGGGGGGAAATGTGGACTCCATCTGAAAGGGTTGAGGTCAATTAAGGAAGGGAATTTCACAATCTTTGTTAAAGGTTTCACTTCCTGAAATTGCCGTATTTGAAAACTAAATTGATCTCAAACTCTACTCGCTAATGTCTCAAACCACTATACTACAATTATGCCAAGCTTCAGAAGTTTGTTTTTCAATAACACTTTCCTGCTAGGGAGGTACCCTTACTGTAACGGTTTTGTTTTCAGTCAGGGTGCCATTTTGTTACTGCACTCAAACTTCTCAGAATGGTGAAGGCCGTCTGATGCTACAAAATGATATGTTTGTCAGAATGTGGCCCAAGGCTAGTGCCTTTGTTGTTTATCCCTGTATTATCCTGTCTTCCAGACACGCCAGCCTGTATTTCTGCTGTTTATTCCTGTATTATCCTGTCTTCCAGATACGCCAGCCTGTATTTCTACTGTTTATCCCTGTATTATCCTGTCTTCCAGACACGCCAGCCTGTATTTCTGCTGTTTATCCCTGTATGATCCTGTCTTCCAGATACGCCAGCCTGTATTTCTGTTGTTTATCCCTGTATTATCCTGTCTTCCAGATACGCCAGCCTGTATTTCTGCTGTTTATCCCTGTATTATCCTGTCTTCCAGATACGCCAGCCTGTATTTCTGCTGTTTATCCCTGTATGATCCTGTCTTCCAGATACGCCAGCCTGTATTTCTGCTGTTTATCCCTGTATTATCCTGTCTTCCAGATACGCCAGCCTGTATTTCTGCTGTTTATCCCTGTATTATCCTGTCTTCCAGATACGCCAGCCTGTATTTCTGCTGTTTATCCCTGTATGATCCTGTCTTCCAGATACGCCAGCCTGTATTTCTGCTGTTTATCCCTGTATTATCCTGTCTTCCAGATACGCCAGCCTGTATTTCTGCTGTGCAGTGGAGGACCAAGACAATGAGCTCATCACACTGGAGATCATCCACAGATACGTAGAGCTGCTGGATAAGTACTTTGGCAGTGTGAGTTTTCATATTTCCCACTGCTGCTGTTCTCTGTGGTCCTGTTGGTGTTCATGACAGTGGCCATATTGTTCTCTCTGTGGTCCTGTTGGTGTTCATGACAGTGGCCATATTGTTCTCTCTGTGGTCCTGTTGGTGTTCATGACAGTGGCCATATTGTTCTCTCTGTGGTCCTGTTGGTGTTCATGACAGTGGCCATATTGTTCTCTCTGTGGTCCTGTTGGTGTTCATGACAGTGGCCATATTGTTCTCTCTGTGGTCCTGTTGGTGTTTCACTGACAGTGGCCATATTGTTCTCTCTGTGGTCCTGTTTGTGTTCATGACAGTGGTCCATATTGTTCTCTCTGTGGTCCTGTTTGTGTTCATGACAGTGGCCATATTGTTCTCTCTGTGGTCCTGTTTGTGTTCATGACAGTGGCCATATTGTTCTCTCTGTGGTCCTGTTTGTGTTCATGACAGTGGCCATATTGTTCTCTCTGTGGTCCTGTTTGTGTTCATGACAGTGGCCATATTGTTCTCTCTGTGGTCCTGTTTGTGTTCATGACAGTGGCCATATTATGTTAAAGCACCATTGCTTACCGCCTATCCAAATGATCAGATCCGTAAGACAGGGTCTGGGTGTTCCCTGTGTCTAATGGAGCTGTTCAAATGGATTTACCATTTGGAATAAATACATTGTAAATGAGCTCTCACATTAAAAACAGTAAGAAAACATAGCCAAGGACAAGTACTTACAATGAGTTCCCTCTTGGTGTCTAATGTGTCTGTCTCCCTCTCAGGTGTGTGAGCTGGACATCATCTTTAACTTTGAGAAGGCCTACTTCATCCTGGATGAGTTCTTGCTGGGAGGAGAGGCTCAGGAGACCTCCAAGAAGAACGTACTGAAGGCTATAGAGCAGGCCGACCTGCTGCAGGAGGTAAGCCTCCCCACTGACCCTTAACCTCTGACCCCAACACTAACCCTGACCTCCAAGAAGAACGTCCTGAAGGCTATAGAGCAGGCCGACCTGCTGCAGGAGGTAAGACTCCCCACTGACCCTTAACCTCTGACCCCAACACTAACCCTGACCTCCAAGAAGAACGTCCTGAAGGCTATAGAGCAGGCCGACCTGCTGCAGGAGGTAAGACTCCCCACTGACCCTTAACCTCTGACCCCAACACTAACCCTGACCTCCAAGAAGAACGTCCTGAAGGCTATAGAGCAGGCCGACCTGCTGCAGGAGGTAAGCCTCCCCACTGACCCTTAACCTCTGACCCCAACACTAACCCTGACCTCCAAGAAGAACGTCCTGAAGGCTATAGAGCAGGCCGACCTGCTGCAGGAGGTAAGACTCCCATCAGGGGGATCTGCTCTGTTCCTGACATCTCTGGGCTATGCCCTGGATGAGTTGGTGTTATGACGTCTCTGGGCTATGCCCTGGATGAGTTGATGTTATGACGTCTCTGGGCTATGCCCTGGATGAGTTGGTGTTATGACGTCTCTGAGCTATGCCCTGGATGAGTTGGTGTTATGACGTCTCTGGGCTATGCCCTGGATGAGTTGGTGTTATGACGTCTCTGGGCTATGCCCTGGATGAGTTGGTGTTATGACGTCTCTGGGCTATGCCCTGGATGAGTTGGTGTTATGACGTCTCTGGGCTATGCCCTGGATGAGTTGGTGTCACGACATCTCTGGGCTATGCCCTGGATGAGTTGGTGTCACGACATCTCTGGGCTATGCCCTGGATGAGTTGGTGTCACGACATCTCTGGGCTATGCCCTGGATGAGTTGGTGTCATGTTCTTTTTATCCATCTCTCTGACTCCTAGATGTAATTCTTGAATTGTTGAGATGATTTGCGTTAAAAGTGTTATTGTCTATAGTACTACTGTATTCAGTCTAATGTTATTCGTCTGGCAGCCTGTCGGTTGCATTGGTATTCCAGGCACTCCCACTGCCTGAGGCCACAGCCATATGACTGAACTATGGGAACCTCCCCAGGGTTGGCTGTCTGAGCTCTCACTGCCTCTATTCATAAAGAGGGCCTTCACTCACTATTCAGTTCTCATTCATGACTACCTTAAGCATGAAACACTGGAGAATCAGACTGCCGATAGGTACGTATCACAGTAGACGGCCGTTCCTTCTCTTGCTAGAACAAAAGACGTGCCGACCTAGTAGCGATGAACCTGCTGTTTCTACTTTTTTTTTCTTTTCTTCTAGAGCAAGTCTTTATATATTTTACGTCTAGCCAAGGAGTGTTTGCTTGAAGAAGGATTATTTTTGTTAGGTTTGATCATGTGCACTAGTTTATACAAGGCTTGGCTGACAACGCCACGAAAAGGCTTCAATGGGGCAGAAGTCTGTGTTGTTGTGATTCTGGATGGTCAGATTGCAGCTTCTGGTCATTGTTGCTAGCCATGTGGAAAAGAGTAGGTGGCTCATTTCGACTACTTTAATATTGTTCTATAAACAGAGCTCGGTGCTTATTATCGGATGTATTAGGTTACAAAATCCGACTTTTTTTATATATAATGTTAATGATATGTTCGAGAAAGACCCCACTGAACGATTCAGAACATGAAGAGTCATATTTGTCTTGGTAAAATTTATTTTATAGCATAAGGAAGTGAAATGCAATCACCAAAGCGCGTTTTCACCCACTTTGGGCAGAGTGGGTGGACATCCTATGTATTTGAGTGACAACAAGTGCTCATTTTGCAAATGTATTTATGTTTTAAATAAACATTGGAGAATAAATATAGTTTACATGTTGTCAACAATCTAATCAAAAGAAAACCATCATGCTCTTAACAGAAGCTTGGCTGGTGCATAAAACCTGCGAATTCAGGCAAAGAACAATGTAAGCCAACCACGTCTCTGCTAAACAACAAACCCATCTCGTAGTTAGCGTTAGCTTGCTGAGCCCGGCAGTCACACACACATCATATGAAACGAATGAGGTGGTAAGTGCAACACAATGCACACAACACTAAATGCTTTACCAAGCTATCTATCTGGCCACTGTCGCTAGTAACATATAATTAAATCACAATGGATTCGATTCCATGAAGCAGCTGCCTGTGGCTGGCTGCTGAGAGTCACTTTACCTAGCTAGCACAACAGCTAGGTAGCTAGCGAATCATGCTAACCATTTAGCTGACGTTAGCCAGCTAGCTAAAAGTCTATATACGGGCTGTATGCGATTATAGCGAGTAAAAAAATAAATAATAATATTGCTAGTTATCTAGCTGTGGCCATCTGGCTAGTATCAACAAGGGCTTTCTACAACAATAGCAACGTTAGTGCAGCTAGCTAACGTTGACTAAACTTGACCATAAAGCAACACACACGGACATCCATTGCCAAACAATGCTACTGCCACCTTCTGGTTTGGAGTATTTTAACGAGGCTGAGTGGCTGACGACTTCAAGGTCTTTGCTGTGTGACAACCCTGTTCAGAGGTGCTAAGTACTGTCGGCAGGCGAAACGGTTGACAATCCTACCATGTGTCTGAGCTATTATTGATGAAAGACCTTTATTAATAGACCAATTTGAAGCCACAACTAATCAGTCTGGATTGGACATTTGGTGCCTTTCCTTTATTGCTAATTTAGACCACAGGAGGTTAGTGGCACCTAAATTGGGGAGGACGGGCTCGTGGTAATGGCTGGAGCGGAATGGTATCAAACACATGGTCTGATGCCCTTCCATTTGCAGCCAATATAATGAGCCGTCCTCACCTCCACTGATTTACACCAACTGCTCTAGCGTCAGTTGTATTGAAAAAGTGCTTTTCTCTCCTTTCTGTGCTTCACCTCCTGCTAGGATGCCAAAGTAAGTGTTACTGTTACATTTACCAAGGGGTGCAACTTTCACTGGGGACAGGGGGGACATCCCCCCCCTCCCCCCACACACATTCTGAAATTGCATTTTTGTCCCCCCCCCCCAGTTTTATCATTGGAATGTGATACAAATCAAGGCAACGGTGTGCTTTAGGACCATGCGGACACCTCCGAGAGGTCGGGTAGGCTGTTTGGAGTGTTTATCCGACAAAAAAAATACAAATTAATAATACTTATGTCCCCCTCACTTCTAAAACCAAAGTTGCGCCCCTGCATTTACCTGATATGCATTGTTTAATAGTAGCGTTGGAGCAGTTACTCAAGTCATTGCATTTAGGCTACATGCTCTTGCTTAGTCTCCACAAATACCTTTTTCTTGTATGCACTCCACTCCATACACCAATTAAACTCTGGTCCATCTTCAGAGACTGACTGCAGTGCCTTATCCATCTCAACTATCCTCTTTTCTGTTACCTTAGGAAGCTGAAGCCCCACGGAGTGTCCTGGAGGAGATCGGCCTGACATAAACTCCCGCCCTCCATCACTGCCCCAACCATCTCCCTCTCTTTACTCTCTCTCTTCACAGGGCCCACACATCTTTCTTTCTCTCTCTCCTTTAATGTGTAGTGGTGTTGTCTTGTACTAAAACTCTATGATGTTGCTAATATTACTTGTGCCAACTGTCTGTTCCGTTTTTGTACCATGCCTCGTCTACACCCGCTGTCACCTTTTTGAAACCCCTATGGTATATGTAGCCAGTAGCCACAAACTACACCAATAATAACATATCTCACCCACCTTCCTTAAGTCAGTGTTTTGTTGTACATGTCCATGATGGCCACTTTAACTTCAGTCTAGACAATGGAAAACAATTCAAAGTATATCATAAAGAGTAAGATAAACCCCATTTTACTTGAATGGGATTTTCACAAGTAAAGTAAGCAAAGCGATGTCAGTATTTGTAAGAAGTGTTACAGTTAAAAGTATTCACAATGTCAGTATTTTTAAAGAAGTGTTACAGTTAAAAGTATTCATGTTCATTCTTTCATTGTTTGACCAAAGAACACTGTGTTATAATCATTCTATAGTTTTGAAGATAAATGGTGTTTAGGGAAAAATATGCGCTCTCTCTCAGGGTTGGGGTCAATTCCATTCCATTTCAATTCAGAAAGTAAAATTGACCATTTCAATTTTTACTCACTGAAAAGCATGGAAGGACATTTGCATTGGAATATCAGTGTATTCCTGAATTGAAATGGAATTGACCCCAGCCTTGTTCTGTGTAGCCCGAGTCCCAGATCTTTGTGCTGTCTTGCTACGTCCTATGTCATTCCATATGTTCAGTTGGAAAGACTGCACAAACACAACTGGGACTCAGCCCACTCTGCATGCTTTACAAAGGCAAGGGAAGACTAACACCAGTGGAAATGAACAAGAAGGGATTCTGTTACTAATCAAACTTCTATTCATCACACAATGCTTTAACTGTCAATGAAAATGCATTTAGGGAACTTGTTTCGTAGCCTGGTTCTGAACTGAATTGTTCTGTTCATTAAGTGAAAGCGATCTTCAAACTGACCTATTCAGTTTGGATTCAGCCAGGCTACTTGTTATGAGGAAGGTTGTGACAATTGAAGCACAAATCATGAGGTACTCCCACTACATCACTGCCTGTGCTTAGTGCACACAGACATGACCAGTTGTTATTGAACTGTTTACAAAAACCATGGGTTAAGGAAGCCTAAACCTATTGCAATTTCCTCTCTACCGTACATCAGACTGCTCAGGCAATCCTTTACCAATGACTCGAATGGTGTCCTGTTAGGACATTTAATGTTCTCTGTATCTGTCAGCTTGTACTGTATTTGCTCTTTAACTGTGGTTACATCCAAAATGGCACCCTATTCCCTACATAGTGCACTACTTTTGGCCAGAGCCTATGAAGAAGTGCACTATATAGGGAATAGGGCGCCATGTCTTGCTCCTGTGTACCTTATGAATCATCTCATAGTATTGCATTTTTATTTTTTATTTTTAACACAGCCAACATTGTTACTACTTTAATTCTCTCAAACACCGCAAATCATTAACAATAAATGTCTCTGGCTTATCAGAAAGGTTGTTTGGCCTTTTTGCTTTTTTCAACAGAAAATGTCTCAAGTGTGTGTGCAAGAAACAAGGTTCAATTGGAGGTCAAAGAGCAAATGCTCTCGAGTTACTTTTTGCAATAAAAAATATACATTATGTATAAAAACATTTACACAATGGTCACATCTTACATTTGGAACAAACTAACATTCGTGAAAGCTAGGTTGAGCAGTGAACATTGAAATGAAATCAGTCAATGCATAAACAGAAGTGTACCCTTCAAAATAGCCATAGCAGTCACAGTGAAGTCCATAGAGAACATTCATTTAATTCCACTATGGTTCATCATCGTCAGGGGAATCAGGCAGCGTCTCAGGTCGCTCCTGGTTCACATTCCTCTTCAGGCACACTGGGTGGAGAGGGAGACTCCTGCTTGAGCAAGATACTATGGAGGTCTGGAGAGAGTGCGTTTGCCTCAGGAGTACTGTTGTCCGTGTCCCCAGGAGTCTGAGTGATGTTGTCCACATTCCCAGGGCTAGGAGAAGGGACAACAGGTGAACAGGGAGCCTCTTCCTTGACCTGGGTCTGGATGTCTGAAGTGACTGCATTATCAAGAGTCTCAGACTCACACTTAGGCAACAGACTAAGTATCGCATTTGCCCTAGCAGTCTCCTGGGTAGCGTTGTCTACATCAGCAGTCTCCTGGGTAGCGTTGTCTACATCATGAGGAGTCTGGGTACTGCTGTCTACATCATCAAGGTTTGGAGAGGGTTTCTCATTCCCTGACTCTGCAGATGAACTCTGACCCCCAAGCGACTGATTATTTTTGTCTCTCCTGCGTTTCCTCTTGCTCTTCTTCTTTTTGCTTTTTTTGGAGTGTTTGTGGCGTGATGGAGTTGTGGCGCTGCTGTCGTCGGCCGGCTGCTTGTCTTCTTGGGATGTTTTCTTGGGGCTCCCATGTCTCTTCCTCTTGGAGGACTCTCTGGGGCTGGCTGATCTGGATCTCCTGTGGGACGTCCCCCTACTAGACTCTGTGGGTGAACCCCTCCGCCCCGCTCTCTTGCTCCCATACCGCATGTCTCTGTCCCTACTCCTGTCCCTGTCCCTACTCCTGTCTCTGTCCCTACTCCTGTCCCTACTCCTGTCCCTGTCCCTACTCCTGTCCCTGTCCCTACTCCTGTCCCTGCTCCTGTCCCTGTCCCTCCTATCTCTATCCCTACTCCTCGACCTGGGTCTGGCACTGGTACGACTGATCCAGGACCTGTCACTCTGAACACTGGCTCTCCTTTGGGCTATTCTACTCTCCCTGCTCCTCTCCCCCCGTCGGCTCTGTGACCTCTCAGTCCAGGAGGAGCGGTTACTCCTCTCAGAGAACCGGCCCCCAGCGAAAGACCCGGTACCCCCTCCTCCCCGGTCGGGGGACATGTGCAGGTCCCTGTCCGCCTCCCAGAACTCGTTTCCAGGGTTACGATACACGTGCAGGAAGTTGCAGTGCTTTCCTTTCGGACACTTCTGTCGGTCAAACAAACCTGCGGAGGAACACCGTGATCAAACAAATACTAGGGGCTTTATTGATAATATACACAACTTATGACTAGCATAAGTCTGTAAAAATCAGTGTAGGTAGGTGTATTGTAGTTCTCAGATTTCCTTTTTTGTTCCATTCACTCACCACATATAGCAGTCTTCCATCTGGTGACGGGAGAGAACTCACACTGGAGCTGTTTACCAGCGTACCATCTTCCATTGAACATCATGAAGGCCTCTCTGCACTGCTCCTCGCTAAAGAAACAGACAGCAAAGACAAAATGAAGACTGTAAAGATACACTACTTTATTACTCAGAATTGAGGAACACCGTTGGTTCTTCACCTACAAAACTTATCAGACCATTTTTCATAAGTTGCTTAGTTTACTTACGTATCAAACTGGACATAAACATTTCCTCTCAAATGTGGCTCGAAGTTGCAGCTGACCTGAAGAGAGAGAGAGAGAGAAAACGAGAGAGGAGTTTGATTCATTGCCCCTCAGAGTGGATAGGTCTCATTTCCATTGACGCACTCCTTCCAGTCCAGCATCATCATGTTCACCTTAAACTGCACCACCTTGCCAGCGGTCCTGAACTCAGGAAGTACGTCCTCGTAGAAATCCACAAACTGCTGTTGCACCTCCTCCTCGCTGTGCTCCAGACAGGCGTCTGTATCATAGTCGTCCCGTGACCTCTGGTCCATCCCGAAAGTCGCAAACATCCCCCGGATCATCAGAGTAGGGCTGGACGGGGGGTGGACATGCTTACGAGAGCACCTGACCAATCAGGTAAGCAAGAGAAGAGTTCATTAGTTGAACGCTAATGTAAAGAGAATATGGTATACAAATGACTGTGTACTGTGCAGTATTCTGAAAGATGAGCCTCATTTGAGGAGAACTAATATGAAATAGCTTCCCAGGACTCCCTGGAAAATGGTGGTGGACTATCCTAGCTAAAAAATAAATAATAATAATTATTATTATTATTGTAAATAAGAATGTGGTCCTCTGTAGCCCAATTGGTAGAGCATGGCGCTTGTAACGCCAGGGTAGTGGGTTCGATCCCCGGGACCACCCATACGTAAAAATGTATGCACACATGACTGTAAATCGCTTTGGATAAAAGCGTCTGCTAAATGGCATATTATAATAATAGTACAATTATTTTATTTTTTTAATGAAATGTCTTTCCGATTTAGAACCATTACCAACCTGTCGCCGAAGCGGCAGGCTCCAGTTTTGAGGAAGAAGGGGCAGTTAGCCCGGTCTTGCTCCGTGCCAAAATCTGGAGCCTCAGGGTTTCTCCAGGGACCCCCATTCTCCAGCTACACTCAAAACAGGAAGTAGAATAGGTTTGTTTCTTTAATAATTGCAAACTCATCCTTGTGTAAAATCTAACCGGTTTACAGAAAATTGTCCATCAAAGACGGTCAAGAGAGCTTTCCAAACATAAACCTGGTATGCAATATGCATTTGGTTTGTTTCTTCATACCTGACTCTCAGCCTGGTCCAACATTTTCTGTACAGCTTCCTATAAATGGTGCAAACATAGGATGGGCTGGTGAAAACCTGCAGTGGCATATCTGGATATCTGTTACTGCAAGTCAAGAATCTCTTACCAGTGGTTGAAAGCGAGCCACAAAATATATGTCTTTGTACACTATACATAAGAACTGCAAAGTTGTGTGTGTATTTTTTTCCCTGAGCAGTATGAGAATAACCAGATGACATGAGGAAACCAATCCAGAGATAAAAGATACATCCTTGTCCCATGGCAGCACGGACCTGTAGTTGTGTCACTCTTTGTGTGTATCTTAGTTAAGGTTTTTGCGTGTATCACAGTTAAGGAAAAACACAAGTGGATGTCTGAGGCAAAACACTTTCACACATACCAAAAGACACATTACTGTGTAATATTTCTTAAAAAGTTACCAATACCATTGTGTGAATACAAATACAAAAGGAAGAGGATATGTAGCTTTTCATTGTGTGTTTATCCTCCTGGTGCACGTTTCACCTCTCTGTCTCTCTTCTCCTGTTGCTTCTGTTCCTTCTCCTCTTCCTCTCTCCTCTGCTGGGCCTCCCATTCCTCCTTTATCCTCACCTGCAGACATGGAAAGAGGTTACAGAGATTCTTTCATTGAAGCATGGGGGGGGGGCAGCCTCTGCACTTCTTTTGGCCTGAGCTCTGGTTAAACTTAGGCAATAGGGTGCCATTTTACATTGTAACAGTTCTGTACCTCCTCTTCCGCCTGTCTCTTCCTTGCAGTTTCTTCCCTCTCCCACCGGAGTCTGAATTCCTGCTGGGCCAGCCTCTCCCTCTCCAGCCACTCCTGTTCTAGTCGCTGTCTGAATACAGGACACATGGAACAATATTACAGACTCTGAAAAATGTCCATTGCTTATCAATTTATAACTGTAGAGATATTTGCTACCTTTCTTCCTCAGCCTTCCTTTCCTCTTCATCATCTTCTTGCTCTGATGGAGAATCATCTTCTCCATTTTCTATGCGTTTAGGGAGACGAATTAGAGCTCGTCAATGGATGGTTAGATATTCAGAATACATAGTCGCCGTCGGTAATTATGCTGATCAACAACTGGCTAGTGGTATAGATAATATCCGCATGAGGCCTTTTGGTAGGCCGTCATTGTAAATAAGAATGTGTTCACAACTGACTTGCCTAGTTAAATAAAGGTTAAATAATAATATATAACCACTGTGACATACCACCAGATTCTCTGACTTGGGCTTTGGCCAGGGCTTGGCGTTTTCGTTTTCTTCTTTGTTTCTTCTTCAAAGATGCCCTGCGTTTTTGACTGTGGGGAAATATAACAAGGCATGGGTTGTCTAAATTACTAGCTATTAAGTGTTTGTCAACACAGTCCCTGCGAGCTTGCTAGTTAGCTACTTGACGAACATAACTAGCTAGCTTGCAGCACTGCGTTGTGATTCTTTGTCACCTCCATGAATATCAAACAATTTCAAGTTTACATGACATAAAACATCAGATTAACGACAATTATCTTAACATACCCCAATGAGGGTGCAGACACCGCAGAAGGCATGCATGCTGCCATTTTACAGAAAACTCATTCAATTCGTCAGGGGTCAAAGTTGAACATTTCCCTCGTCGTTTGAAATCGTTGTTATAATCGTTTAAAAAGAATATGACTTGCACCATATGAACCGTTCATTTTTACTATCACCATAACCTTTACATTTGTCTTCGAAAATGTTTCGATAACGCATGAATTTTGAGACGTTCGATTATGAAGAACTTCCTGGTCATATCTGCGCACGCTCCGTTACTACAGTGTTGTGATAACGCATGCGCCGTGCTCTCCATCCTCGGATGCGCGCATAAAAGAAAGTGGGAATTTTAGTGGTCAACAAATTCAGCTGTGTTTTGGCCTTTTGCGAATAATATAATATAAAATAGCTACCTAGTTACCTTGCTTTCGGGTAAACCCACGGGTGACCTACAATTGCAGGAGCCCCGAAACCCAAACATGGCGGATAAAGAAGGTAAGGATTTGATGGGCTCCGTTCATTTCATGCATGCTTTGTGTGCGCATCTGGGTGCATAGCCAAATGAAAAGTGCGGTCTGTTAGCTAGCTAGCTATGCTAACCAGCACAAGTTGCATAATTTCGGCCTGGGTTTACTGTCTGTGCTCCATAAATTGAGAATTTAGATAACTAACTAATAGTTTATGTAACTAAATAAATTGCTATCTATCTAGCTCAACATGGACAGGCCGCTTGCTTGTGTAACATGCAAATGAGGGACAACTGGCCCGAGGGTACAGGAATGCAGTAAATCCTAACGTTACCGCAGTTACTACCAAGCCAGTGTAAGTCCATTGTAGTCTAATGTAAGTATCTTCTTCGACTGTTCTAGTGTACGACGATGCAGTTGAGGAGAGGGTGATCAATGAAGAATATAAGATCTGGAAGAAGAACACTCCTTTTCTCTATGACCTGGTGATGACACACGCGCTGGAGTGGCCCAGTCTCACTGTGCAGTGGCTACCAGACGTCAACAGGTACAGTAGCCAATGCCACATCCCCGTTCCTGTACCCTGAAGAAGGTACAGTGATGCCGAAAGGTTTCTTACCCAATAAATGACTGGGAGTTCATACATAGAGAGTGCGACTCTCTTTATTTGTTTTTATAGCTTACAGTTTATTCACCATTAGTCAGCACATCTACACTAAATAATGTTCTCTGGGTGTGTTCCTGCTTTTATTAGCCTCTTGCCGTTTCTCAACATAAGCTATGTGTGCTAACCTAGCTATATACTGAACATGTGTTGTGCTCTCTACCAACCTGTCCTTCCTTGTCAGGCGTTCTAGTTCAGTCTAGAAAAGCACGTTATTCTGCCATGTAGTGGGTGCATCTGAAATGGCACCCTATTCACTATGCAGTGCACTTCTTTTGACCATAAGTCTCTGGTCAAAAGTAGTGTACTATAGGGAATAGGGTGCTATTTCAGACACACACACACAGTGATAGTATTTAATGTTTCTGTCTCCCTGTGCAGGCCGGAGGGAAAGGACTATGCGGTTCACCGACTGGTACTGGGAACTCACACATCAGATGAGCAGAATCACCTGGTGATTGCCAGCGTACAGGTCCCCAACGACGACGCCCAGTTTGATGCTTCCCACTACGACAGCGAAAAAGGAGCAGGTATGTTCATCGTAGTACGTTCTCTTCTTTGTCCACAGAAAATTAGACATTTGTGGCTGGTCTCCCGGACACAGATTAAGCCTAGTCCTGGATTAAAAAGAGCTTTAATAGACAATCTCCATTGAGTGGTTTTTTTGGCTGGGAAACTGACCCTATATGCATATTATAAGTCAAGAGATCTCTGAGAAAATATGCTGAACATGCAGTATTTCTTCCTCAGAATTTGGAGGTTTTGGATCAGTGAGTGGAAAGATAGAGATTGAGATCAAAATAAACCACGAGGGGGAAGTGAACCGGGCCAGGTACATGCCTCAGAACCCCTGCATCATCGCTACTAAGACCCCCACCTCAGACGTACTGGTCTTTGACTACACCAAGCACCCTTCCAAACCAGGTAAGACAATACAATACAAATCTGGTAAATAGATCACTGCTCTAAAAAACAAAACAAAAAAAGTCTGCACTTTTGGAACGGTTGCATTCGACCAGGAAAATGTTTTATCTGGTTCCTGAAAGTAGTAACTTGACATGTATTTGACCCAATTCTGGTATCTTAACATGTTCTACCATCATGTCTCTCCCTCCCATAGACCCCAGTGGTGAGTGCAGCCCAGACCTGCGTCTGCGGGGACACCAGAAGGAGGGGTACGGCCTGTCCTGGAACCCCAACCTCAGTGGCAACCTGCTCAGTGCTTCTGATGACCATGTAAGTGTCTGTCTTTTCTCTGTCTACACTCCATCAGCACATCATTTCCCCCTGTGCATTTGAATAATTTCAAGCTAGATTGTCTTTCACTGACAATGAAAAAGCCTTTTCAACAAAGTGTTGCGTTGTTATTAAGGCAACTCCTTACGTAGGCATTCTATTGTTTAAATCTCGACTGTCCAATTCTCATCTGGCTCCAAATCTCAGTTCCTCACATGAAACTCGCCTCGTCACTGTATACACAATAAGCATATTTTTTTGTTCTAGACAAATGCTATATGAACTACTATATATTATTAAGAAGTGACTGAAATGTTTAATCTCCAGACAATCTGCCTGTGGGACATCGGTGCGGGTCCTAAGGAGGGGAAGATAGTGGATGCTAAAACCATCTTCACCGGTCACACTGCAGTGGTGGAGGATGTGTCCTGGCACCTGCTCCACGAGTCGTTGTTCGGCTCTGTGGCCGACGACCAGAAACTGATGATGTGTGTGAGCTCTTTCTCTATCCCTCTCTCTCTTTTCTTTCTTTTTCTCTCAATGTATTTTCATAAAGAAATCTCAAAGATACTTTTCAAGCTGTAACTAATAATTACATCCAGTGTCTATGTATGGTATGAAGCCTTGACCTTTCCACACAAGAAGTTCCCTCAGAGGAACAATACATTTATTTGAATTGATAACTGGATGGAAGGATCTGATTTTCTTAACTGGCTGCCCCTTAATTCAGGGGGGCCCAGAGTGGGGGGGGGAGTTTGGGAACCCCTGCCTTAATTAACCTTTGACCTCTCTGTCTCAGCTGGGACACGCGGTCCAACAACACGTCCAAGCCTAGCCATGCGGTGGACGCCCACACTGCAGAGGTCAACTGTCTGTCCTTCAACCCCTACAGCGAGTTCATCCTGGCCACCGGCTCTGCAGACAAGGTCTGTATCTTTTGATAAACATAATCAGTCAGTCCACTGTCTCACCTCAAGGGCTGGAGTGTTCTGCACAATGGTGAAAATGAAGTGGTCGGGTCACAAATCACTGTCGACCAAGAAGTGTATTTCATACTGGACAGTAGTCCAAAATATGTTAATTTATTCAGGTAATTTATTTTCCATTGCCAACTGTTTATTTTTTTCTCTCTCCTTTTGCATCTCAGACTGTTGCTCTCTGGGATCTGCGTAACCTCAAACTGAAGCTCCACTCTTTCGAATCGCACAAGGATGAAATCTTCCAGGTAATACTCCATAAATAGTAAACAATACTCTCAATCCCTCTGAATCAATTGAATTGGGAGTCTGGATAAGTTACCAGGCTTTGTTGGTGTCTTGTTCAACTGTTTTATTTAACCAGGGTAGTCACGTTGAGATTTACATCTCTTTTTCAAGTGAGCCCTACATCTCTCTTGTGTTGGTGTCCCTCGTAGACGTTGTGCTGAGCTGGAGTTTATTGCACTGACAGTGCTTTACTGACTTCTTTGGCAGGTGCAATGGTCCCCTCACAACGAAACCATTCTGGCTTCCAGCGGCACAGATAGAAGGCTCAACGTATGGGATCTCAGGTAAAGACCGAAGACAACAGAGCATGTTAACTGAACTAACCTTTTGTTTAGTTTGCTCAGCTGAATTGCCCTGGGGAGGGGGGGGAGGGAGGGAGGGAGGGGAGGGAGGGAGGGGGGGGGCAATAACAGTCTTGAATCCTCAAGCTGCTGAGATACCCTTTGACATTTCAAGAGGTAGAAACAAATGTCAAGTCGGTGTGTCCTCAACACTGTAGGATGATGATAATATTGGTGTAGTAGTTGAAATGGTTTTGTCTTGTCTGTCCCCAGTAAAATCGGAGAGGAACAGTCTGCGGAGGATGCAGAGGACGGACCTCCAGAACTGCTGGTGAGTGATGGACACGTCATCCACAATTATGACCTTTATCTCCTTAGTAGGGTTGCAAAACACTTGTCAACTTTCCCAAAACTTTCCTGGATTTCCAGAAATCCCATTTGGATTATTCTTTCAGAATTCCAGGAATCTTCCAACTGGGATTTCTGGGAAACCAGGACATTTTTGGGAAAGTTAAGAGTTTTGCAACCCTACCCCTAAGCTTTTAAATAAACAGCAATAGGGAGGTTTTATTTTGACATATTACTCATCCTGTGGACTGGTTTTATCTCGTCAGTTCATCCATGGAGGACACACGGCGAAGATTTCTGACTTCACGTGGAACCCCAACGAGCCCTGGGTCATCTGCTCCGTCTCAGAGGATAACATCATGCAGGTTTGGCAAATGGTGAGGACACTGTCGGCGATAAATAAAGTACCACGTTTGCTTCCACACTTTCAGGAAATCATTTTTTGACCCCTAAAGCAAATTCAAAAGCAGTCTAAATGTGTTGTTCCAATTAATCAGTTAAAGTAATTAACTCCTTTTAACTGTGAACTGATGTAACACTTTCCATCTCTCTCTAGGCTGAGAACATCTATAATGATGAGGAGCCAGACACCCCTGCTTCAGAGCTGGAGGGTCAAGGGTCGTAACCACATACTCCACCCCAACCCACGATCCACCTCCTGGTGCATCTCTCCTCTTGTACAGTATTTCACATTGTAGCCTCCATCTCTACCTGACAGACATTGTTTCCCATATAAAGCATTCTTCTGGATTTGGTTTGATATATTGATCAAGCAGCCCTTACAGGTACAAAGGGCTGGTTTCCCGAACACAGATTAAGCGTAGTCCTTAACTAAAAAGCATGTTCAATGGATATTCACAATTGGACGTGCTTCTGAGTCCAAGACTAGTAGGCACTCTGTGTCCAGGAAACTGGCCCAAAGTGTATTGAACAGTTATAAAAGGAGAATCTCATCTGAGTGAAATGCCACAACCATGCAGGTGGACAGTCGTCAACAAATGCACTTGGTAAAGCAGGGCTTCTTTTCCACCTGTCTAAATAAGGATATCCTTTGGTATTGTTTCTGCTTTGACTGCGGCAGGTGACTAAATCATTTTGAACCTTGATGGATTTTTGTTTTGTGCATAACCTGGCATAAATTGCAATAAAAAAATAATTTTTGTAACTTTTAAATTAATTGCGTTTGTTATTTTCTATAATCCCCAGGAACACGTTTAGTGTATATTTGCCTGACTCCAACGGAATTATTCCGCTGCGCTGTTCGCTACATACTTCAGTCTGAGGCTGCCATCGTTGAAGTCGTTTGTGGTGATGTCAAAGTCAGCGACTGGATCATGAGTATCAAAGCCAATGACACATTTTCTAAACATTGTGTTATCCTTGTTCTGGCACTGGTCCAACCCATCGGTTTCTGGGACCAATCAGAACGGTTAGAATGTGTTTGCGTTCTAGGAATCGTTGGAGGTACTCCAAGCCAGACTCATTGGAGAAAAACGTGGCCGTGGCATAGTGTTTGGCCAGAGCAAGGAGTTTGGGAAGCCAGGCAAGGTGTCTATACTGCCTAGAAGTGAAGTTAACACATATCCTTCATAACAGAACAATTTAAACATATAGCAAACTAGGAAAATTAAAACTACAACCACAAGTGTGGAAAATTCTACAAAATGTTTTTTTTTATTGAAAAGCAAGAGACTGGACTAGAACATTTTACAATCTCGTAAAGGGGAATGTGGGCTCATATAAAGCTTTCTGAACATTCAACTCACTCCGCTTTCACAGTTCTTCTCACCTGCAGAGGTAGACGTCTTGCATAACCTGAGTTTAACTGTGGCAGACATCACAACCGATGGTAAAGGGCATCCACTATAGCCTGAGTGCCAGTCTACTTCATTGCTGTCATTGTCAAGCCAGACATTAACATGACAATGAGTTGGCATAATAGCCCAAGCAGATGGCTTTAGGCTACATCCAAAATGCAAGTAGTACCAACTGGCCTGGTCTCTAGTGGCATCTTTACATGAACCCATCAAATCAATAGATTACCCAGTAAAGTATTGAACTTGATTAAAGACTTTAGAGGGGGTTTAAGATACTGTAACATTGAGATTGTATCCCCCACCCCCCAAACTGTGGCTTGGACCCATCTTTTAACACTTTCCTGCAAAGCCGTGAACGTTTAGAGGAACTTCAGGGGCTGTGCTCTGAATGAAATCCTTACGACAAATACCAAGTTGACGAGAAAACAAGACAGACAATCTAAAAGTCTGAGCTGGTGATATCAGTGTTTGAGGTTTCTAGGTAGATGACAGGGTGATCAGGCCATTAGGGGAACCTGGGTAGTGTTCATTAGGACACGCATCAGATAACGTTTTCAATATTTCACAGCTGGAAACAGTTTCTTATTGGAACAGGTATTAGTTATTGAATCCAGTTTCAATTCATTTCTTGATGCCTAATGAACACAACTCTGACCTGGGGCCAAAACCGTCATCATTCTCATTACAAGAGACTGGCAACATGGGTGACATTCAGGTACATTAACTACATTCATAGTACTCCACACATTTCACATTGTCGGCAAGTATCCCTAATAGCTCTTATTGAAGGTTAGCATCGAGTTGTAATGCTTGAATGACATACGTTCCATTCATAGGTATTCAGTACAGAGTGTTGGTAAAAAATTTAAAATACAATTGCCTGTTTTTCCAGTATAACATCTAAGATGACAAGGCACCTTATAAATCCAACTAAAAAATGTTTTGCTTCCAGAAATAAAACAAATTTTTGCCAATATTTTGGGTCTCAACAAAGCACTGGCATAAGGAATAGAAAGAAGCCTATTTGGAGACCAAGAAACAGATTACGTCCCAGATAAATGCATGTTCACTGGTCTGCAGATAAATGCATGTTCACTGGTCTGGCACATAACCCTACATTACCAAGCCGTTCCAGTTCCTGAAAGCCCACAGTGTCTGCAGTAAAGTGCCCCACTGACTTCTTCAACCAAATGATTACACACAGAAGTAAAATTACATAGTGAGCCCTTAACCATTGGGTAAACGACCCAGTGAGCCCTTAACCATTGGGTAAACGACCCAGTGAGCCCTTAACCATTGGGTAAACGACCCAGTGAGCCCTTAACCATTGGGTAAACGACCCAGTGAGCCCTTAACCATTGGGTAAACGACCCAGTGAGCCCTTAACCATTGGGTAAACGACCCAGTGAGCCCTTAACCATTGGGTAAACGACCCAGTGAGCCCTTAACCATTGGGTAAATTGAACCAAATGCCCCCCATTAGATGGAATTAGTGGTTTTAAGGAGAGCTGGAGAACAGTTTGGCCCTATTGGAATGATAGCCTGGTCCCAGGTCTGTTGTGCTGTTTTCCAACTCCTATGGTCAAGTTGGACCAGACAGCAGAAACAGATCTGGGGCCAGGCTACTGGAATTACAAACCAGGAAAGCCTGTAGCTGCAGCAGCAGCATCTGAACAAGGGGTCCTCCTGCAGAAACTGTCAACCAGTGAAACTGTCTCTCACAGACCAACAATGACTGACTGTGCTGTGTGTTGACTGGATAGCAGCCTGGTCAAAGCAGAACATATTTAACCCTTCAGACTCAGTCTCCTATGTTAAAAGGACAAGGATGTTCCCCAGTGCTTCAAAGTGTGTTTACAGGGTTTCAACTTTACAGTAAACCTCATTAAGACAAGGAGACTGGACTGAAACTGTACACCAGTTCTGAGGAATTAGAAAACCAATAGACCCAATCATGACAACCCAAGGACTGATATGGCCCATCCATAGAAATACAAGTCAACCGAATTTGTTACGTTGACTTGAAATGGGCACTCCCGTTCTAGTAATTATATTTCTATGGACCCTGCTCTGAGATAAACGTTGTACGTTTGTGACTATTCTACTGTGCAATGCCCTGCTATTTCTGTTCCTAGACAGAGACAAGATTCAGTTAGTCACGACGATGCAACAAGGCTCCGTCAATATAGCAATATCTTCAACAATATGTATATGACAGGATTTAAATCAGACTACAATATCAGTTCCAAAAAATTGATTTAATCTGACTACAATGCCACAGCTCCAAAAGATAGATTTTTAAATGGAAGAAAGCTGCCAAGAGACGGCGTCAGACTGTAGAGGAAATGGAGAGACGGCCCTGTGACTGACCACGGGAAAGCTGCTGAACAACCCTGTGACTGACCATGGGAAAGCTGCTGAACAACCCTGTGACTGACCACAGGAAAGCTGCTGAACAACCCTGTGACTGAAGACAATCGTCTAAGAAAATACAAATGTGGTAGAAAAAGGGGGGGAGCTAAGTGCTCACCACAAAGCCCACTGTTACAATGTAGTCAGGGCAAAAAGTACTATATTCATCATTAATAATGCAGTCATTTTAATCTTAATTATAACTTTCTATCACACAAAAAAAGATCTACTGTATTCAAATATACCCCCAAAAAGCCAGAGGTGGTTAGTGGCTCAGTTGTCAAGTTGCTCTGTTGTGGAGGTCTCTGGCTCCAGTTCAGGGGTAGTAGGGGGCTGTGTCTCTTCCCCCCTCCCAGGCGGAGAGAGCTCATCCTGGGTAGACTCCTGGTTGGGCTGGGGGTCTGGAGGCCCCTCCTCCTCCTCCGTGGTTGTTGACTGTAGTTCTCCCAGTTTGGTGGTGAGGTCGTCCCTCTCCATCTGCAAGGCCTGGCACAGTTTCTCCAGGCGCTCCAGCTTCCCATGCAGGCCCTTGTAATGTTTGTCCCGCAATGTTTTCTGGAGAGGACAAACAGTAAACCACATTCAACATCAGATATTCTATCATTAAGTGACATCATTCGTTGAGATACTTCATTGTGAAATTTGACCGTACAATAAAAAAATCTCTGCTATTATTTGTAAATGATGAAGTAAGATGGAAGGGTTTCTCATCACCTCCTCAGCCATCTGTAGCAGAGCCTGGTTGTTGGTCTCCCACTTGGTCCTCCACACAGTCGTCTCCTTCTCCAGCTTCTTGATCTTCTTGGTCATCTGGAGAACAGAAGAAAGATAGAGAGAGGTCTATAGAGAGGTCTACAGATCTAAATCCTTCCAGCTACAGAGAGGTCTACAGATCTAAATCCTTCCAGGTATAGAGAGGTCTACAGATCTAAATCCTTCCAGCTATAGAGAGGTCTACAGATCTAAACCCCTTCCAGCTATAGAGAGGTCTACAGATCTAAACCCTTCCAGCTATAGAGAGGTCTACAGATCTAAACCCCTTCCAGCTATAGAGAGGTCTACAGATCTAAATCCTTCCAGCTATAGAGAGGTCTACAGATCTAAATCCTTCCAGCTACAGAGAGGTCTACAGATCTAAACCCTTCCAGCTACAGAGAGGTCTACAGATCTAAATCCTTCCAGCTATAGAGAGGTCTACAGATCTAAATCCTTCCAGCTATAGAGAGGTCTACAGATCTAAACCCCTTCCAGCTATAGAGAGGTCTACAGATCTAAACCCCTTCCAGCTATATACCAAAGAAACACAAGGGTGTTTTATGTTAAATATTTTGTTCCAAACCTTCTCCATCTCCTGTCTGAAGGTAGTGAACACCTCGTTGCTTTTCGCCAGAGTGGTCTGAAACTCCTCAAACTTGTCCATGTACAGAGAGAGCTAAAAACCACAAATACATTTACGTCATTTAGCAGACGCTCTTATCCAGAGCGACTTACAAATTGGTGCATTCACCTTATAGCCAGTGGGATCACCACTTTACAATATTTTTATTTTTTTTCTTTCTTTGGGGTGGGGTAAGGGGGGGATAGAAGGATTACTTTATCCTATCCCAGGTATTCCTTAAAGAGGTGGGGTTTCAAGTGTCTCCGGACATAACATTTCAGTCATAACATACAGTCACGATCCATATAAACATAGTCCCCATCAATATAAACATATTAACATAGTCCTCATCAATATAAACTGACTGACACAGAACATGGAAAGAAAAGGCAGCTAGCTACCTGCTGTTTGAGCTGAGTCTCCTGTTCCTTCATCAGCTCACACTCATGTCTGGACTCTGTGGCGTCTTTCAGGAGCTGAACAGGAGACGGAAATGGTCACAACTTCTGACAAACAGTCAACCAATTCAATCAATGCAAACAGACTACTAACTGTCACTCACTTCCAGTTATTACAGAGATAAACAAATACTCTGTCCTGGGTTGTGTTCATTAGGCACCTGGACCTCATTTTAAGTTCCAATTGGTCCTCTGTAGCTCAATTGGTAGAGCATGGCGCTTGTAACGCCAGGGTAGTGGGTTCGATCCCCGGGACCACCCATACGTAAAAATGTATGCACACATGACTGTAAGTCGCTTTGGATAAAAGCGTCTGCTAAATGGCATATTATATTATAAAATGTTTTCAGTTGTGTGCCCTATGGAACACAGGCCTCCAGTTATTTGTCGCCATCTAGAACATCTTCAGAATAATGACCCATGGCAGTGGGACTCACAAAGTCTCTCTCTCTCTGCTGCTTCCCCTCCACCTCTCTCATCAGCTCAGCTGTCCTCTGGAGCTTGGCATCCACCAACTGCTGCTGCTTCTCCTTGTGCTTGAACACCTTGTCAATGTGCTGGGAACAGACAGACAGGACAGAGCAGAACACCATGTCAATGTGCTGGGAACAGACCGACAGACAGGACAGAGCAGAACACCTTGTCAATGTGCTGGGAACAGACCGACAGACAGGACAGAGCAGAACACCATGTCAATGTGCTGGGAACAGGCCGACAGACAGGACAGAGCAGAACACCTTGTCAATGTGCTGGGAACAGACAGACAGGACAGAGCAGAACACCATGTCAATGTGCTGGGAACAGACCCACAGACAGGACAGAGCAGAACACCATGTCAATGTGCTGGGAACAGACAGACAGAGCAGAACACCATGTCAATGTGCTGGAAACAGACCGACAGACAGGACAGAGCAGAACACCATGTCAATGTGCTGGGAACAGACAGACAGAGCAGAACACCATGTCAATGTGCTGGGAACAGACAGACAGGCCAGAGCAGAACACCATGTCAATGTGCTGGGAACAGACCGACAGACAGGACAGAGCAGAACACCATGTCAATGTGCTGGGAACAGACCGACAGACAGGACAGAGCAGAACACCTTGTCAATGTGCTGGGAACAGACCGACAGACAGGACAGAGCAGAACACCATGTCAATGTGCTGGGAACAGACCGACAGACAGGACAGAGCAGAACACCATGTCAATGTGCTGGAAACAGACAGACAGACAGGACAGAACACCATGTCAATGTGCTGGAAACAGACCGACAGACAGGACAGAGCAGAACACCATGTCAATGTGCAGTCAGATTTCCAGAGGCTCTTAAATGCATTTAACATGCTGAAAAATACACCTAGTAAAAAACATCCATCTGGGCAATTCCAAACTAAATCCTACTAAGTGTTGAAACATGCAGTAATCCTCTAATCAAAGTACCAATCAGATTTCTCCTACATGTTGTAGGCCTGCATCTGCCATAGGCACCTGACTAAAAGGCCAGAGCAGAACACCATGTCAATGTGCTGGGAACAGACCGACAGGACAGAGCAGAACACCATGTCAATGTGCTGGGAACAGACAGACAGGACAGAGCAGAACACCATGTCAATGTGCTGGGAACAGACAGACAGGACAGAGCAGAACACCATGTCAATGTGCTGGAAACAGACCGACAGACAGGACAGAGCAGAACGCCATGTCAATGTGCTGGGAACAGACAGACAGGACAGAGCAGAACACCATGTCAATGTGCTGGGAACAGACAGACAGGACAGAGCAGAACACCATGTCAATGTGCTGGGAACAGACAGACAGGACAGAGCAGAACACCATGTCAATGTGCTGGGAACAGACCGACAGGACAGAGCAGAACACCATGTCAATGTGCTGGGAACAGACAGACAGACAGGTCAGAGCAGAACACCATGTCAATGTGCTGGGAACAGACAGACAGGACAGAGCAGAACACCATGTCAATGTGCTGGGAACAGACCGACCGACAGGACAGAGCAGAACACCATGTCAATGTGCTGGGAACAGACAGACAGGACAGAGCAGAACCCCATGTCAATGTGCTGGGAACAGACAGACAGGACAGAGCAGAACACCATGTCAATGTGCTGGGAACAGACCGACCGACAGGAAGAGCAGAACACCAATGTCAATGTGCTGGAACAGACAGACAGACGAGCAGAACACCATGTCAATGTGCTGGGAAACAGACAGACAGGACAGAGCAGAACACCATGTCAATGTGCTGGGAACAGACAGACAGGACAGAGCAGAACACCTTGTCAATGTGCTGGAAACAGACAGGACAGAGCAGAACACCTTGTCAATGTGCTGGGAACAGACCGACAGACAGGACAGAGCAGAACACCATGTCAATGTGCTGGGAACAGACCGACCGACAGACAGGACAGAGCAGAACACCATGTCAATGTGCTGGGAACAGACCGACCGACAGACAGGCCAGAGCAGAACACCATGTCAATGTGCTGGGAACAGACCGACCGACAGACAGGCCAGAGCAGAACACCATGTCAATGTGCTGGGAACAGACCGACAGACAGGACAGAGCAGAACACCATGTCAATGTGCAGTCAGATTTCCAGAGGCTCTTAAATGCATTTAACATGCTGAAAAATACACCTAGTAAAAAACATCCATCTGGGCAATTCCAAACTAAATCCTGAATAAATCCCACTAAGTGTTGAAACATGCAGTAATCCTCTAATCAGAGTACCAATCAGATTTCTCCTACATGTTGTAGGCCTGCATCTGCCATAGGCACCTGACTAAAGAGACAGAAGGGGTATAGAGAGAGAGGGAGGAGAGAGATAGAGAGAATGGGAGGAAGAGAGAGTGTGCGCGTGCGAAAAGAAAGACAAAGATAGAGGGTAGAAAGAGGTACAGCCTCGACCGCCTACCTCCTCCCTGAGCTCGTACTGTTTGATGAGCTTCTTGAGTTTCTGGGCCAGCTCCATGTTCTCCTGGCGCAGCTTGGAGTTGTGAATGTTGTGTTGCTCCATCTGTACCTCGATCTGGTTCAGCGTCATCTGGAAGTGAAGGGTGGCCTCCTTACGACGCTCCTCATACTCCCTGGACCGCTGCGTGTTGTCATCCTGACAGGGGAGACGGCAAGCGTTACATTTTCCAAAAAAAAATGGTAACAGGGATGAGGTCAATTCTGTTTTCAATTCATGAATTCTATTGAAATTTAATTCATTCATAAAAATGTTTTCTAGGAGGCGTTTTCACTTCCGGAATTGACTGAATTGAAACCTGAATGGAACCCAACCCTGAATGTGACTGGTGCTCCTGGAATATAGCTCCATACTTGTGGATTCTATTTTTAACTCTGCATTGTTGGGAAAGGTTCATAAGCAAGTATTTCACTGTAATGTCTACACCAGTTGTGTTCGGAGCATGTGATGAATAAAATGTGACACACACAGAGGTCCTATATGATTCTATATCTAATTCAATGAGTACATAGGCATACAGTAGCCACTAACTGACTTGCTGTGTGACGGACTCTCCTCACAACCTACTTTGAGGGTCTTGTTGTGTCTCTGTAGTTCCCTACAGAGGCTCTCCAGCTTGCTGCGTGCCAGGATGGCCTTGCTGTGTTCACTCTGCAGGTGAATCTTCTCCTTGACCATCTGGGACTGCTTCTTCTGCAGGACCTTCACCTGCTTCTGTATACTGCGGCTCTCCTCCAGCTGAAAATCATTCGAACAATCAGTCAGTCAGTCAATCAAGCTGTCACAGGACACATCGGAGTAGTAATACCCTAAACACCATTTGAACAGGGACTCAAATGAGACCTGTTCAGTGTTCATTAGGCACGAAATGGATGAAAACTACCTGGACTGGTGTAATTAGAAATTGCAAAATAGTTTTGCTACGGCGTGCCCTAATGAATACAAACTCAAAAAGCAAACAGGGATGAACATGTTAGCTTATCAACTAGCAGTGGCCCACAGCAATTAATTAACTACTCTTACATGCAAATAATCACTTAAAGCAGCATAGACGTGTGGCGGCTTCCAGCGCTTACCGAATCAGCATACTTCTTGCACAAAGCGGCCAGCTTCTCCTCTGGGGAGGCTAGAGTGGTCAGGGCTTGCATCAGTAGGAGAACCTCTTTTCCTGTTACAAAACACCACAAGTGATGAGATCAGCCACTTGCCATGGTTGAAGAGGAAGGGGCATTCTCAATAACTTGGCAAAAATAATCATAATAGCATGCAGTGTAGTGATTCCTTATATTACCACACACTTTAGAAAGGCAACGACAGAGTCTCGTGTCAACCTACCGAATCCCTTTTGGTCCTTGATCTTGCCACCCCTGCCTGGGTCTAGCTCAGCATTGTTGGGGTCCAGGGGGCAGTCCTCTCTCCCTGGAGTCTCCCCTCTCACCTCCTCACTGCAGGAGCCACTGACCAGCTCAAACACCCCCACATGCTCCTGGCAACCTGGGCTGTCCAGCTCTGGAGGGGAGCTGCTGCCAGATCCCCCCACTAGCCCCCGAGTCGCCACCTCCATCCCACAGAACCCTGTGGCCTCCATGATATTGGTCCCAAACTGCAAAAGAGGAAAAGTCAATTCAGTGAAATATCTGGGGGTGTCCATCCACCGGACTATTTGAGTACACCTGACCATGTGAGTAAGCATTGATTCAATTCATCAACAGAACCTGTTCATACTTGATCATTCACTGATCATGTCAGTGGTGTGTCACTTATATTAACAGCTTCAAGACAATTTGTAAACGTTGAGGTAATGAGACAGTAAGTTAGCAACCACACACTGTCTGTTTAGCAAGGCACCAACTCTAGCAGGGCAAGGTAGGTCCTCACCTTTACCTTTTACTCCGATCTGACCAAAGGTCACATCATTCTAATAACTAGGGTAGCATTGGCAGTAGAGGTAGTTAGAGTTATTAATAGATTAATTTAACACCGGACCACAGTTCCCCCAACAATCAAGAAGGGATAGAATCCTTTAAGAAGATAGTTGAAGATTATCACCGTGCTCGACCTAACAGTACCAACAGAAGGACCCGCCACATGAGTCAGCACAGGAACCCCTCAATTCCCTTGATTTAGATCACCCGGACACCGAAGTGAACATAATTATCCGACTGAACACAAGTGAAGGACCACGTTAAAACGATGTAGCCTAAACACCGCTATTGCAGTAACACTCGTACGTTATAGTTCAATCAATATTAGACACCCAAATAAGTAAATTTGCCACACAGTGGTGGCAATAAAACAAGTACATAACGTTGGCTAGTTTTGATATTAAATTATTAGCAGGCACTAGCTAGACAATTAGTGTTAGCTAATAACCTCCACACAATTTAATGAGACTTTACCTACCTGGTTACCTATTCTGAAAGTAAAACATTGCGCCATTTATCGACTACGCTAAAGCTAATGGATGTAGCTAGCTAGCCACATTGCTAAATTTATTTAGCATAGCTATCACGTTAGTCACAGTAACCTTTGGTATGCTAGGCTAGCTAGCGTAGTTCGCTTTGACACGAGCTAGCTGTGGGTTAGCTTATTAGCTGAGTAACAAATCCAACAGTGACATTCAACTCAGCAAGAAAAATGTGACGAAAGTGTCAACAGGTTACTATCAAGTATTGATTGATGTAGGGATTATTGACCGTGGTGTAGAACACAAACACCACCAAGCAATAACTAGCAAACTGTTTGGGTTTGCAGGTGCGTGAGTCCACATTGTGCTAACTTATGCTAAGCTAACAACCTGCCACTGGCAACCTATGGACTTCCTTAGTAAATAACACTTTTTTATAACACTTGGCGCTCTCTTTTGTTTGACTGTAACATGTCATTTAGAAATACAGACATAATTTGTGTAGGTTTTGTGAAACAAGAAACACCGAAAAGGGCGTAAAAGTACCACACTGTACCTGAATGTTTTTACTGTTTAAATCGACTCTGTCCCTGGCACCGGAGTGTGTCGCTATGATGTGACGCAATATATAATGACTGGGGGGGGGGTTGACCCGATGGTCACGTTGCATAAACTGAAGACCAAAACAAAACCCTTCCTTATACAGCCCTCTAGATGTAACATAATCTGTCTGTATTTTTCATTAAGGAAAGTCATTTAGACAACGGGGAAAAAAAGTCTATTTATTAGGGGAAAACTGAAGACAGGATTTGAGTAGAACAGAACCAAGTATTATTTGCATAGATGTACACATCCCAACTGCAAAATAATTCCAGAGAAAGAAAAGAGCAGAGTAGAGAAAAAATAACAATATATCAGTTGCTCCTAGCCCATAAACGTTCACAGCTAAAATGTCAGCCTGCCACTACACTGTACAGACAGAGAAAATGTATATTATACAGTATTTCAACACCTGACCACCACCAGATCAGAATACCCCCATAGACGTTCCCATTCTAGAATGTGCTGAAACAAACAACAGAGCTTTATATGGTTTGTATGCAGCAGTTCCCTTAATTTCTATACCATTCGATTTCTATGGTCTAGACTAGACACTGTCATGGTTTCTGATCCTTCATGGTGCTCTCTCTCACTCATATCAGAGATACTAGACTGAAGCAAGAGGGGTCGGTCATCTTTCTAATCGTCCGACTGAAGCATCTTCTCTATCTCTTTATCCCAGTTGTCATCTTTGTTGTCTGCCTCCGTCACCACCTCATACTCCTGTAACTCTGCCTGGAGTTCCTTCTCCCAGTCTGCTGTTTCCTCTGAAAAAAATAATAACAAATAACAGCATTATGAGATCAATGCTACAGACTGAGGAGAAAAGAGCTAAACACGTCATTCACTCCCTCTAATTCAACATCTAGCTCTACCAACTGAGCCATTATATTAAATCCAAGCCCCTTCTAGGTTCCAGTGAAATCAACCAATAGAACTCCGGAGTTCTTGCTAGTTGTTTGTTACACTAAATATGATCTAATAGTTATAGAACTGACCCTCTGGAGTTGCAGCGTCCTCCTTCTTGTCCAGCACCAGCTGTTCCATCTCCTTCCTCAGGTCTTCATGGTCGATGCTACAGGAGTCAAAGGCATCGCTCACAAACTCTGAGACCCCAGGGCTGGTGGAGATCTCATTCTCCTCTTCCTCCTGCTGTTTAACAACAACATGAAATATAATCCAGACCATTTCATACATTTGACTTGATAGTTACACAGTATTTCAGTGGTCTATATACAGACATGCACAGAATTATTAAAAGGAACTCACTTTTCTTCCGAAAAATAAAACATTGACTCACCGCTCCACCCTTGGGAATGTCACTAATGGATACTGGAGGTGTTTTTGGTCTGATGGTATTTTCTGCATGACAACAACATAAAACAGAAGTTCGGCTATAAACTGTTGCTTGAAAGTAGTTCACCAATTGTTCTGCTTTGCACATAACACCAATGCAGTGTTTTTAAAGTCAGGATCACAGAAACTGAATTCCGACCAACCACAGAACAGAATAGAGTACCTGTGAGGCTGACACCTTCCGGGCTGATGGTCTCCTGTTCCTCTCTGTAGTCTGCAGCCTGCTGCTGTGCTGCCAGGGCAGTGAGCTGGGCCGACTGCTTTATTAGGGACACACGGTAGAAGTAGTTCCTCCAGAACACATCCTCCTTCACTCTAAACATACAGAGCATTGAATATGTAATTAACATATACATAACGTAATTTCACTTTCTTCTTCAGGGTTAATCTATAATTTAATATAAATGGAAACACAGATATGTGTACATTTCCTCCAATTTCAATGGCTGGTCAAAGCTTTGTGAACCAGCCTGATTGCGAGATAGCTCAACATTATTTTTCACTTGAACGCAGCAATCTGTCTGGTTCTAAGAGGCTAGGCTGATCAATGGACAGGGCTGGCATCAACCAACATTAGACAACATGACAACTTTATGCCTGCAATCTGTATCTGTAAATAACTCAGGGTTGAATCGAGGCATGTTGGAAGTGTAATAATGCATTCGATTTGTAATGGCTGTCTGCTGACTGTTTGGGAACCAGGTCGAAGCGCATCCTGTTCAGTAGCTCGTCTTCCTGCAGCATCACCATGGCGATAGGATACATCTGCTCAGAGTCGAACTGGAACTGAACTCCAGCTGGTGGGTCTCTCAGAAAGTTCCTCCTGTCCTGGAATAACAGATCAATAAAGATGTGTTGAATTTAATCAAATTGAATTGAAAGGTGCAATCTACACGATACACTCTGATAGGGATAAGATCCAATTCATGAAATCAAATCCCAAACTAAATGCACTACGTGTATAGACAACGTTAGAAATGCTACTAACAGCGGACAACGCCAGGATCTGTTGCTGCATGGTCTCCTCCTCACTGTAGCCGACCCATGGTGGTACAGCTGTGTCTGGAAAGGAGCAAGAAGGAACCATTTTCATTCCACAATGTATGTGTAGATAACTATGAGCATGTTTACCGGTTTCTCATCTCAAGTCTGTTTAGCTAACATTCTACTCAGTGTCATGCATCACCAGTATCCCTGCACATTGATATGATACTGGCCTGTAGAGTACATTCTCCTGTGGGTTTTATTTCTTGTGTTACTTGACCTGAATTAGCATTGGTTCCGTTCTCTTTTTTAAAGAATCTATTCTGGATTTGAAACTTTTTTATTTTTTTTACCTTGATATTGAATACCGCATTGTTGAGGAAGGGCTTGCAAGTAAGCATTTCACTTTGCTGTTTACACCCGTTGTGTCCTGTGCACCAAGGTTATTATAGATAACTAAAACGAATCATGAAAATAACTTTGTAAACTGAAATAAAATAATTACCAAAACCTGTTTGAAAAACTAAAACTACACTGAAACTATTATCTTTGACTCCAAAACGAACTAAACTAAAATTAAACCATCATAAATTATGTTCAGTTTTAGAAATCGAAAGGGGTTTTTCAGCTTTGTTTTTCTAATGGGGTTTTCAAGCTTTTGAATCTGGTGAGTCACACTGAGATTGACTTTATAATTTAAAGGTAGACTCAGCGAGATGACGTTGCCACGAGCAGCGCTGCAGATATTGGCCGTGTCTGAGTGGTAAGGCTATAGCAACTGACTGTAGAGGAACGTCGAGGAGTGAAGTCGGGGGAGGTGCATCTGCGACAGCCGGAAGTCTGACACTAATGTGGTTTTCCAACAGCAAGGCGCAGACCAACATGGCAGTCTTAACATTGTTTATAAAATGTTTTCTTTGTCATGTAGAAATAATATTGTATCTAACCCCCATATCACACTCACAAACTGAAAGCATAATATAATGTGTGTACATTGTACAATCAATTAGTGAGAGAGCCTCAGATATCAAATTTTTTTGTACATATCCACTGTATACATAAATCGCGGCCAATTGGTTCCTGTTTCAGTCATGTCTTTGGTCACGTTTGCGTGGGTCAAACAAAAACAGCCTAATGATTGGTTTACAATAGAGCCTCCCACAATGCAGGCGATGGCTGCAGGATGAAGTTGGTGAAGAGCAGAAACTTGCAGTCAAACCTTCATGACCTTTGATCACATGATTTTTGTCAAGTTCATGCAGTTGGCATGTAGGCGCAAGTCCGATTCCCCCCCCCCCCCCTAGAATGACTTGACAAAAGTGATCCGCTCTAACGCAGCCATTGAAATGAGCACAATGCAAGATTTTGCTCTCACACGGTCACCCAGAGTATCTGCGCATGTGCACGGGTGCGCTTCACGCTGCTACAACATGGTCGCTAAGGGACCAAAACACCAGAGAAGTTTAGCTTCGCGCTTCAACTCTCCTGGTTGTTGCGGAAATTGACCCACTACTACTGTTTACTTTGTGCATCTACGTCAGGGGTGTCAAACTCATTCCATGGAGGGCCTAGTGTCTGCTGGTTTTTGGTTTTTCCTTTCAATTAAGACCTACACAACCAGGTGAGGGGAGCTCCTTACTAATCAGTGACCTTAATTCATCAATCAAGTACAAGGGAGGAGTGAAAACCTGCAGACACTCTGCCCTCCGTGTGATGAGGTTGATACATATCATCTACATCAGTGGTTCCCAAACTTTTTATAGTCCCGTACCCCTTCAAACCCCTCTAGCACCAGGGGCAGCGCATCTCAAATGTTGTTTTATGCCATCATTGTAAGCCTACCACACACACACACTATATGATACATTTATTAAACATAAGAATGAGTGTGAGATTTTGGCTCGTGGGAAGTGACAAAGAGCTATTATAGGACCAGGGCACAAATAATAATAAGCAATAATTTGGCTCTTTATTTAGCCCTCTTACATATAAAACATTATTTGTTCATAAAAAATGGTGAATAACTCACCACAGGTTAATGAGAAGGGTATGCTTGAAAGGATGCACATAACTTTGCAATGTTGGGTTGTATTGGAGAGAGTCTCAGTCTTAAATCATTTTCCACACACGGTCTGTGCCTGTATTTAGTTTTCATGCTAGTGAGGGCCGAGAATCCACTCTCACATAGGTCCGTGGTTGTAAAGGGCATCAGTGTCTTAACAGCGTGATTTGCCAAGGCAGGATACTCTGAGCGCAGCCCTATCCAGAAATCTCTCTTGTTCAGATATTAGTAAGTGGACTGCTGGCAGGGCATGAAAGGGATAACGAATCCAGTTGTTTGTGTCGTCCGTTTCGGGAAAGTACCTGCGTAATTGCGCACCCAGCTCAGTGTACCCAAGTGGCGCCGGGAGCAACCGCTTGCATGCGCGTTACCACTCCACTAAGTCTCCCTGTCATGGCTTTTGCGCCATCAGTACAGATACCAACACAACACATTTTTAAAGTACTGGACAGCTTTGTGACATCAAATGGACAAAAGTCCATTTGATGTCACAAAGCTGTCCAGTACTTTAAAAATATCCCCTCCTGTTGTCCTGGTTTGCAGAAGAGGATGTCTTCCTTAATTGACCCCCCATAAACGTAACGGACATATACCAGGAGCAGTGCCAGGCCCGGCACGTCTGTTCACTCATCCAGCTGTAACGCATAGAATTCACTGGCTTGTATGCGAAGAAGTAATTGTTTCAAAACACCTCCTGCCATGTCACTGATGTGTTGTGAAACAGTGTTGTTTGATGAAGGCATTGTCTGTATAGTTTTTTTGGCCTTTTCCCCCAGCATTGTCCAAGCTATATCCGCGGCAGCAGGATATAGTATGGGGCTTGCCTGTCCTAGCCACTCGGTAGCTCACCATATAAGACGCTTCTAGCCCCTTCTTATTAATGGTATCTGTTGGTTTTATACAGGTCTTACTACTCGAAAGTAGTCTTAATTCTTGCTTTAAAAACTGCTGGATGTGCTCGTGGAAGCAGAACAACTTGTGTCGTCGACAGGTGCAGGTGTACACTACCAGTCAAAAGTTTTAGAACACCTACTCATTCAACGGTTTTTCTTCATTTTACTATTTTCTACGCTGTAGAATAATAGTGAAGACATCAAAACTATGAAATAACACATATGGAATCTTGTAGTAACCAAAAAAAGTGTTAAACAAATCAAAATATATTTTATATTTGAGATTCTTCAAATAGCCACCATTTGCCTTGATGACAGCTTTGCACACTCTTGGCATTCTCTCAACCAGCTTCATGAGGTAGTCACCTGGAATGCATTTCAATGAACAGGTATATCTTCTTAAAAGTTAATTTGTGGAATTTAACTTAATGCGTTTGAGTCAATCAGTTGTGTTGTGACAAGGTAGGGGGGTATACAGAAGATAGCCCTATTTGGTAAAAGACCATGTCCATATTATGGCAAGAACAGCTCAAATAAGCAAAGAGAAACGACAGTTCATCATTACTTTAAGACAGGAAGGTCAGTCAATACGGAACATTTCAAGAACTTTGAAAGTTTCTTAAAGTGCAGTCGCAAAAACCATCAAGCGCTATGATGAAACATGGCTCTCATGAGGACCGCCACAGGAAAGGAAGACCCAGAGTTACCTCTGCTGCAGAGGATAAGTTCATTAGAGTTACCAGCCTCAGAAATTGCAGCCCAAATAAATGTTTCACAGTTCAAGTAACAGATACATCTCAACATCAACTGTTCAGAGGAGACTGTGTGAATCAGGACTTCATGGTCGAATTGCTGCAAAGAATCCACTACTAAAGTACACCAATAAGAAGAAGAGACTTGCTTGGGCCAAGAAACACGAGCAATGGACATTAGACTGGTGGAAATTTGTCCTTTGGTCTGGAGTCCAAATTGGAGATTTGAACGGATTATCTCTGCATGTGTATTTCCCACCGTAAAGCATGGAGGAGGAGGAGTTATGGTGTGGGGGTGCTTTGCTGGTGACACTGTTTGTGATTTATTTAGAATTCAAGGCACACTTAACCAGCATGGCTACCCCAGCATTCTGCAGCAATACGCCATCCCATCTGGTTTGGGCTTAGTGGGACTATCATTTGTTTTTCAACAAGACAATGACCCAACACACCTCCAGGCTGTGTAAGGGTTATTTTATCAAGAAGGAGAGTGATGGAGTGCTGCATCAGATGACCTGGCTTCCACAATCTCCCGACCTCAATCCAATTGAGATGGTTTGGGATGAAGAGTGAAGGAAAAGCAGCCAACAAGTGCTCAGCATATGTGGGAACTCCTTCAAGACTGTTGGAAAAGCATTCCAGGTGAAGCTGGGTGAGAGAATGCCAAGAGTGTGCAAAGCTGTCATCAAGGCAGAGGGTGTCTATTTGAAGAACCTCAAATATAAAATATATTTTGATTTGTTTAACACTTTTTTGGCTACTACATGATTCCATATGTGTTATTCCATAGATTTGATGTCTTCACTATTATTCTACAATGTAGAAAATAGTAAAAAAGAAAGAAAGACCTTGAATGAGTAGGTGTTCTAAAACGTTTGACTGGTAGTGTAGTACTGCTGGTAGTAGTAGTACCAGTAGAGCTGGTATGTGTCTCTATACAGCCTTACTTTATTAACCATTTATCCATATCCGAGCAAACGGAATGAGCAGCAGCTACGTTTGGCTACATACAGACCGTTAGTGCAATTCCCACGAGAGAGTAACGGTTAGTGTGATTGGATGTTAATTATTTGACCTGTATTTTACATTGTGTTATTATTTCGCTGAACACTAAATGGTTTAATTGTATTTTTGCCAGTGAAACGAGGCTACTCAGGCGAGAAAGAAACATCACCCAAATGTTTAGCCCCGTTGGAAAATCTAAATGGACTGTTTGAAAATGTGAATTACATTTTTATTTGGCGTACCCCCGACAGCATTACGCGTACCCCAGTTTTGGGAATAACCGATCTACATCATCTAGCTGAGTCTTCCTTTAAACATATTACTGCCCCCCAGTGGCAGGAAGTGACATCCCCAAAAACACAACAACTATACAATGCATAAAAGTCTCCTAGCTTAGATCGGTTATTCCCAGTTTTGGGAATAACCGATCTACATCATCTAGCTGAGTCTTCCTTTAAACATATTACTGCCCCCCAGTGGCAGGAAGTGACATCCCCAAAAACACAACAACTATACAATGCATAAAAGTCTCCTAGCCTCCCATGCATAGGCTACCGTCTGTCCATAACGCTAAAACTAAATTTAAAATGTCTACGAAATAGCAATATTTTCATAAATCATTAACTCAATATCTTACAACTAATAGAAATACAAACTAATATAAAAACAGGAAACTATAATAACCTTGCTGTGCAGGTGACAAATAAACATTGATTTGATAAACGTTGATTTGAGGACACAGAGTACAAGGAGTGGAACGTATGCTAAACAGACTGGTACCCAGGCTAATCTCAAGGGGGTATGATGTTTCCACACTGACCTGATTTCTTTGCTTTCTTTTCTTGGACAAATTTGTCCTGTTCTTTTTTGAAATCCCCCCAAATAGTCTGGAAAACAGAAACACAGGCATGTGATGCTACAAGACAGAAACCTCAAAGCTTCAGGAATCAGTGGTTTTGAGCTAACACCAGAGAGGGTGTTATATACAGTTGAAGTCGGAAGTTTACATACACTTAGGTTGGAGTCATTAAAACTCGTTTTTCAACCACTCCACACATTTCTTGTTAACAAACTATAGTTTTGGCAAGTCAGTTAGGACATCTACTTTGTGCATGACACAAGTAATTTTTCCAACAATTGTTTACAGACAGATTATTTCATTTATAATTCACTGACTGTATCACAATTCCAGTGGGTCAGAAGTTTACATACACTAAGTTGACTGTGCCTTTAAACAGCTTGGAAAATTCCAGAAAATTATGTCATGGCTTTAGAAGCTTCTGATAGGCTAATTGACATCATTTGAGTCAATTTAAGGTGTACCTGTGGATGTATTTCAAGGCCTACCGTCAAACTCAGTGCCTCTTTGCTTGACATCATGGTACAAAAGTATCTATACCCACAGTAAAACAAGTCCTATATCGACATAACCTGAAAGGCCGCTCAGCAAGGAAGAAGCCACTGATCCAAAACCGTCACAAAAAAGCCAGACTACGGTTTGCAACTGCACATGGGGACAAAGATAGTACTTTTAGGAGAAATGTCCTCTAGTCTGATGAAACAAAATTAGAACTGTTTGGCCATAATTACCAAATCAAATCAAATTGTATTTGTCACATACACGTGTTTAGCAGATGTTATAGCGTGTGTAGCGAAATGCTTGTGCTTCTAGCTCCGACAGTGCAGTAATATCTAACAAGTAATATCTAACAATATAGATACCATCGTTATGTTTGGAGGAAAAAGGTGGTGCTTGCAAGCCGAATAACACCATCCCAACCGTGAAGCACGGGGGTGGCAGCATCATGCTGTGGAGGTGCTTTGCTGCAGGAGGGACTGGTGCACTTCACAAAATAGATGGCATCATGAGGAAGGAAAATTAGGTGGATATATTGAAGCAACATCTCAAGACATCAGTCAGGAAGTTAAAGCTTGGTCGCAAATGGGTCTTCCAAATGGACAATGACCCCAAGCATACTTACATTTACATTTTCGTCATTTAGCAGTGCGACTTACAAATTGGTGCATTCACCTTATGACCTCTTTTTTTTTGGGGGGGGGGGGGGGGGGGGGGGGGGGTAGGGGGAGAGTAGAAGGATTACTTTTATCCTATCCCAGGTATTCCTTAAAGAGGTGGGGTTTCAAGTGTCTCCGGAAGGTGGTGAGTGACTCCGCTGTCCTGGCGTCGTGAGGGAGCTTGTTCCACCATTGGGGTGCCAGAGCAGCGAACAGTTTTGACTGGGCTGAGCGGGAACTGTGCTTCCGCAGAGGTAGGGGGGCCAGCAGACCAGAGGTGGATGAACGCAATGCCCTCATTTGGGTGTAGGGACTGATCAGAGCCTGAAGGTACGGAGGTGCCGTTCCCCTCACAGCTCCATAGGCAAGCACCATGGACTTGTAGCAGATGCGGGCTTCAACTGTTAGCTAGTGGAGCGTGCGGAGGAGCGGGGTGACGTGAGAGAACTTGGGAAGGTTGAACAACAGACGGGCTGCAGCGTTCTGGATGAGTTGTAGGGGTTTAATGGCACAAGCAGGGAGCCCAGCCAACAGCGAGTTGCAGTAATCCAGACGGGAGATGACAAGTGCCTGGATTAGGAAAATGTTATGTCCAATAGAGCAGTGATTATTTTGCAATGATAGATTAGAATCATAGCTATCGATACAGCACTCCTACGTTGTTCTCAGACAAACAATGGCCCTTGTAGACTTCAATAAATGACTGCCGTTTCTTTTTCAATATATTATTGAACATAATATACTCTACGGGCATTTCAAAGTTCCAGACTGGGGCCTCTGCTACTTTTAGCGTAATGATCCAATCTGTAAGCATTACCAACAGAGTGAATGTGGAAAATGGATTCAAAATGTTCGCTCCTGCTGGTGATTTGCAGGATGTGCAATGATAAAAGAAGGGCTGTGATTGACTACATTGCCTACTATGACAATTTCTCTGAATAAAATGGGACATAACATGAAAACTAGCAGAGATCCCACTCTGGAATTTTTATATCCCTGAAGACTAGAGTATATTATGTTCAACAATATATTGAAAAATGTGCCAAATCAAAAATGGTATATTTTCAATATTCAATTTATATTTGTCAATATTCATAAGTTAATGTAAAAAACGTTTTATTGAAATTAAAATACTACTCATATTACAGAGCAAGAGGTAAAGCTTCTTATGACACCAATCTTTGCTTTAGCATCTACAGATGAAACATTATGGAGCCTCAAAAGGAGGCCTAGGTAAGGCCAAAATGTCATACATATGCCAACTTTGATTAATTATTTCTCAATTATACGCCAACAATCCTTCCTCCAAAGGACCATTCCATGGATTACATTTCGCGAAAATCCCCCAAATCATGGTATTTTTTTTGTCTGGGTTCCGTGAGGAATCACTCATTAGTATTACATATCAAACAACTTCAAAGTTGTGGCAAAATGGCTTAAGGACAACAAAGTCAAGGTATTGGAGTGGCCATCACAAAGCCCTGACCTCAATCCTATAGAAAATGTGTGGGCAGAACTGAAAAAGCGTGTGCGAGCAAGGAGGCCTACAAACCTGACTCAGTTACACTAGCTCTGTCAATAGGAATGGGCCAAAATTCACCCAACTTATTATGGGAAGCTTGTGGAAGGCTACCCGATACGTTTGACCCAAGTTAAACAATTTAAAGGCAATGCTACCAAATACGAATTGAGTGTATGTAAACTTCTGACCCACTGCGAATGTGATGAAAGAAATAAAAGCTGAAATAAATCACTCTACTATTATTCTGATATTTCACATTCTTAAAATAAAGTGGTGATCCTAACTGACCTAAGACAGGGACTTTTTACTAGGATTAAATGTCAGGAATTGTGAAAAACTGAGTTTAAATGTATTTGGCTAAGGTGTATGTAAACTTCTGACTTCAACTGTAACAACCTATGCTAACTTTAAACCATTCTCCTTGTAAAACAGGATTCAGCAAAGTGGAGCACGCCATGCACCTTGTCAATAATTCCGTCTATGTTCCCGTCTTCCACACTCTTCTTGATTGTGTGTGCAGTCTCTGCCACAGAGCTGGAGATCTTCTTGGTGGCATTGCTGGCAAAGTTGAATATTAAGCCTGTATAGGGAACAGGGATATAAAACTTGGATCACTTTTTCAGCTTCAGATGGCATTGTCATTCAAGTTGTGGCAGGCAAACAATGTATTGTCTCTTAGGCCTACATAATCATTATTAGTCTGTTAATCACTTTTCACATGAATATAAATTAAAACCATCTATAATCTTCCTTACCACCGAATCCTGTAGCTTGCTGGGAGATGAGTTGGACTGTGTCTCCGTCCTCCTGCTCCAGTTCTTCTGTTGCTGGAGGTTCGTGTTGTTTGTTTACTTCATTTTGGTCTTGCACAATTTTCTCCTCTTGCTCCTCCACAGCAACATCAGCCACTTCGCTATCCTCTGTCTTCGTAGTGTTCTCTATACCCAGCCACGTTCCCCACCCTTTGAACATTTTCGCCGATGTCTTTCGGGCGTAACTATGACAGAAATCGATTGTAAACTAAGTGATTAGAAATGCACCTTCATGGTTCTGTGTTCACGTCACCAGGAAGCAGTTCTATTCTTCTTCTGTGTTTTTTTCTGGGCACAATAAACACAAAACGACCGCATTACTGCCGCCTGCTGATACATCTGGGAAATGGTAGAGATATTATTACAAAACGATGGATGCTATCAGCTCAAATGTGGGATTCGAACAACAGTGTGTTATTTAAGAAAAAAATTGGACCGCTTTGCCAGAGAACTCTCCAAGCTGTTCCACTGTATTTTGGTCCCATTGGTCAATTAATGCGTGAACGTATAACGCCCCACCCAGTTGACCAATCGCGTTCACGTTGTCATGCTACGTCACGCAATTCCTTCTCAAAGTCAGTCGAGAAGCCTGCTTATTTTCCTCGAAACGTCACGATTCAAAAGCTATACAACATTACAGAGAACAAGTTAATTGTCTCACAATAGTTGTGTGTTGTACTTCTTGTTGACGAAATTCATACTAATGTTGGGTTTTTGAGCTAGCGCCCAATTGACTCCCATTCACTTCTTGAAGGAAAGCTCTCCATGTCCCAGAATCACCCAGAATGCACCGCGCAGCCCATTGACGACGCATGGGCAACGTACACACTGGACGTTAATACGATTCCAAAGGAGTTTCCCTTCTCTTCAAAACTATCTCTGCTTGGACGCACTGAAGTCGGAGATTTCCGAGTTCCAAGCAGATCAGTCAAAGATTTTGGTAACTAAACCAAGATAGACCACAGCCTGTCGTTTCAAATGGGAACAAATTACTCATAGTAGGCAGAACAAGTCCCGTGTAGCTCAGTTGGTAGAGCATGGCGCTTGCAACGCCAGGGTTGTCTGTTCGATTCCCATGGGGGACTAGTATGAAAACAATAAAAAAGTATGAAACTGAATGTAAGTCGCTCTGGATAAGAGCGTCTGCTAAATGACGTTAATGTAAACAAGCAAAGAGGTGGGCAGAGCCAAGCACGAGCCAGAGATCCTATTGGCGCGTTCTAGCATATATGTGCATATTTCCATTTGGGAACGCCTAGTCTGTGATGGGAACGTCTGCAATAACTCAATTCGCCTTTGCACTCAAACAACGAATTTTGTAAAACTTTTGCAAAGGGTAAAGTCTACAAAACTTAGTCAACTCTGTTCGTAACAGATTTTAGTTTGGGAACAGAAAACTGTATTGAGATCAAATGTTTCATCGATGAGAAAATGTGCAGAATATCGGCCAAAATCCATCTCGTTCCATCTGCTCCCACGGCCGGCCACTGGGCTTCCTCTCACTACCATATTTGGTAGTGAGTGGAAACGCCAAGCGGATGCTTCACATTTATACATCCGGTGGAATATGCGTCTCATTATTCTATCTGTAGCTCAATGGTTCCCAGTTTACAGTTGTGTCGAACGCGGCATATCTCCAGTGTGTGTTAAAGATCAAACCGACGATGTCACGCATCTGAACTTAAATTTGTGTAAACGGTGTGACAAAAGTGTGGGGTAAGATCCTAAGTGAATACACACATTGATAAATAGATTATTTGACAAGCAGTCTACTGTTTAGAACGCTTTAAAAGGAGCTAGCTACTTGGTGTGTGATAGATGGATGTTTAGCTAGCCAGTTGCTAGCCAGTCAGCAGTCAGTCCAAAGAACACTCTTAGTCATACTGTAGCTAGCTAGATACATACTGTTTGGTCACTAGCCTCTTTCCATTTCTGTTCTGTGTCTGTCTGTCTGTCTGCCCCCTCCCTCTCTCTCCTAGCTCTCTCAATTAAATTATCTCTCTCTCAATTCAATTTAAGGTATTTATTGGCATGGGAAACATATGTTTGCATTGCCAAATCAAGTGAAATAGATAATAAACAAAAGTGAAATAAACAATAAAAAATAAACAGTAAACATTACACTCACAAAAGTTCCAAAATAATAAAGACATTTCAAATGTCATATTATGTCTATATACAGTGTTGTAATGATGTGCAAATAGTTAAAGTACAAAAGGGAAAATAAATAAACATAAATAAAGGTTGTATTTACAATGGTGTTTGTTCTTCACTGGTTGCCCTTTTCTTGTGGCAACAGGTCACAAATCCCCCCCCCCTCTCTCTTTGTGTCTCTGGCTGCCTGTCCATGTCCCTTCTAACAAACCTTTTCTACCACTGTTTTGCAGCAGAGGAGAATCATCATGAAGACTCTGGTGGTGTTTGACTTCGACCACACCTTGGTGGATGACAACAGTGACACCTGGGTCATTAAGTGTATCCCAGACCAATGCCTGCCAGACCTGGTCAAGAACTCCTACCAGAAGGGACACTGGACAGAGTACATGGGCAGAGTCATGTCCTATATAGGAGACCAGGACATCAGCCCTGATACAGTCCGAAGTGTCATGGAGACCATACCGTTTACAGATGGAATGATTGAACTGTTGACGTTCATTGTGAGTAACAAGAACGACATCGACTGCATCATCATCTCAGATTCAAACACAGTGTTCATCAACTGGATACTGCAAGTGGCTGGGGTTCAAGCCGCTGTCAACCAAGTCTTCACCAACCCAGCTACGTTTGACAAGCGTGGATACATGGAGATAGAATGCTACCATTCTCACCAGTGTAGCCAGTGCCCTGTCAATCTTTGTAAGAGGAAAGTGCTGGCTGATTTCCTAGCAGGGCAGTTGAAGGGAGGGGTAGAGTATCAGAGAACTTTCTATGTAGGGGACGGAGGGAACGACCTTTGCCCTTCCAACAGTCTAAGGGAAGGAGATGTGGTGTTCCCTAGAAAGGGTTACACCTTGGAGAGGCTGCTCTCTAGACAGAGTGCACAACAAGGAGAGGGTTCATCGAACCCAAGAGTCGTAGGATGGACAAGCGGAAAAGAGATCCTGATTGAACTGAAAGCATGTGTTCAACCACAGGGATAGGTTACAGTCAGTCACCCTAATAGTGCTCTTTCTCATACTAAAAGAAGTGTACTTGCAACGTTAAAAAGTATACCAAATGCTTGAGAGGGAAGGATTGTGATTGTGTCTTTGTCCTGTTTTGAAAAGTATTTTAAGATCATATATTAAATCTGTGTGACCCTGTGGAACTGTGTATCACGTCACTGTCTCAGGTTCAGATGCAAATGAATGTCAATCTGTGCTTCTTTTTGTATTTAGCTCATGTAGAAAGATACAGAACCCAGTAGACAGAAAATGAAAAAACTAAGCACACCTGTAAACTACATGTTATAACCGTTTATGGTCAAATATATAGGCTAGGATGTACAGTCAATGAAATACACTGGCATCACTTTTTACTAGGGTACTATCTATGTGAAAAATGTATTACCAGTCCAGTGTATTAACAGTCCAGTGTATTAACAGTGCAATTATTTGTTGTCTCTACTAGGCTGTATTGTGAGTGTTATTATATAAATTGATCCTAACGGTTTCTGCTTCAGCAGTGCGGCTTTGTGGACCGTGACCCCATCTCCCTGCCTCCCAACATACCCCTCTGTCTGTCCCTTGTTCATGTCAATACGCTGTCAGTAGGACGGGGCGCGGTGAATGTGATTGGTCGAACCCTGCTATTTGCGGCTGGTAAGATTATCGGAGGCGCTGCTATCTGCGGCGGGGATGCGCTGTCACCTCAGTTGAGCGCCTTCCGCGTCAGCCTCGATAGAGAACGAAACTAAATAGCGGAATTTCAGTTTTTTCTAAAAGGACTGTCCGGCGTTTAACAGGTTGGTTGGTTTCCAAGGGAATTGCGGATAGATAAGGATCTGCACCTGAGGGCGTGTGATGCCTTTTGACCCGCTCCCAACACAGAAAATCCTTTAACAACAGGATAGTAGACCATGTCGACCAGGTCCAGGTATATGTGGGGCTATTGTTCAGTGAGCTATGTTTATGATCTTCACTCAGGACTATTTAGATTTAATAGTATTCTGGCAAGTGTATGTAGGCCTATGTGAATGCAAGGATTAAATTGTGTTTTAAATAGGCCTACTAATAGATTACATAATCAAATACTCTCTGGATCCATTGCAAATCCATGAATGTTTACTATCTGTGCTCAGTAAATCGTTTTTGCAAGGTGTTGCTGCTTACAGTATTGCAAATGGTTCATGATGCAATGTTTTCTGTTTTAGCAATAAACCCAATCTATCAAGCTTCATTCTTTTAAATGTCATGTTGAAACAAATTCCCATTGTGCTTTACATTCTACAGACCATAGCCTGTCTTTTAACATCAGTGTAACCAGATCTGTAAAGGGACAAGGAAGTCCAGCTCCATACGTTCTGTATTACTAATGTATAATGCATGGATGTGTCAAGTCAATGGCATACATTTTTAAAGGGTACATTAAGATATTTAATGTCTCATGTTTCAGGAACACAATGCCATCTAAGGGACAGGAGTCGGCAGAATCCTTCTACACCTATGATTTCTGTGACCTAACCCATCCCATTGAGGTTCTAGAAGCCCTCAGAGAATACTACACAGAAGGCCTGTTCACTGACATAGCTCTGCAGTGCGCTACAGGGCAGGCCTTCCACTGCCATAAAGTGGCTCTATGCTCCCGGAGCTCCTACTTCAGAGCCATGTTCACAGCAGATATGAGAGAGAGGTCCCACAGTGTCATCAGACTACCTGGGGTAGATGTGGAGGTGCTGACGTCTTTGGTGGATTACATTTACACCTCCAAGGTAGGCTACACCTCTGAGTCCATACATGTTTTTTTATGAGTGACTATGTGTCCGTTATATGAATGTAATAGCCTAATATTATACTTGAATCGTCTATGATTGCTTATGGTGTGTCGAAACTCATTGAGTTATCTTCAATGTTGTTTTTACTTTGTAGCATGTTTTGTCAAATGTTTTAATATTGAGATGTTCACATTTCACCTTTTACTGCAGTGGGCTAAATCAGGGTCACAGAGGGATTCTTGGTAGTCTTAAACAAATCTACTTTGAAACAAAAGTATACACCTCACACACATGGTTATGGGCTTAAAAGAAAGAAGACACTTGTACCATGTCAGATATAGAGTTGAAATGTATTCCATTTTGAGTTTGCATCCCAATATTACACTTTATATACACCACAGAATACTGAAATATAACAAAACTGTTTGACATAGAAACACCAGATTTTTGTCTGTTCTTTTTTAGATAATTTTTATTAATTATGAAATAATTAAAAATATTTATAACATACAACCCATGAGGCCAAAGAGGGCGCTGTTGGTCATTGACTGCAGGAAAGCGCTACATAATACCCTACATGACCAAAAGTATGTGGACACCTGCTCGTTGAACAGCTCATTCCAAAATCATGGGCATTAATATGGAGTTGGTCCCCCCTTTGCTGCTATAACAGCCTCCACTCTTCTGGGAAGGCTTTCCACTAGATGTTGGAACATTGCTGCGGGGACTTGCTTCCATTCTGCCACAAGATAATTAGTGAGGTCGGGCACTGATGTTGGGCGATTAGGCCTGGCTCGCAGTAGGCATTCCAATTCATCCCAAAGGTGTTCAATGGGGTTGAGGTCAGGGCTCTGTGCAGGCCAGTCAAGTTTTTCCACACCGATCTCGACAAACCATTTCTGTATGGACCTTGCTTTGAGCACGGGGGCATTGTCATGCTGAAACAGGAAAGGACCTTCCCCAAACTGTTGCCACAAAGTTGGAAGCACAGAATCATCTAGAATGTTATTGTATGCTGTAGCGTTAAGATTTCCCTTCACTGGAACTAATGGGCCTAGCCCAAATCATGAAAAACAGCCCCAGACCATGATTCCTGCTCTACTAAACTTTACAGTTGGCACTGTGCATTGGAGCAGGTAGCGTTCTCTTGGCATCCGCCAAACTCAGATTCGTCCATTGGACTGCCAGATGGTGAAGCGTGATTCATCACTCCAGAGAACGCGTTTCCATTGCTCCAGAGTCCAATGGCGGCGAGCTTTACACCACTCCAGCCGACACTTGCGCATTGGTGGTCTTAGGCTTGTGTGCGGCTGCTCGGCCATGGAAACCCATTTCATGAAGCTCCTGATGAATAGTTCTTGTGCTGAAGTTGCTTCCAGAGGCAATTTGGAACACGGTAGTGAGTGTTGCAACCGAGGACAGACAATTTTTATGAGCTACGCGCTTCAACACTCGCCGGTCCCATTCTGTGAGCTTGTGTGGCCTACCACTTCACGGCTGAGCCGTTGTTGCTCCTAGACGTTTCCACTTCACAATAACAGCACTTACTGTTGACCAGGGCAACTCTAGCAGGGCAGAAATTTGACAAACTGCCTGTTTGGAAAGGTGGCTTCCTATGACGGTGCCACATTGAAAGTTACTGAGCTCTTCAGTAAGGCCATTCTACTGCCAATGTTTGTCTATGGAGATTGCATGGATGTGTGCTCAATTTTGTACACTTGTCAGCAACGGCTGTGGCTGAAATACCCGAATCCACTAATTTCATACTTTTGTATATATAGTGTATGTTATTTCCTGCGTCCCAAATGGCACCCTATTCCCATACAGTGCAATATGGGCCCTATGGGCACTGGTCAAAAGTAGTGCACAATAGGGTGCTATTTGGGACGCAACTCTAAACTCTCCCCCTCCCAGGTCTCCATTACCCAGTGGAATGTGGAGTCTCTGCTGGAGGCTGCAGACTTGCTGCAGTTCGGAGCCGTGAAAACGGCCTGTGAGAACTTCCTGGTTCGTCTCCTCGACGTCGACAACTGTCTGGGCATGCTCAGTTTCGCCCAGCTCCATGTGTGTCTGTCCCTGGAGAAGGAGGCACGCAGGGTGCTGCTCTGCCGCTTCCAGGAGGTAGAGGTTCAGGTTTAGGTTTTGACTTCTTCCTACATCCTGGTACATATTCAGAAACACATCAAATATGATGCCATTTAATATATAAAAAAAACTCAGCAGATAGGCATTCCACTAAATCAATAGATAGGTGTATTAAATGTCTTTAGTGATTTGGTCGTTTTCGTAGGTGGTGAGAGAGGAGGAGTTCCAGGAGATGGGGGTGGAGAAGGTGAAGAGCCTCCTGCAGGAGGAGAACCTGGCCGGGGTGTTGAAAGAGGAGGTGCTGGTGGAGGGGGTGGTGAGGTGGCTGGCCCACGATACTCTTGCCCGCACGGGACACTTCCAGGAGCTTCTTCACGCCGTCCACTTACACCTGAATGAAGAGTACCTCAGGACTGCCTTGGAGCTTCATAAAGAGTGTCTGGAGATGAACACTGAAGACATCCACTCTCTATTTGTTCAAGCTCTGAAGCCTGCTTTTAATATGAATAAAAGCCCTTCGGGACACTGCAGAAGGAGCAGGAGACTGACCTCCAGGATGTTTGTGATAGGAGGGTACTACTGGCACCCTCTGTCTGAGGTCCAGACCTGGGACCCGGTCACGGACCAGTGGCAGCAGGGGGAGGATATGCCAGACCACACCAGGGAGAGCTATGGAGTCACCCTCCTGGGCTCAAACATCTACATTAGCGGCGGCTACAGGACAGACACTACAGAGGCTCTGGATACAGTGTGGGTTTACAGCAGTGATAGTGATACGTGGACACAGGGACAGCCCATGCTGGCATCGAGGTACTACCACTGTTCTGTGGCTCTGCATGGGTGTGTCTACGTCATGGGTGGGTACAGAGGAGGGGCGCCCATGGGGGAAACGGAATTCTATGACCCCCTGAAAAGGAAGTGGATTCCCGTAGCTAATATGGTACAAGGTAGGTTGGCCTGTGAAGGTTTGGAATATGACACAGTTGCGTAACTTGACCAGTTGATCCTTTGTTGTTAGTTTTGTCATACAGTAAATGTTTTTGTTTACTGCTGGAGTTTCATGGTAGTTTTAATGTTGGAAGCCTTTTAGTGACAATTATTTCTTCCTTCCATCCTCCCTTCCTCCTTCCTTCCCTCCTTCCTTCCCTCCTTCCTTCCTTCCCTTGTCACAGGTGTGGGGAACGCTACGGCCTGTGTTCTGAGAGACACCGTATATGTGGCCGGTGGTCACTATGGTTACAAAGGAAGCTGCACCTATGATAAGATTCAGACCTACAGGGCAGACGTCAATGAATGGAGTATAGCAACGACCTGTCCTCATCCAGGTAGTACAACACAACTCTGTTATATCAGCCCTGGCTATATAGAGGTACAGAGACACAACTCTGTTATATCAGCCCTGGCTATATAGAGGTACAGAGACACAACTCTGTTATATCAGCCCTGGCTATATAGAGGTACAGAGACACAACTCTGTTATATCAGCCCTGGCTATATAGAGGTACAGAGACACAACTCTGTTATATCAGCCCTGGCTATATAGAGGTACAGAGACACAACTCTGTTATATCAGCCCTGGCCATATAGAGGTACAGAGACACAACTCTGTTATATCAGCCCTGGCTATATAGAGCTATAGAGACACAACTCTGTTATATCAGCCCTGGCCATATAGAGGTACAGAGACACAACTCTGTTATATCAGCCCTGGCTATATAGAGGTACAGAGACACAACTCTGTTATATCAGCCCTGGCCATATAGAGGTACAGAGACACAACTCTGTTATATCAGCCCTGGCTATATAGAGGTACAGAGACACAACTCTGTTATATCAGCCCTGGCTATATAGAGGTACAGAGACACAACTCTGTTATATCAGCCCTGGCTATATAGAGCTATAGAGACACAACTCTGTTATATCAGCCCTGGCTATATAGAGGTACATAGAGAAAATGGGACAGTGCATTAAAAGCCAGAGGTTCTGGGGCAGCTCACCCACATGAGGAACTCTGATAATAACTCACTTACCCCAGGCTTGAAGGGATTATGAAAAACAATTAGGTATGTTGTAGCGCAGCATTCAGACTTTACAAAAATGTGAATGCAGAGATGTCTACTCTCTTGAAGCAAAAAGTGAAATCATAGGATGCACACACCTTATAAAGTGATGCACATAAGTAGTTGTCGTCCTTCCTGTATTTGAGCAAAGATCATTTATGTGACCTCTGTACATCAGTACTAAATCCATGAGTGAATCTGTCTTCGCCATCCCTTCTATAGAGTACGGCCTGTGCCTGGTGTCAATGCACCACAAGCTGTACCTGGTGGGGGGTCAGACCACCATCACAGACTGTTACGAACCGGACAGAGATAAGTGGAGCCAGCTGGCCAGGACCAAGGAGAGGAGGATGGAGTGTGGCGCCGTGGCCATGAACGGGTCCCTGTACGTCACCGGAGGCTACTCCTACTCCAAGGGCACCTACCTGCAGAGCGTGGAGAGGTACGACCCCAAACAGGACACCTGGGAGATCGTGGGGAATTTACCTGGAGCGGCGCGGTCACATGGATGTGTGTGTGTTTATGGTGTTTAGAGGCAGAGTCTGGCGTCAGTTTCAGGCTGTCTTTATTGCTGTTGTGCTGCACTGCACATCTCAGAAAATCGTTTTCGTATTAATGTCGTTCAACACTTAACTAGGCGTTGTGAGATAGTGTGCCTGCATTTAAGACGACCTGGAACCCTTTGTTACTGCTCCCTTCAGAGTACTTTTACATTTACATTTACATTTGTTTGGTAACAGACAACTGATCGCATTTGATCTACCTCATACTGTTTTCATACTGGAGATACGTGAATATTTATTGTGTCCGATAAAGAGATTTTTGCCAATATGTAAATATAGGTGTGTTTGTTAATTAGATCGGTGGTTCCCAAACTGTGGGGCGCTTTTTTTTTGTAAAAGTAGAATACACAAGGTGCAGTTTCGGAATTGGGTAGTGCATCATCAGTTTTCCTCTTGTCATGCAGACCTTAGAGAGCTATTTATAACTTGTCAGAAATGTCCAGATCAACTAGCCCATGTCAGCTAACGTTTTTAGCTAGGTTTTCTAGCTCATACATTTTTTTAAAAATGTTTCAGTCACTCAAATATCACATCAATACACATTAGACATGGCAAATGTATAGAATTGCAAGAAAATGAGCTTTAAACCTGCAAAAAGTTTCTCTCCGACAACAAGAGGGGTGTGAACAGTATGTGTCATGGCAGCAGCTGACACACATTACAAAGCACCACTAGGAGATTTATACAAATGAATGTACAACTTTGCATAGTTTTCTTCCTTTGAACTACAATTGTAAAAGAATCACCGGCGGTAGCCTTTCCTGCAGTCAAATGACCAGATCGACCTCTAGTGGCCTCATGGGTGGAATGTTCTTAATATTTTTCATAATTTTATAAATAATACACTTTTTTTTAAGATGCAGAAAATCTGTTTTTTCTATGTCAAATGGTTTTGTTATATTTCATGTCACACCCTGGCTATGGGACTCTAGTTGTTGAGCCAGGGTGTGTTTGTTCTATGTGGTGTGTTTCTATGTTGGGGGTTCTGGTTTGTTGTTTTCTATATTTGCCTTAGTGACTCCCAATCAGAGGCAACGAGTGTCAGCTGTTCGTTGGTTGTCTCTGATTGGGAGCCATATTTAAACTGTCTGTTTTTCATTCGGGTTTGTGGGATTTTGTTCCTTTTGGTTTGTGTGTATCGAAGGACTTCACGTTTCGTTCGTTGTTTTGATCGGGTGATCTGTTTAATAAATAATATTGCAAAAAGTCATCAATGTAAGGGAATTTTCTCTTTTGTTCACCCAAGTTTTAACCTAATTTATATCTGATGACAGGGCGACATTTTTTGTTGATTTCACGTTGAATTCACGTTAGTTGACAACTCAACCAAATGTAAATCAAAACAGTTGAACTGACGTCAGTGCCCAGTTGGACATTTGTGGTTCTGGTGAGTTCCCGACAGACAGAGTAGACCATGGCATCCTGACTATACAGGACAAGCAGCACATGTGAAAATACCTCTCATACTCCCAGTGAGCACTCCCAGCTGTTCCCCAGTACCACATGCTGTCTGGCTGCTACTGGGGGTTCAACAATAGCTCAGTCCTACTGCACCAGAGACCACAGCCGAGCAGAGTAGAGCACAGAGAAGCAGATAGAGACGATGTTGGGATAGGATCTACTCTGTTACAAGATTATATTGAGGCCCAGTGTAGAGCAGAGTAGAGTAAAACAGAGTAGAAAAGAGTAGAGTAGAGTAGAGAAGAACAGAGTAGAACAGAGGAGAGAGCAGAGCAGGGAGAGGACTCTGAAAGTTTAGCCAACTGCCGTTTGGTTGACAACACAATCCAGGTTATAAAGATATAAACAGTCATAGAGATTATAAACAATCATATTATTTAAGAGATGATTTATTTGAAGGGACACACTCTTCTTGTTGGGATTCTGGTTGTTTTAACAGGTAAGTAAAAACTTTTTGTCATGCTTTATCTATTCCTTTTGTAATTTCCCAGGTTTGCTGATGTGTGTTACTTGTAATTTTTATTGATCAGAAACACTTTTTAAATGAATCACTTGTTATTCAACCCAAACTGAATAAACATATCAACATTGCAGAGTCAGTTTTGAGTCAGTCTTAAGTTAAACCAGAGAGGGCATGATTGACAGGTGCAAGTGCAGAGTCCCTCCTTCCATCTATAGCTGTGTGTAAATCTGAGCATGTCTGTTTTTTGCAACCAGAATGCAGAGCATGTTTTGAAGTGAGTTACAAAGTCACTTAAATGTATAACACTTTGTAGATATATATGATATGGCATTGATCTCCATACGTAAACTTTCAATGGTAGAAGAGGGTGTAGTCAGTTAGTGGCTGTAACTTCTGTTCGTGTGCTTTTGCAAAACGGAAATGAGATGCCTGCTTCTTGAAGATAGGCCTACTTCCCAGAAATAAAATCTCAAGTGGATACGAGCACTCTTCATTTCCTGAAATCTTCTCCAGTACACACATCTAGAAGTCAGCCAGTAGAAGGTTAAAGGCAGTATGTGTCCCAGTGTCATAGTGTGGGTTTGGTGTTGGACTTATTGAAGAGTTTAACTGTACAAGAGTCTGAATACTATTTTTATGACATAGTTATCGTCAGCATCTATTTTAATGATTCATGAGTTATATAATGTGTGATAATGAGGTATATAATGTGTGATAATGAGGTATATAATGTGTGATAATGAGGTATATAACGTGTGATAATGAGGTATATAATGTGTGATAATGAGGTATATAATGTGTGATAATAAGGTATATAATGTGTGATAATGAGGTATATAATGTGTGATAATGAGGTATATAATGTGTGATAATGAGGTATATAATGTGTGATAATGAGGTATATAATGTGTGATAATAAGGTATATAATGTGTGATAATAAGGTATATAATGTGTGATAATGAGGTATATAATGTGTGATAATGAGGTATATAATGTGTGATAATAAGGTATATAATGTGTGATAATATCAACTTCCTAGTCTATAAACCTTGTGATAATTCAGAACACCTCTTAACTAACAGCATGGTCTCTAAAAATAGGAATGGCCATGGTGGATCATCTTTCCCAGCCTGATAAATGCTTGGTGGATGTGTCATGAATTCCCGCTGGTCCCCTTTGACTCAGCTGCTGTTTGCATAGTTGCTTTAGCCCCATCAGCGCTAAGCCGACACTACAACAAGTAGGCTTAAAGTATGCCTACTTACTTTAGAGAACTTATAAAGTATGGTCATTCACTTAAGATAATGAAGTTATATTTAGAGATAATGAATGTACATGTGTTTATACATGGTTGGATACAACATGGTTGAAACTGTAGTATAGTGGACTCTCATGAGTTCCCCATGTGCTTTTCTCAGATAGCAAATATATATTTGAGTGTGTGCGTGTGGTGTGTGTGTGTGTGTGTGTGTGTGTGTGTGTGTGTGTGTGTGTGTGTGTGTGTGTGTGTGTGTGTGTGTGTGTGTGTGTGTGTGTGTGTGTGTGTGTACACATTAGATACAGCCTTGACTATTCATCTTTGGTGTGTGTGTGTTCCATGCAGGTTCAGCCAGGTGTTCAGAAGATGAGACTCGTCTGGTTAAAACCCTGTTCACCGGCTATAACAAGGTGGTCCGCCCTGTCAATCACTTCAAAGATCCAGTGGTGGTGACTGTAGGCTTGCAGCTCATCCAGCTCATTAGTGTGGTGAGGAATACATGACTAGTTAGGACTGGATCTTCTTCTTCTTCTTCTTCTTCTTCTTATGCAATGTCTCTTCCCTTGTCTTTGCCAGGATGAAGTCAATCAAATTGTGACCAGCAATGTGCGGCTGAAACAGGTATGGTTTCTTACTGACCTACATGTGTTGTTCTTCTCAATGTAGTTGAGTTTTTGTTCTTCAATTTAAACCACACTTTTTTTGTGGTTCTGTTGTATTCAGATATGGGAGGTTCTGTTGTATTCAGATATGTGAGGACGTGAATCTGAAGGTTCTGTTGTATTTAGATATGGGAGGTTCTGTTGTATTCAGATATGTGAGGACGTGAATCTGAAGGTTCTGTTGTATTTAGATATGGGAGGTTCTGTTGTATTCAGATATGGGAGGTTCTGTTGTATTCAGATATGGGAGGTTCTGTTGTATTTAGATATGGGAGGTTCTGTTGTATTCAGATATGGGAGGTTCTGTTGTATTCAGATATGGGAGGACGTGAATCTGAAGTGGAACCCTGATGATTATAATGGAATTAAGAAGATCAGAATCCCTTCCACAGACATCTGGCGTCCTGACCTCGTGCTCTATAACAAGTAAGGACAAGTCCATGCTTTTACCTTGACCAATATACAGTATTCATTGACTTGATAAGGCCTATTAGATATGACCTTTTCAGAAGTTAGTCTATTCCTGAAGTGCAGACAGTGATAGAGATCATAGGGGATTACATTTAAAGGCCCAGTGCAGTCAAAACATGATTTTTCTTTTATATATATGGAAAATCATGTTTTGACTGCAATGGGCCTACAAGCAGAAATTTCAGGCGGTCTTTTCAAACAACTCTTACACTAAAAGTGCATTATCATAATGTTCACAATTTCACAGTATAATTGCAATCTCATAGTGTGAAATTGTGAACATTATTATAATGCACATTTAGTGTAAAAGTTATTTGAAAAGACCACCTGAAATTTCTGCTTGTTCTGGTGGGGTGGAGTTTTGGCCTGCCTGTTGACATCACATCTCTGCCAATAACAGCTAGTTCAATATCCCCCTCCCATTCAGAACACTCTCAAACAGTCCAAGCTAAACTGTTGCTTGAGAAATTGCTCTTGCTAAGAAGCTATTTTTGTTTCTTTTTGACCATTTTAATTGAAAACAATCACAATAATGTACTTAATTGATACCAATGAATTATTTGATATTGAGATAAAAACGGCTGTATTTGGCCTTTAATATCCTAAAAAGGGGACCTGCGTGGTTCAGGTACCGGTTTCCCGACCGACATTTCCGCTTATAAATCTATCTGTGGATACCGTAGATCGAAGTGGCTCGCATTGAGTGATAGCCCTGGTTGCCACGGACACAGTAGTATTAAAAAAAAAAAATCCTGTATGATGTAGGACGTGAAATCTGAAACCACCTGAAGCTGGAATTTCCCTTTTACCATTTCATTCATTTTTCCGACTGTCCATCAACTCCCGGCTGAACCCTACATCACAGCCAAGGTCAAAGCACATGCCTGCAATCTTTACATCGTAGCGCAAAAGAGGGTGGTTTCATCATGGTAGCACATTCAGAGATCGATTTATAGCCATTAATCTAAAATAATTCATAGATTTTAAACAAAAAACACTTTCTGTTTGTCATAGATGGACAATATTAACATGAGATAAAAGGCGAGTTCCTAACGAGTTCAGTAAGCTAAACTAGAGCTCTGTGAGAAGTTCACAGCGATGGGGGCAGACGTTTTGACCAAGAAAATAGGCACATTTTCTCTAACACTAAACAAACAAATATGTATTTTACAGTTATAAGGAAGGTGAAATATTATAATTAGTCATTTTGTAATTTGATTATGCTATATTTAGAAAGCATATAAGTCATTTCAAGCCTTATTCATACAGTTTTGTTGAATAGGAAATACATCATATAAAATGTTTTATATTTTTATCATATTTGTACTGTGTACTGGAGCTTGTGTCCTCAAAAGTGACTACACCTCAGCAATTTATAACTATTTTTACCAGAAGGGTGAGATTTGAGCCTTTCTTTGAATATGCAGCATTAATACTTATTGTTTCTGGCCCTCTCATGAAATAATTACTTTTGGGGATTACCTAGATTACATTTTTTGATTACAATTAGTTACATTTAACTGGTTGCCTTTAAACTACCTCAGCTATTGTTTATCACCCCTGGAATAGCATTTTTGGCATTCTCACCCCTGGTTATCTAATCAGGCTAATACAATTCCCCATAGGAATCTATTGATTCTGATGCTAACGTGTCAATTTATCCCTGCAGTGCAGATGGAGACTTTGGTTAGCTTAGCAGGCTAACGCAAGACCCCATAGGAATCCATTGACTCCGATGCTAACGTGTCAATCCTCTCCACTTCCTGCAGTGCAGATGGAGACTTTGCCATCGTCCATGAGACCAAGGTGCTGCTGGAGCACACAGGTATGATCACCTGGACCCCTCCGGCCATCTTTAAGAGCTACTGTGAGATCATCGTGCTTCACTTCCCCTTCGACCTGCAGAACTGCAGTATGAAGTTGGGGACATGGACCTACGACGGCAACCTGGTAGTGGTCAACCCGGTAAGAAGTTTGAAAAGCAGTATATGCACATCCAAAAAGCACATCTGAAAATGTTCCAGGTCCGGGGTGCAAAACAATCCCATGAAAAGGAGTTGAAATAGAAACAATCCCATAAAAGGAGTTGAAATAGAAACAATCCCATGAAAAGGAGTCAAAATAGAAACAATCCCATGAAAATGAGTTGAAATAGAAACAATCCCATGAAAAGGAGCTGAAATAGAAACAATCCCATGAAAAGGAGCTGAAATAGAAACAATCCCATGAAAAGGAGCTGAAATAGAAACAATCCCATGAAAAGGAGCTGAAATAGAAACAATCCCATGAAAAGGAGCTGAAATAGAAACAATCCCATGAAAAGGAGTCAAAATAGAAACAATCCCATTAAAAGGAGTTGAAATAGAAACAATCCCATGAAAAGGAGTCAAAATAGAAACAATCCCATGACAGGGAGTCGAAATAATAATAATAATAATATGCCATTTAGCAGACGCTTTCATCCAAAGTGACTTACAGTCATGTGTGCATACATTTTTACGTATGGGTGGTCCCGGGGATCGAACCCATTACCCTGGCGTTACAAGCGCCATGCTCTACCAATTGAGCTACAGAGGACCACAGTTGAAATAGAAACAATCCCATGAAAAGGAATAGAAATAGCCGCACCCTTTTAACCAGCCTCTCCAACATAACGTGTGTTTGTGTATATGAGTGTGTGTATGTCGGAGGGGTTGGGGAAAAAATAACTGTCATCCCATATGGACTAATACAGTTTATCTTAATTGAACCAGTAAAGTAGTGACCCTAGCCCTGTACCCGTCCCCTGTCCCCCTTCTAGGACAACGACCGGCCTGACCTGAGTAACTTCATGGAGAGTGGTGAGTGGGTCATGAAGGACTATAGGAGCTGGAAACACTGGGTGTACTACGCCTGCTGCCCTGACACGCCCTACCTGGATATCACCTACCACTTCCTGATGCTGAGGCTGCCTCTCTACTTCATCGTCAACGTCATCATCCCCTGCATGCTGTTCTCCTTCCTGACTGGACTGGTCTTCTACCTCCCCACTGACTCCGGTAGGTATGCTGTTCTCCTTCCTGACTGGACTGGTCTTCTACCTCCTGACTGACTCTGGTAGAGATTCTGTTCTCCTTCCTGACTGGACTGGTCTTCTACCTCCTGACTGACTCTGGTAGGCCCGCTGTTTTCCTTCCTGACTGGACTGGTCTTCTACCTACTGACTGGTAGGCATGATATTTTCCTTCCTGACTGGACTGGTCTTCTACCTACTGACTAACTCTGGTAGGCATGATGTTCCCCTTCCTGACTGGACTGTCTTCTACCTCCTGACTGACTGGTAGAGATTATGTTCTCCTTCCTGACTGGACTGGTCTTCTACCTCCCCACTGACTCTGGTAGGGATGCTGTTCTCCTTCCTGACTGGACTGGTCTTCTACCTACTGACTGGTAGGCATGATATTCTCCTTCCTGACTGGACTGGTCTTCTACCTCCTGACTGACTCTGGTAGGGATGCTGTTCTCCTTCCTGACTAGACTGGTCTTCTACCTCCTGACTGGTAGGGATGCTGTTCTCCTTCCTGACTGGACTGGTCTTCTACCATGATCTCGCTATCATGGTTGACAACTCCGTTGTGTCCTCCTCCCAGAGTGCAAAGAGCCTTGGCGTGACCCTGGACAACACCCTGTCGTTCTCCGTTAAGATCAAGGCGGTGACCCGATCCTGTAGGTTCATGCTCTACAACATTCGCAGAGTACGACCCTGCCTTACACAGGAAGCGGCACAGGTCCTAATCCAGGCACTTGTCATCTCCCGTCTGGATTACTGCAACTTGCTTATGGCTTGGCTCCTTGCCTGTGCCATTAAACCCCTACAACTCATCCAGAACGCCGCAGCCCGTCTGGTGTTCAACCTTCCCAAGTTCTCTCACGTCACCCCGCTCCTCCGCACACTCCACTGGCTTCCAGTTGAAGCTCGCATCTGCTATAAGACCATGGTGCTTGCCTACGGAGCTGTGAGGGGAACGGCACCTCCGTACCTTCAGGCTCTGATCAGTCCCTACACCCAAACGAGGGCATTGCGAGGCATTCTGTTCTCCTTCCTGACTGGACTGGTCTTCTACCTCCTGACTGGTAGGCATGCTGTTCTCCTTCCTGACTGGACTGGTCTTCTACCTCTTGACTCTGGTAGGCCTGCTGAAAATTCAAATTCACATAGAATAAAAAAAATCCCAACATTTACATATAACAACTATCCCTACAAGCCGTGAACCAACTCTCCTTGGGTCTGTTGAACGTTTACACAAAGGCAGTAATAGTTTTTCAATAGATAGTCCTCGAGTGTTACCAGCTGTTTGAATTGATCAAATGTGTAAATGGTTTTAGAGTAGTTATGCTGCATTATACATCGTGTGGGTCTAATCCTGAATGCTGATTGGTTAAAACCGCATTCCAGCCGATGTCTATTCCACAAATTGCCACCTGCTAAATCTATTACATTAAAATGCCTATTTACTCTGTTCCATCTGACTTTCCAATCCACTCTCTCATCAGCCCAGCCAGGCAATTTATACACGTGATATCCACTATAAAAAGCATCTAGACATTATCTCACATTTCTTTTAGACTAACATTTCGTTTTCAACAGCGGAGATATATATAAACCTTGCTGTCTGTCTCTCCAAAATTTGCAACATTGTTTCAACATTCAAATTCGATCTCCTGCTGTCTCATAGTTATGAACAACAGTGTCCTGACGAGTGAGCACATTTTCTATGCCAGGAGAAATCGCGCCTCATTGGCTAATTGTTATAGATGTATCCAAATAAATGTCAACAGCTTAAGCAAATGCAAATGCAGCTACTTTGCTGTTATTCTGGCTGCACTTTTTTAACGTGACTCTAAGTGAGCGGTAGTTGCCTGGCTGGCAAGCAAGGGATAACAACATTGCCAGCCAGTATGGCAATGGAACATTTAGAACGAACGACTGGGTCCATAGATATAGAACAAAAAGACTGAAGAATGGGTCACGTCCATAGATACAGAACAAAAAGACTGAACGACTGGGTCACGTCCATAGATATAGAACATAAAGACTGAACGACTGGGTCACGTCCATAGATATAGCACAAAAAGACTGAAGACTGGGTCCATAGATATAGAACATAAAGACTGAAGACAGGGTCCATAGATATAGAACATAAAGACTGAAGACTGGGTCACGTCCATAGATATAGAACATAAAGACTGAACGACTGGGTCACGTCCATAGATACAGAACAAAAAGGCTGAACGACTGGGTCGTGTCCATAGATACAGAACAAAAAGACTGAAGACTGGGTCACGTCCATAGATATAGAACATAAAGACTGAACGACTGGGTCGCGTCCATAGATACAGAACATAAAGACTGAACGACTGGGTCACGTCCATAGATATAGAACATAAAGACTGAACGACTGGGTCGCGTCCATAGATATAGAACATAAAGACTGAAGACTGGGTCACGTCCATAGATATAGAACATAAAGACTGAAGACTGGGTCACGTCCATAGATATAGAACATAAAGACTGAACGACTGGGTCGCGTCCATAGATATAGAACATAAAGACTGAAGACTGGGTCACGTCCATAGATATAGAACATAAAGACTGAACGACTGGGTCACGTCCATAGATATAGAACATAAAGACTGAACGACTGGGTCACGTCCATAGATATAGCACAAAAAGACTGAAGACTGGGTCCATAGATATAGAACATAAAGACTGAAGACTGGGTCCATAGATATAGAACATAAAGACTGAACGACTGGGTCACGTCCATAGATACAGAACATAAAGACTGAACGACTGGGTCACGTCCATAGATATAGAACATAAAGACTGAACGACTGGGTCGCGTCCATAGATATAGAACATAAAGACTGAACGACTGGGTCGGACTCGCGTCTCTAGTAACCCTAGGTGTGTGTCGGGACTATATATTGTGGAAGAATGAAATAGTATGAATAAATTAATCAAAATAACGTTTTAAATGAAAATATGTCAATCATTATTGGAATATGTTGGTAACCCGTTGTATAAAAGTGATAATGCCCTCGAAGCCGGTGTTTGGAGGATATATTGGCACGGGTGTTGTTAGGCCCGAGACGCATTATCACTTAAGTGTATTGTTGTGTTTGACTTCTCTAACCATGTCTCTGTAGGTAAGAAGATGATCCTGTCTATCTGTCCTGCTGTCTCCGACTGTGGTCTTGTTATTGTTGTTGTTGACTCCAGTGTCTCTGTTCCATACAGGTGAGAAGATGACCCTGTCTATCTCCGTCCTGCTGTCCCTCACTGTGTTTCTGCTGGTCATTGTGGAGCTCATCCCCTCCACCTCCAGTGCAGTGCCTCTCATTGGGAAGTACATGCTCTTCACCATGGTCTTCGTCATAGCCTCCATCGTCATCACCGTCATCGTCATCAACACACACCACCGCTCTCCCAGTACACACACCATGCCCCAGTGGGTCCGCAAGGTAGGTCAACCGACCGATCGATCAATAAATCAATCAGTCAGTCAATCAATCAATCAATCAATCAATCAATCAATCAATCAATCAAGTAGGTAGACTAGGTACAATGGACAAAATGAATGTCAGCACATCTCATTTATAATTTAGCGATGTCAGTACAACATCTAGTGGTGTCCTAGGTTTCAGACCCCTTAGTGTAATGGCTGTGACGTTGGACTGTCAGTTGAAGGGAAACAGGTCTGAGTCCTGGTCAGGCTCCCCCCAAATTCCCTGTGTATTCCTTTGGGCTTTGGGCTTTGGGCTTTGGGCTTTGGGGGTTTTCTCTTGCCTGCACTGCCACCTGGTGGTACTAATTCAGTATGTCATGTATTTTGTCAGGCGTTTGTGACATTCTGCTTTAGGCCATTTAGAGCAGTGGTTCCTAACCTTTTTCGGTTACTGTACCACCAACTGAATTCTGCTCTGCCCGAAGTACTCCTAAAGTACCCCCTCATGTACATTTGACCAGTAAGCCTATGGTCTCATGAATCTTCTCAGGTACCCCATGTGGAAAGGCCAAGTGCCCCCACGGGTCCTAGTACCCCTGGTTGGGAACCACTGATTTAGAACCCCTCAGCTCTCAGCAGCCTCTCTAGTGTGGTTCTGCTTTGAGAGACAGGAAGTAGTTAAGAGCAATCTGTCTGTCCTATTACTGACTTTAGCTGAATCATTTCAGTAATGCCATCCATGTCAGGTTTGTCAGTTTATCCATTGAGTACTCATGTTTTTATGGTTGATGTCGGTGATCTTGATTATCATGCAAAATATGTTAGTCCCTCAACACAATATTATGTGCTTTACAGTACTTTGTGTTACTCATGACAATGTATTTACAGTAATTGATGTACTGTACAGTACTTTTTGTTACTCTTTACAATGTATTTACAGTAATTGATGTACAGTACTTTGTGTTACACATGACATTTACATCATTTAGCAGACGCTCTTATCCAGAGTGACTTACAGTTAGTGAGTGCATAAATTTTTTTTCATACTGGTCCCCCGTGGGAAACGAACCCACAACCCTGGTGTTGCAAACGCCATGCTCTACCAATTGAGCTACAAGGGACTACACGGGACATGACAATATATTTACATTAATTGATGTACTCTACATGACATTGTGTTACTCATTACAATGTATTTTCCTAAATTCCAGATTTTCATCGACACCATCCCCAATTTCATGTTCTTCTCGACTATGAACCGTCCGTCCAGGGACAGGCAGGAGAAGAGGATCCTCCTGGCAGACTTTGACATTTCCGACATTTCGGGCAAGCCTGCCCCTGCCTCGGTCACCTTCCAGTCCCCCATCACCAAGAACTCGGACGTCCGCAGCGCCATTGAGGGGGTCAAGTACATCGCAGAGACCATGAAGTCTGATGAAGAGTCCAACAATGTAAGAATAAGAGCTCAGGAAGCATTTATAGAACTCATGTCTGAGTCTGTCTGTCTTTGTGCTGAGTCTGTCTGTCTTTGTGCTGAGTCTGTCTGTCTTTGTGCTGAGTCTGTCTGTCTTTGTGCTGAGTCTGTCTGTCTTTGAGCTGAGTCTGTCTGTCTTTGAGCTGAGTCTGTCTGTCTTTGTGCTGAGTCTGTCTGTCTTTTTTCTGAGTCTGTCTGTCTTTGAGCTGAGTCTGTCTGTCTTTGTGCTGAGTCTGTCTGTCTTTGTGCTGAGTCTGTCTGTCTTTTTTCTGAGTCTGTCTGTCTTTGTGCTGAGTCTGTCTGTCTTTGTGCTGAGTCTGTCTTTGTGCTGAGTCTGTCTGTCTTTGTGTCTGTCTTTCGAGCTCTTCATGTTTTAATGTTGTGGAGGTAATACAAAAACAAATTCTCTTGAAAATGTTAAGGACTCAATTTTGACTCAACTCTCTCTCTACTCTCTCCTCACCTCACCTCTCTCTCTCTCTCTCTCTCTCTCTCTCTCTCTCTCTCTCTCTCTCTCTCTCTCTCTCTCTCTCTCTCTCTCTCTCTCTCTCCCCTCCTCTCTCTCTCCCCTCCTCTCTCTTCCCTCCTTTCTCTCTCCCGTACTCTCTCAGGCTGCTGAGGAGTGGAAGTTTGTAGCCATGGTCCTGGATCACATCTTGCTGTGTGTGTTCATGGCTGTGTGTATCATCGGCACCATGGGAGTGTTCGCTGGACGTCTCATCGAGCTGAGCATGCAGGGCTAAAGGAGAGGCCTACCTGGAGTCATCCTGGTTCTCCTGCTCGCTCTGACACCTGTCTGCTGTGCCTCTACTCCAAGTCATCTGGAAATTACAATCAATTGATTGACTGATTGGTTGGTTGGATTGTTGATTGAATGTAATTGGCCCTGTGAGGTGTTGTTATTGTCAGTCAGACTATTAAGCTTCTTTTCTGCATGGAGTTTACAGTTGGAAATTGACGTTAAAGGCTGTCAGCTGTCTGTGACTTGATGGATTCTGTTTAAGGAACGATGGTTAACCTACCTAACGAGGTGATTTCTTTATTTCTAACCATCGTTCCTCATGTGGAAGAAAGGATGCAGAGTATATTGTGGTTTAACAAACTCTGCATAACGGCTCTGATTGCGAGCCCTCTGGCACTCTTATGGCACTCTGCACTCTTATGGCAGTCTGGATGAGGGAGGTCACATTATGGAACTCTGGATGAGGGAGGTCACATTATGGAACTCTGGATGAGGGAGGTCACATTATGGAACTCTGGATGAGGGAGGTCACATTATGGAACTCTGGATGAGGGAGGGCACATTATGGAACTCTGGATGAGGGAGGTCATATTATGGAACTCTGGATGAGGGAGGTCACATTATGGCACTGTGGATGAGGGAGGTCACATTATGGCACTGTGGATGAGGGAGGGCACATTATGGGACTCTGGATGAGGGAGGTCACATTATGGAACTCTGGATGAGGGAGGTCACATTATGGCACTGTGGATGAGGGAGGTCACATTATGGGACTCTGGATGAGGGAGGTCACATTATGGCACTGTGGATGAGGGAGGGCACATTATGGGACTCTGGATGAGGGAGGTCATATTATGGGACTCTGGATGAGGGAGGTCACATTATGGCACTGTGGATGAGGGAGGTCACATTATGGAACTGTGGATGAGGGAGGTCACATTATGGAACTCTGGATGAGGGAGGTCACATTATGGCACTGTGGATGAGGGAGGTCACATTATGGGACTCTGGATGAGGGAGGTCACATTATGGAACTCTGAATGAGGGAGGTCATAAGGGACTGGTAATGCATCTCACCGTTGTTGCATAATCATTATTGACTATCAGAAGATCAGTTTGAATTAGTTTCTCAATGTTGATTTAGAAGTGGTCCAGTCTTGTGTATGGGCTGTGGCTTATTCAATAAAGATCACAGCGCTGAGAAACGACATGATGTTTTATCCTGTCCGATCTCAGTGATTTTTCTCCTCCTTCTGCCAAATGTCATCTTGGTTGTATTTTTAGATTTGGTTAGATGTGGAAAATATATAGTGAATAAAAATAAAATCTACTTCCAGATATGCTTGTCTTTTTGTATTTTTTCTACATTGACAGGGACTGCATACACTTTGGTTAGTAAAATAATTGTTCATGTCATCTTCTCCATTAAAAAGATAAACTATGTGCTAGGTCCTCTTTCTGTTGAATAAATGATTCAATTACCTTATTATTTTAGATTTTCCAATAGTCAACACGTTTCTGTTCTGTTTTATTCTCATCAGTAAACTTCTTTATACACAGCACCAGCTGTCCATAAACTTGGACAAGTTGAACATCTGGAAATATTGCATCACTGCAAAGGCCCCGGATTGGAGAGAGAGAAGCATAAAATTCTCCCGGTTGGTTTTACGAAAACAATCTCTCGAGCGACATGACAAATACAACGCTCGAAGATTTGGACAGAAACATAAGTTATTGTTGAATGGCAGATTGATAAAACATGAAATTACATTCTTGATTGTATGCAAATAATTTAAAAGTTCCGGGTACAATGTGGAAATCCCGATGAAGCGGAAATCCTGAGCTAAAGTTGTGTTTACGGCGAAGGAGTGGCTCATACCGTCTCCAGAAGTAAGTCGATATTTATGTTATGTTGAATTTCAGTACTAGATAGATTTTTTAAAGTTTTAGGCATTAAAATATAATTACGCAAATAACTGCATTTCAAAACATGTTTGCAATGGATGGGATGGCAGCAGCAACACCTTGAGTGTTCACATCTGTTGCGACACCCTTGCTCATATATATATTTTTTGAGGTCAAATGGCAACATGATAGCGTTATGTTATGATATCTCTCTTTTTATGTATTATTTCCATTTGTTTTGAGTTGTTTCAGATGACATCATGCATTATTCTCCGGTTGGTGGTTATGTAGTCTGCATTGCATGGATGCATGATGAAAAAAAGCCTCAATTGAGTTAAAAAATAATTGAGTTATTGCTATACAGTAGCGTTCATTATGTAGCCTGTGGTCATGGATTTTGGGCAGCTCACACAGTCAGTCAGGATAGCTCATGTACACACACACACTCACACACATACACATACACACACTCTACCGTAGAGTGCAGTAAACCAATATCTGTTTATTCCGTACCAAACATACACTGCAGTGTTTGGTCCTGCATGGTTTAGTGCTTTACGATTCACATCGCAGACAGCTTTTGGACTTTTGTGGAGTCACTCATCACTGTAGCCAAGGAATGTAGACTTTCCCACAGCTCTGAAATGTCATCTGAGGCATTAATTCAATGACATAGTACGTCCCAAATGGCACACTATTCCCTATATAGTGCACTATGTTTGACCAGGGTCCATATGGTCTGGTCAAAAGTAGTGCGCTATGTAGGGAATAGGGTGCTGTTTGGGACTCAGCCCATACTCCACATTCTCCTGTCTACTGTAGTTATGGTGTTTAATAGAAGGGAACTAGCAAAGGTACATCTGTCAATGATAATGCACGTACAGTAAACACACACACACACTCATTCAAACCTGGAATCCTAAACAAAACTTTGTTGAACTGTGTTTTTAGTATTAACATTCCACAGTGGTAAACTGGCAAACATTGACCAGACCTTGTGTTCTCTCGTTGCCTGAGGAACCTTGTTTAGAGTTATGTGTTCTCTAGAGGCTGTCCCTGGTCTGTTACAGTACTGAACCTTGTTTAGAGTTTAGTCTTCCCTGTTCTGTTACAGTACTGAACCTTGTTTAGAGTTTAGTCTTCCCTGTTCTGTTACAGTACTGAACCTTGTTTAGAGTTTAGTCTTCCCTGGTCTGTTACAGTACTGAACCTTGTTTAGAGTTTAGTCTTCCCTGTTCTGTTACAGTACTGAACCTTGTTTAGAGTTTAGTCTTCCCTGGTCTGTTACAGTACTGAACCTTGTTTAGAGTTTAGTCTTCCCTGTTCTGTTACAGTACTGAACCTTGTTTAGAGTTTAGTCTTCCCTGGTCTGTTACAGTACTGAACCTTGTTTAGAGTTTAGTCTTCCATGGTCTGTTACAGTACTGAACCTTGTTTAGAGTTTAGTCTTCCCTGTCTGTTACAGTACTGAACCTTGTTAGAGTTTAGTCTTCCCTGTTCTGTTACAGTACTGAACCTTGTTTAGAGTTTAGTCTTCCATGGTCTGTACAGTACTGAACCTGTTTAGAGTTTAGTCTTCCCTGTCTGTTACAGTACTGAACCTTGTTTAGAGTTTAGTCTTCCCTGTTCTGTTACAGTACTGAACCTTGTTTAGAGTTTAGTCTTCCCTGGTCTGTTACAGTACTGAACCTTGTTTAGAGTTTAGTCTTCCCTGGTCTGTTACAGTACTCTCATTCCTCACACCAGGAGGTAAGCAGCCAAACTGGGATGAACATTGTGGATGGAAAGCTGGAGGGTGACTGCATGTTTCAGAGATCTACTGTAAATGGCAAGATCTTTGTCTCCAGAGCTATAACACAGAGTTTTAAAATGGCTTCATGTAATCTCTGGCTATGAGAGTGAGCCTCTCGTCCTGCAGTAGACAGGTCTGCAGAGAAGAGAGGCAGCTTCCTTCACTTCCTGTGTAATCAACCCATGTGACCAACTTAGCTCAAGCACATGGCGGTAAGGGTGTTTGTGGGCAATATTCATATTCACTTCAGCTTCCTCATAGTCTGAACAAGGAGGCAGTGACATTCATACTCACAAGGCATACTGAGTATAGAAAACATTAACAACATGACAGATTGACCAAGTGAATCCAGCTGAAAGCTATGATCCCTTATTGATGTCACTTGTTAAATCCACTTCAATCAGTGTAGATGAAGGGGAGGAGACCGGTTAAACAAGGATTTTTAAGCCTTGAGACAATAGAGACATGGATTGTGTATGTGTGCCATTCAGAGGTTGAATGGCCAAGACAAAATATGTAAGTGTCTTTGAACAGGGTATGGTAGTATGTGCCAGGCGCACCGGTTTGGGTCAAGAACTGCAACGCTGCTGGGTTTTTCCACGCACAGTTTCTCGTGTGTATCAAGAATGGTCCACCAACCAAAGGACATCCAGCCAACTTGACACAACTGTGGGAAGCATTGGAGTCAACATGGGCCAGCATCCCCGTGGAACGCTTTCGACACCTTGTAGTCCATGCCCTGATGAATTGAGGCTGTTCTGAGGGCAAAGGTGGGGTGCAGTATTAGGAAGATGTTCCTAATGGTTGGTATACTCAGTGTAGAATACTGGTATAGGACACAATGCTGCTCATTGCTGGATGGAGAGGTAGCTGAATAGAATACAGTATCTGGAGCTGAATAGAGTACGGTATCTGGAGCTGAATAGAGTACGGTATCTGGAGCTGAGTAGAGTACGGTATCTGGAGCTGAATAGAGTACAGTATCTGGAGCTGAATAGAGTACAGTATCTGGAGCTGAATGGAGTACGGTATCTGGAGCTGAATAGAGTACGGTATCTGGAGCTGAATAGAGGACGGTATCTGGAGCTGAATAGAGTACAGTATCTGGAGCTGAATAGAGTACAGTATCTGGAGCTGAATGGAGTACGGTATCTGGAGCTGAATAGAATACAGTATCTGGAGCTGAATAGAGTACGGTATCTGGAGCTGAATAGAGTACAGTATCTGGAGCTGAATAGAATACAGTATCTGGAGCTGAATAGAGTACGGTATCTGGAGCTGAATAGAGTACAGTATCTGGAGCTGAATAGAGGACTGTATCTGGAGCTGAATAGAGTACGGTATCTGGAGCTGAATAGAGTACAGTATCCGGAGCTGAATAGAGTACAGTATCTGGAGCTGAATAGAGGACGGTATCTGGAGCTGAATAGAGGACGGTATCTGGAGCTGAATAGAGTACAGTATCTGGAGCTGAATGGAGTACGGTATCTGGAGCTGAATAGAATACAGTATCTGGAGCTGAATAGAGTACGGTATCTGGAGCTGAATAGAGTACAGTATCTGGAGCTGAATAGAGGACTGTATCTGGAGCTGAATAGAGTACGGTATCTGGAGCTGAATAGAGGACGGTATCTGGAGCTGAATAGAGTACAGTATCTGGAGCTGAATAGAGTACAGTATCTGGAGCTGAATAGAGTACAGTATCTGGATCTGAATAGAGTACAGTATCTGGAGCTGAATAGAGTACAGTATCTGGAGCTGAATAGAGTACAGTATCTGGAGCTGAATAGAGTACAGTATCTGGAGCTGAATAGAGTACGGTATCTGTGTGTCTATGAGTTGTTTGGACTGTGGCATCTGAGTCAAAGCAGTAGGCTACACAATGCAAAGGGGGGGGGTGTATGACAGAGTTGAAAGAGAGGAAGTATGACTGAATGCTGAACACAGGAAGTGGTTCTGACTCTGAGTAAAGCTATTCTAGCAGGAGAGGAGAGCTCTCTCTCTCTCTCTCGACAGCAGCCAGCAGCAGCTCTCTGAAGACTCTCCTCTCCTCTATTTGCATCAGAAGACAGACTTCAGAGGGAGAGAGGAGAAGAATTAGCCCTGTGATGCTCACATGACGGTGTGACTGTGAGAGCCTTAGATGAGAGGTGAGGTTTTGACTTTAACAGGAGAGGACAAACTACATAGGGAGTGAGAGAGAGAGAGAGGGAGGGGAGTCGCCCTGTAAGTATTGTAAAACTGATACTCAGCTCAGACGACTGTGCGACTGTGAGAGAGAGATGAGAGGTTCTGTAGCTGTCTCACTGCTGCCCCTCTCTCTTCCCTGTTCGGTCATGACACAGCAAGATGAGGAAGTGAAATACGGTAGCATGGGGGTCGGACTAAATGTGGAACTGTGACTTCTCTAATGTGTAAAGAGTGCTAGGAAGGGAAACTAATTAAGGAAGTTAACACCTACCGCTGTAACTGTGTGTGTACCATTTCTTTGCCTGTTTTTTGGAAGATTGATTTCGAGAGCTACCTAAGAGAATCTTAATTTGCTGTCACCATTCTGGGCACAACTTCCGTGAGTATATGTAATAGTTGTTTTATATATTGTGGTAATCCATTTGATACATTCATACAACATGTGATATTTTTCCATAGGCCTAGCTCAGCTCCTGTTCTTTCTATTTGGCAGAGATTTCTCCTCAGATTTCTCCTCAGTGTTGGTGTTCTGTTTGACAGCTATGTAATGGAGGAAAAGGGAATCATTGAAGTGTGAATTTGACTTGTGACTTTGTTTCCTGTCTTTCTGAGGAACATTAGTGGCTTCACTTTGCCAGAAATGTTGTTGATGTAGGCAGAACTTTCTTTAAAAGGATAGTTTGTTGATGTAGGCAGAACTGTCTTTTTAAAAGGATAGTTTGTTGATGTAGGCAGAACTGTCTTTTTAAAAGGATAGTTTGTTGATGTAGGCAGAACTGTCTTATGATTTTATTAGGATCCCCATTAGCCGACGCCAATGGTGACAGCTAGTCTTCCTGGGGTCTGACACGTAACGAAAAAGACCTTACAGACAAAAATACTTTACAATTGACATACATTTAAAACATCAACATAGACATTATAGACTTCTATATAAAAACATTCACTACAACTAAAGACACATGTACACACATAGAAAAAAGAAACAATACAACTAAAGAATAATTGTGTGTGTGAGCGCTCATCCACCAGTACATACACATATTTGGTCACATGGGGGAGAGGCGTGGTGCCATGAGGTGTTGCTTTATTAGTTTTTTTAAACCAGGTTTGCTGTTCACTTGCTCTATATGAGACGGAAGGGAGTTCCATGTAATCATGGCTCTGTATAATACTGTACGTTTCCTAGAATTTTTTCTGGACCTGGGGACTGTGAAGCGCAATGACTAGAAGTCAACGGGAACAGCTATCATGCTCGCGAAACGACCTCTAAGTTCCTTCACGCTCGACGCAGAGACTTAAAAAATGGTGTCCACGAGTTCATCTGACTCTGGGGAAGAAATTCCAAACTATCCCTGTTTTCAATCGTTAGACCAGTGGTCACCAACCGGTCAATCACGATGGACTGGTTGATCTCCAAGGCATTCCTAGTCGATCACCAAACGTTTCTGTAAAAAACAACGACGATAAAGCCTTTTTTTTTTTTGCTCTGTTGGCGTTAGGTGCACTTGATTCAGCAGCCCGGGAAGGCAAAGTGTTCCCATTTTGAATCATTTCATGTGTCTGAAGGTAGAACTCTGCCTACCCGGCAGGCCCAGAGAGCAAATCAAGTGCACTTACAGGCCTACCGCTGGTCAATCAGATAGCTCAGATTACCGTGTCTGCACAGTTTCCTCGAGCCATAGACCTGTAAAAAGAAGCCTCGAACGCACAGCAAAGTTGATAATGTGAGATTTCAAAACGTTTAAAACCATGACTAGAGAGAGACTCAACGAATACAGCAAAGAGCTGCTGTTGTTATGAGTAACTTCCTGTTTAAGTTGTTATTCAACACTGTGTCAACACTTTGTTCAACACTTTGTTCAACACTTTTACAAGCCATAAAATGAGCGTTCTCCCTACTTCCACACACACTACAACCAGCACTGAAGCTGCAATGAATGAGTATAGCAAAGTGTTTCAATAAGCTTGCTTTGTTATTATTAGCGGCTTGTGTATCTTTTAATATCGAGGGATATTTCACTTTCTCTGGTCATTGGAGTAACAACAGGAACTGGTGCATGAGGCAGAAATTAATTAGACTTAAAGCTGCAATATATAACGTTTTAGGTGACCCGACCAAATTCACATAGAAATGTGTTTTTATAGATCTGTCATTGTCATTGAAAGCAAGTCTAAGAAGCGGTAGATCTGTTCTATGTGCTCTTTCTGTGCTTCCCATTCTTAGTTTTTGCGTCTTACTTTCGGTTTTGTACACCAGCTGAAAAAATACAGTATTTTTGGTTATGGAAAATATATTTCACAGCGGTTTAGATAGTACAATGATTCTCTACACTATAATTGCTTGTTTTGTCACATAAACTGAAATAACTATTTAGAATTTTAGAAACCAGGAAATGGCGGAGCGATTTCTGCATAGTGCATCTTTTAAGTTTCGTCATCAGCTGGAAGACTGCGTTTTCTCAGAGGAGGGAGGGAGAGAGGAGAGACGGTGAGTCAGGTGAGAGGCAGCCTCACCGCTGCTCCCTCCCTCCCCTCAGACTGACCATCAGATGCATCACATCAGTCCAGTAAAATAAGGAAGTAAATGATTATGCCTCACAAGTTATACAACCAATGATATGTTACCAGTGTGATCATATACAGTACCGCAAATGTTGAAATATCATTTCTAAATGGTCTGAGAAGGACAACATTGGCAGGGCAATTCAAGCATAGCCAATATGCAGTGATGATGCATTGGGCCTATAGCTTACTGCACAAACCTCATTGCTACATAACTGTTTTTAATTGGTTAATGTTGCATAGGCTTGTGTTTTTTAAGTCATGTTTTAAAAAATATCTGAGTGGTAGATCTCTTGCATTTTGCCTCAAAGTGATCTTGACTCAGAAAAGGCTGATGACCTCTGCCTTAGACTAATTACCTCAGTGTGGAAGTTGAGTGGGAAGTGTGCATCCTCTGCCCTTCTTCTAGGAATGTCTTGTAATGTTGTATAGGTTTTATTTAAAGTCTCCTCTGTGTGGGTCAGCATTGTCTGGTAATGTTGTATAGGTTTTATTTAAAGTCTCCTCTGTGTGGGTCAGCATTGTCTGGTAATGTTGTATAGGTTTTATTTAAAGTCTCCTCTGTGTGGGTCAGCATTGTCTGGTAATGTTGTATAGGTTTTATTTAAAGTCTCCTCTGTGTGGGTCAGCATTGTCTGGTAATGTTGAATAGGTTTTATTTAAAGTCTCCTCTGTGTGGGTCAGCATTGTCTGGTAATGTTGAATAGGTTTTATTTAAAGTCTCCTCTGTGTGGGTCAGCATTGTCTGGTAATGTTGTATAGGTTTTATTTAAAGTCTCCTCTGTGTGGGTCAGCATTGTCTGGTAATGTTGTATAGGTTTTATTTAAAGTCTCCTCTGTGTGGGTCAGTATTGTCTGGTAATGTTGTATAGGTTTTATTTAAAGTCTCCTCTGTGTGGGGTCAGTATTGTCTGGTAATGTTGTATAGGTTTTATTTAAAGTCTCTCTGTGTGGGTCAGTATTGTCTGGTAATGTTGTATAGGTTTTATTTAAAGTCTCCTCTGTGTGGGTCAGTATTGTCTGGTAATGTTGTATAGGTTTTATTTAAAGTCTCCTCTGTGTGGGTCAGTATTGTCTGGTAATGTTGTATAGGTTTTATTTAAAGTCTCCTCTGTGTGGGTCAGCATTGTCTGGTAATGTTGTATAGGTTTTATTTAAAGTCTCCTCTGTGTGGGTCAGTATTGTCTGGTAATGTTGTATAGGTTTTATTTAAAGTCTCCTCTGTGTGGGTCAGTATTGTCTGGTAATGTTGTATAGGTTTTATTTAAAGTCTCCTCTGTGTGGGTCAGTATTGTCTGGTAATGTTGTATAGGTTTTATTTAAAGTCTCCTCTGTGTGGGTCAGCATTGTCTGGTAATGTTGTATAGGTTTTATTTAAAGTCTCCTCTGTGTGGGTCAGTATTGTCTGGTAATGTTGTATAGGTTTTATTTAAAGTCTCCTCTGTGTGGGTCAGTATTGTCTGGTAATGTTGTATAGGTTTTATTTAAAGTCTCCTCTGTGTGGGTCAGTATTGTCTGGTAATGTTGTATAGGTTTTATTTAAAGTCTCCTCTGTGTGGGTCAGCATTGTCTGGTAATGTTGTATAGGTTTTATTTAAAGTCTCCTCTGTGTGGGTCAGTATTGTCTGGTAATGTTGTATAGGTTTTATTTAAAGTCTCCTCTATGTGGGTCAGTATTGTCTGGTAATGTTGTATAGGTTTTATTTAAAGTCTCCTCTGTGTGGGTCAGTATTGTCTGGTAATGTTGTATAGGTTTTATTTAAAGTCTCCTCTGTGTGGGTCAGCATTGTCTGGTAATGTTGTATAGGTTTTATTTAAAGTCTCCTCTGTGTGGGTCAGTATTGTCTGGTAATGTTGTATAGGTTTTATTTAAAGTCTCCTCTGTGTGGGTCAGTATTGTCTGGTAATGTTGTATAGGTTTTATTTAAAGTCTCCTCTGTGTGGGTCAGTATTGTCTGGTAATGTTGAATAGGTTTTATTTAAAGTCTCCTCTGTGTGGGTCAGTATTGTCTGGTAATGTTGAATAGGTTTTATTTAAAGTCTCCTCTGTGTGGGTCAGTATT